CAATAAGCTCGTCATCGACCTCGAGAAGATCGACGAGAAAGGAAATGGGGCGACTTTCATCCACACCAGTTTACCGGGCCTGACTTCTACCGAGGGTCCTGGCGCTACCTGTGAATCTAGGTATGTTTATCTGATGCGGTTCACAATTGCTATGCCAATTTTGTACCTGACACAGAATCGATTCTTTATACCTCGATAACCCAACTCCGTCGAATTGTTACCGCCTTGAGACTTTCCGATCCACCGGATCCATATCAGCAACAGCATCTCAACAGCTGCGCTGTTATTTCATTACCAAGTGCAACTTCCCTTCTCCACCACCCCCTTCAACTCGAACTGATGGACTTACCGACATCCGTACGGTCTCCGACACTGCTTTCCTTGAGAAAGCGACCCCGCATACTCTTGAAGTGTACCAGAAAATCATGTGGCAAGTCGAGAGCCGCTATGGTCCTGTCATGGAAGTATTTGAAGTCGAAGGCACTCGTGAGAGGCGTCTTGTCATCGGATACAAGATGGGCGGTACTTCCCGTTTTTTCAGGTATGTTGACCTATTTATGTGATATCAGCGCCAATATCCTCAAACTCATTTGCAGCGCTCTATCGAACCTCTATCACTTTTACCAGTTGTACTCGGCCCGCAAGTATGTAGAGCAATTCTCCAATGGGATCACGATCATCTCTCTCTACCTAAACCCGATGCCTGATTCAACGGCCGCACCGATCGAGCACTCCATATTCCAGGTGATGAAAGAGGCATCTCTGCTTTACTGTCTCCCCGACAACCCCTTTTTCCTCGATTCCGTCAACTCTGGACATGCCGTGCAAGAGGCAACTTATGCTTGTATGTCCGACGTTTTTGAGACTAGGAACTGAGTTAATTCTTCACTAGACTGCGGTTGGGTTTTCGCTCAGCATTTCTGCAATCGCCTGGGTCCTGCGTACCTCCACCTCAAGAATATCTTGGACGAAACGAACCCCTCACACGCTGAGGTGCTCAATGATATCAAGAGGCGCTTCAGAGAGGAAACTTTCACGCGAGAGAGCATTGCTCAAGTCATTCATGCACACGCTGAAATCGTGCGTTGCCAGTTTCGCTCAAGACGTCGCATTAATATTTCTCCAACAGATTCGTCTCCTCTATGTCAACTTTGCCATGGTACACTATCCAGCTGCGGATGAGGCATCACAGCTTGGGTGAGTTTACTGTTGTATTTGCATTGGGTGGCTTTGACGAGAAGCGCCCAGTCCTACACTCTCATACCAGCGGCTTCAAACCACGCAGCCCCTGTCTGACTCTGAGCTGTACGATAAAATCAGACGTACAGTCCTGAACAAGCAGGATCTACAAGTTCTCGAGAGCTTCCTCATTTTCAACAAGTAGGTTCGAAAGCGAGCGGTTGATCGGTAGCTGATCTTGCCGTAGGCACATTTTGAAGACGAACTTCTATCAACCAACGAAGGTTGCACTCTCGTTCCGTCTCGCCCCTGAATTTTTGCCCGAGATTGAATATCCAAACAAACCTTTCGGCATGTTTATCATCATCGGAAACGAATTCCGTGGGTTCCACATCCGCTTCAGGGATGTTGCCCGCGGCGGTATTCGTATCGTCATGTCGAGGAACAAGGAGTATGTGTGCCTTTTCTGGATTTCGAAATCCTGTAGCTGAGTTCTACGTAACTAGGAACTACTCGATCAACCAGAGGATGTTGTTCGATGAGAACTACGGATTAGCTGCCACGCAGTCTTTGAAGAACAAGGACATTCCGGAAGGAGGCGCTAAGGGTACTATCTTACCTTCGTGCGTGATTATCTCTTCCCACCTTTGCATGTTGTCTTACCTTTCACCCAGCCTTGGAGCGCCGCCCAGACGCTGCTTCGAGAAATACGTCGATGTAAGTGCGCGTTTGTGCATCAGTTGATGTATACTGATTTTGAAATTAGGCTGTCATTGACCTGCTTATCCCCGGCCAAACTCCAGGGATTAAGGAACGCCTGGTTGACTTGTATGGCAAGCCAGAGTTGCTGTTCTTCGGCCCTGATGGTAGGATGCGTGTCCGATTTGTCATTGAAGTGACTGACATCTCGTGTAGAGGGTACAGCAGACATGATGGATTGGGCAGCGTTGCACGCTCGTGATCGTGGTGCTGAGACATGGTGGAAGTCTTTCACCACCGGCAAGAGTGCTGAGCTTTTGGGTGGTATTCCCCATGATACATATGGAATGACGTCGTTGTCCATTCGTCAATATGTGCTTGGCATTTACAAGCAGCTTGGACTGAGGGAGAAAGACATTACGAAAGTTCAAACCGGTGGTCCTGGTATGTCTGTGTCTTGAGTCTTTGGCAGCCGTCCTTGACACAACATTTTGCAGATGGAGATCTTGGTTCAAACGAGATACTCTTGAGTTCTGACAAGACCGTTGCTATCATCGACGGCAGCGGTGTCCTTGCCGACTCTGCAGGTATCAATAGGGAGGAGCTCATCCGCCTCGCCAAACATCGCCTGACCGTCGCTCACTTCGACAAGACCAAGTTGAGCAAGGACGGGTACCTCGTCAAGGTCGAGGAACAGGACATCAGGCTTCCCTGTATGTTCAGCTTTCTCAATGTTTGTTGTTATCCTTACATGCTGTTGTTAGCCGGAGAAATCGTCCTGGACGGTACCGATTTCAGGAATGGTGCTCACTTCCGTTTCAAGGCGGACCTTTTTGTGCCTTGCGGTGGACGGTTAGTTTATGTCACGACGTTTCAAACACGAGCTAATGATCATTCAGTCCTGAAGCTGTAAACATCTCCAATGTTGCTGCTTTGACGGATACGGAAGGCAAACCCCACTTCAAGTACATCGTTGAGGGTGCAAACTTGTTCTTCACTCAGCAGGCAAGGTTGCACTTGGAGAAACGCAAGGTTGTCTTGTTCAAGGACTCCAGTGCGAACAAGGGTGAGATTACTTTCCTATCACCTGTTAGATGATGTTGACCCTGCTTCAGGCGGTGTGACGAGCTCCTCGCTTGAAGTTCTTGCCGGTCTCGCCCTCACGACCCAGGAATACCTCGACCTCATGATCTTCAAGGACGGCAAGCCTTCAGACTTCTATCAGAAATACGTCAAAGAGATTCAAGAGAAGATTTCTGAGAACGCGGCAGCAGAGTTCCACTGTATTTGGCGCGAGCACGCCCGCCTTCAAGGCGCTAAGCCCCGAACGCAGATTTCGGATGAGCTGTCCATGAGGCTCAATAGCTTGCAGGCTGAGCTTGAACTGTCTGACTTGTTCGATGACGTGCCCAGCCGCAGGGGCGTCATGAGACGTGCCATACCCAACACTCTAGTGGAGCAGGCCGGTCTCGACGCCCTGCTGGAAAGGCTTCCCGAAACATACCAGCGCGCTCTATTCTCGAGCTGGGTTGCTTCACATTACGTGAGTGTCGACCGCATCTCCTTTTCTTGCTGCCTGATCATCTTCAACTTCATCTCGCAGATCTACAAATACGGAGTTAACAGCTCTAGTGTAGACTTCTTCCATTTCGCTCGGGATCTCGCACGGTAACGATTGTTTCGGGACTTTTGGGATCACTTCGTACTGTACATAGGGAGAGGCCGATAATGCCATATCAGGACTGATAAGAGGGCTTTCTCCTGCCTAGTTGCGTTTTCAATACGATGGATTATATTAATGTACCAAACGTGACACGACGTTATAAACCTGGACGATGCCACGTAGATTTTCCACCTCTAATTTAGACCTTGACGAACTGAAACTTGACTTACTCCCTCTGGAAAATTGTCTCCAATAAAGATTGATCATCCAATCGGAGACATGTGTTGCAGAGAGCTCAATTGGGATCTGTGGGTGGGCCTTCACAACGAGATCAATGATTATCTCCGATGAATCCTTGTCTATCCCACTCGATGATCAATGACATCGCCTATCTATAAACCCTTGAAGCCGGGAAGCCTTCTGAATCTCACGCCGTCTGGCATTGCACTCCTCCAGCCACCTCCTCGTGAACCCGTCCGTAGTACTACATAAGATAATGAATCTTGAAGCATTTACAAGGTTGCATCAAAATCCACAGAACTGCAACTAAAAAGACAACGTCGAGTTCTACTGGAACTGCCAGACACAGTCAAAAACTCTCTGGCGGGGAATCGAACCCCGCTTTCCCGCGCACAGCACTCTTAATTGGGTTGTGACAGGCGGGTGTACTATCCGATATACTACCAGAGACATGTGAGAGGGGAAACATGTACCTCCAAGTATTGTATGGTGAGCCAACAGATACGAAATCAATTTGCCTTGTACAGTGGCCAGAACTCCTTGGTTTCAATCCTCCTACATGCTTGTCTCATCTGAACTTCTGAAGCCAAAGCAGAGAGTATAGGTTACTGGCTCCTCGGATCCACTTCGTCGATACGTGGCTGTGCTTCTGCACAACAAAAATTGCTTCAACATTGTGCTTGGTCCTACTTAGAACTTGGTTGGGCCGCTGGTCACCCGGGTCACCAGTCCCGGTGGACTGGTTCATAAGGTTTTGTTATTGTCATCTTCCTTCGATAGGTCTGGCTAGGGGAGACTAAGATTTTGTTACTGTGAACGCCAGATTTCGCAACATGCTTAATGCTTCTTTATCAACGACATATGTCGGATGGCATCAGCATCTGAAGCCAGAATATTGAAGTAAGTAAAGTTACTCTTTGACAGTATCAATGTTCTGACGATGTTAACAGTGTGTCGGTGCATGGCCTTGGTTGTACGCAACAAAAAGGCTTGGTCTTCAGATATGGTCCAGTACTTGGTGCACAGGGCGGCTTTGTGTTACACCCTCGCTTTACTGTGGATACCAGTGGCGTTGTACTATGCTTTGACTTAGCTTTGACAGTCATCATCCAGGGCCCCAGTGGGTGAAGGTCCACCACCAAGGTCCTAACGCCAAAGCTGCAAATCATTATGGCCCTTGCCCGTTCTATAAATTGACATTGGATTAGAATCGTACTCATCACAAAAAACCAACGTATCCTCTCAGCCCCTCAATCCCTTATCCCCTCGTCCTTTAGCCATAGCCTTCTTTGATATACTCAGGTTACAAATGAACCAACACTATGAACCCGCAGCTTTCTCCTGGCAGTCGAGCGCTGGTACGCCCGATCGATCCTTGAATAAATCCTCCTGCAGCAGCAGTCCAACTTTGGTCGACGACGAAGCAGAAGTCCATGCGCTCCAGAATAGCCAACTTAGTGAGCCATCGTCGCGTCGCATTCAGGTGCCCAAATTCGAGTTGGACCCGTACGCCCCGGCATTTGTCCCTTCGGTTTCGACCCTCCGACTTGCAGAGTATGGCTACTTTCCTCCACCCATTAATACAAATGAGAAATGGTTGGAGATCCTCAAAGATGGCATGCTGATACCCGATCCCCGTTTGCCTACTCGCCTGGTGGAGGGTTCATGGACATTTCAACAATTATGCGACCTTGCTAAGCTTTTCTGCTGGCAAATTTTGGCTAAAGCGAACATGGAAGACTTTGGACCGCAGGCGGCGCGTTTTGCTCGAGAAGTACGTGATGCATTTACGAACCATCACTCCGAGTGGCACTCCAGCTGCTTCGTGTCCCACCTGCAAATGTATGCCTTAGATCACTTCAAATTATACTGGTGTTCTCATGTACGTAGTATCGCAGTTCCTTCTGACGCGTACTCACCCTCACATAGAACAATCCGAATGCTATCTCCCTACGGAAAAGACTTGAAGGCAAGCGGTGGAATACTGCATTGAATTTTTCCTGCTTCATAGCGGACATGTTCTCTGTTGGCCTCATCCAAGTACCGATGATGCACGAGTGTCTCGGGATTCTGTTGCACGAGATGGTTCGTGTGGAACATGTGCACACCGTCCAAGCCATGGTTAGACATGCAGGACCGGCATTATGGCAAGCAGCCGATAGCAGTGTACGCCGCCACGAATTCACGACTCGTTATTTGGAGCGCACCGTCTCGTTGCAGGATAATGCAAACTTACATGCGCGGCAGGACAACATTTGGGCAGTGATACAGGTGAATGCGATATTGCCGGATCACTTTTATAGAATTAACACTCGTTGTTTTCTCCACAGGGTAATGATATCATCTCCCTGATCAATGGATGGCACGCCCAGCGGTCAATGTACCCTCCGCCTGCCGTAAAACCTATTTGGTAGTAACCTGGGGTTCACTCCTTTCAATATCTTATGCAGTTGCGGATATCTGGGCTCAATATGTAGTCTATGCGTGTCGTCTGAAGACGATATATATATGCTTTATGAAGAACGTCGGGTGTGACTATAAGAATATTCTGCCGTGATTCAAGTAGTAGGGTTTGGGTGGATTAGGATATAACCTAATAATTCATTTAGATGTCGCACTTGCAGCGTGAATGTGGTCTGTGACACTTCCACATTTACCTCAAGAGTCCCACTCGGCAATGAAATAAGTTGAGGAGGGTCCTGCTTTTGTTAGAGATACAGATTTCTCGGGAAATAAGAATGACATGAACCGATGGTGTATCCAAAATAGTCAGTGAAATGTCATAATCGAGTGCCTATCTGGACCAGCTGGGACTCCTATTTCTTCGATATAAATAAGTCACTCCTTCAGCACGCGTTTATATGCCTGCATCACCTAAAGCATCGTCGTCGTCAACTTTAGATGCTGGAATATGGGCTCTAGCCCACGAGGACGTCTGGTATGTTGCATTTAGTAAAGGATCCAGAGGATGAAGTGCCCATGATGATCCTTCTGGCGGATTGGATGGGAGCAACGCCACCGCTGCCAACGAGAGATACGTATGATAGGGATCTATGACGACGTTTGCTGCAAAGGTATTTCAAAGTGAAAACGACGTACCAGGGTGCTCGCCGGGAATCTTTGCAATCCCGCCGTACTTGAATTGGCAGGAAGCTATGAATGATGACATTGCTGCTTTGTCAACCAAATCCCCTGCGTCTAATATCTGGTGCGTTGGGACGGAAATAATTCAAGTTGTCCACCGACCTGATAAGGCACAACGGACTTACATGCAGGGATGCGCCGCACCAGAAGCAATAACATGCGTCAGCATCCTTGTTGGTCCTTCCACGAAACCCGCCATTAGATGCTTGATTTTGTACAAGCCACCGAATGGTTTTCTGCCGATCTTGAACGGAAAGAGGGTCTAGCTGGTTGGCTAATCGGAGTGCTGCCAATGCACAATACGTAGTGCCACCTGGGCAAGGAAGGTGGATGAGATTTTGTCATGTCAGAAGGCATGGCGCACTACCCAGAGCCTCCCCAAACGGTGATTGCCCGTAGCCTCCTTCATATGTCTTAGGGACGACTGTTAGAACAGCCCCTGATATAACGTTGTCGCACGCTTACCCGACACGAACGAATGAACTGGAGAGCACTTGTGACATCCACCCCTGACCAGTCATCAAGCATGGTGCTTATGGCAAAAGCACAGAACGTTGTGCGTAAATCAGAGTCGCCTCCTAAAGGCTCAGAAGAGAAACTAGAACCCTCGGTTTATGAGTTGAAAGTGGCGGACATGATGTAGGACTTACCTTCCATCGGTATTCTGACAGGACCTGAGGAATTTCAGCAGGCCCTTCCTGTCAAGACGTGAAAAGTTGTCGCGCAATGTAGACAGTGAGAGAAGGGCAGTATAAGTCATGATGATCTGAGGATTATCATGGTCCGAATATCCCTCTGCCTTCAGACTGGAAATCAATTATGTATATATATATAAGGAAGAGCGATTCTCACCGAGTATTTTGCAGTCATATAAGAGCTTGCTCGGAAGCCGGTCCCATAATGTCCGTCTGGTGACTGTGCTCAATTCTCCAACATATTCGAATACCAGAATTTGCTCACGAGTCTGTTGGCTCCATATCCATTCCCTCCATTGTTCTCTTTCCCAGTCTCTAGTCCTATTTTCAAGTTCACCGGAAACATCCAGGGAGCCTAAGCAGTAAAAGGATAGGGCCAGTCTGTGATAATCGCATTAGAATGGCTGCCATTTAGCATTAAATCAAGTATACTTGGCCGGATCAACATCCACTTGGGAAGATGGCAAGCCAGACAAGCATCTTTTGCAGTGCGTTGCATGACTACCTTTGCTTAACGGAGGCAGAATTGTTGGCAGCATTTGGCGATTTTCCTGTAAAAGAGTCTCACTTTGTCAGATCAGTAGAAAAAGGTGTGGTGTTCCAGTGTGGTGGTTAGCATGAATCGTGTCTGCTGACTCGTACGTGCATCCAATATGAATGATTGTACTAGTGGTCACTGGTCGGATCAGGAAAACCGTCCCCGGGCGGGCCGTGTTCAGACATTAGCCCTTGCCCTTGCCCGCTACTTGAGAGCGCGTGCATGGCCACTGCGCTCTTGAGACTACTTATGAATGATATCCAGGCTGTTGCTATATATTACTTGATCCAATCTCACATAAGATCTACTAATTTTCGCCTTTCGAGAAACAATATGACGTATTTGAGCTAGACTTGGTGATCAGCCTTGCCCCATAGATGTGCTGATCACCTGTCTGTGTTAGCGCAAGTGCTGCTCTTGCGGCCTGAGACTTCCGAGATTTCAAATATCGAGAAGATCACTCCTCTCACATAAGATCTTTCGAGAGATCAACGTAATTCTTGCGGCTTCAAATATCGAGAAGATCCTTGTTGCTATACAACCGATTAGCAACAACCGATGTAATGACATGTAGCACTCCTCACATAAGATTAACCATCTTTCGAGAGGGATGTTGTGAAGATCTGCGAGCTGTATCGTACTAAGCGAAACGTTCGAACAGCGGCGCCAGAGACCACGAGTTTCGTCAATCATTCGATGGACCTCACCCTAGGAGTCAGAGTCTGTTATTACGAAAGAATGGCAACTTGCGGTCCTTGAATGAACATGTTTGTGATGTTCGATCGGGCACATTGGGCGAGAGGTACGAAAGATGGCTCGTTTGCGGTGGAATGATTGAGTAATGAGTACGGCACTGTAACATAATGGAAGTTATTGGCGAGGAGAGAAAAACTAGATGTGACGAGAAGATCAATGGAAGATTCGATCGAAACAACGTTCCGTCAATGCGCCCAGTGGGACGCGGGACGCTAAAGATCTTTCTCTAATCCTCCTTGTCTAGCAAAGTCTGGAACAGATTGCAGGCTTGAAAAAGATAGAAATCCTATCACTCCATTAACTTTCCTATCCTATGTCTAGATGTCAAAAATTATGAAGCTGCAGTAAACACTCACCTTCTGATACACGAAAACATCACACATTCAACCTAGCACACGATGGCGAAAGAGTGACTTCTAGATTAGACCAAGATGAGACAATACTCGTACATAGTTTTATACAGACCCCTTTGGTCATCGAATTATCATTTGTCTTCTTTGTGGATGAGTTTCATTTGATCCACCACTATCTTCACGATATCGCGCCATTCTGTCATGGCACCCAGTCCTTCGAGAAAACCAAGTAATCTACAACAGCAGGAAACAAAAAGCTAAAGTGCACATACCGATGTCCCCACACGCAAGATTCTTTCCAATCGGCCCAACAACTTGGTACCGCACAATGTCCCGCACAACGCGCACATGTTCTGCTGTGAGCGGATGCTCGTACATAAGGGTGTTCATCGCTGGGAATATGTAAGTCGGCGTCGTAGGTGCCAGCGCACGAAGCAGCGAGGTCTAAGAGAGAAGGTTACCATCGAGCATGATGTAAATGAACGGCGCAACATACTGCGAGGTTGTCGCAGAGTCCGTGTGCAATTTTTGAGAGCGTATTTGCCGAGCAGGGAGCAACCAGGACAATGTCAGCCCATCTCCTCAACTCGATATGCAGGATTGGATCTCCGATCTTGTATGACCCCTTTCATGATAGACGTTGAGACGCAGAAGGTCATCTTGAAAGTGCGTGTACTCACTGACCACTCGTCCTCATCCATCCACACGCGTCCACCTGCCTTGACCACGTCCGCACGGTTGTAAAACGCAAGTGACTCTTTCGTCGCGACCACTTCTACTCTGACATTCTGGTACTAGTGACATTTGCACGTAGTGTGAGCAGAAGTAAGATCTCATCGAGAGGGACAGACTTGGAGAAGCTCTGCGACAATGAGAGGAGCTTTGATAGATGCTACGCTGCCAGTCGTTATCAGCAACACGTGGTGGTGATCTAGGAGACGCTCCTTTTCGGCAATAAACTGACTGTTCACCATCGGTGCAAAGTAGAATTCGCTGAGCAGTACTGGAGGAAAGGAAGTACTTCGTTAACTTAGTCTTGCTAGTAGCCAAGTCAACAACAGTTATGCGATTAGTAAGCGCCGGCTAATCATAGCTAGCTAAGGCTACATACTAAGTACCTTTCCGAGTCAGCCAGCGGCTGCTACACCAATCAGTCATTCCTTTGAGCAGGCGTTGCTGAGAGTGTGTTTATTCTCTGCTATTCATGTAAGCGCTACCACTGTACCAGTCGTTATGCCATTAATATCCACCCCACTGCCTATGCGGTTTATCAAAGACCGCTAAATCAATCTCATTCCTGTGCAAGATCCCGAGCGAAATGAAAAAAGTCTATAGTAGAACTGTTAACGCCGTATCTGTAAATCTACAAGAGGTGAGAATAGCGATCATGCAACACGAAGGGGATAAAACTCACGAAATGCGAAGCAACCCAGCTCGAAAACAGAGCGCGCTGGTATGGCTCGGGGAGCCTCTCCAGCAGGACATCGAGACCGACCTGCTCCACCAATGTGGTGGGTATAGCGCGTCTCATGACCCCTTTGCGGCTCGGGGCATCCTTGAACAAGTCGGAATGTTCGAGCTTAGCCTGCAAGTCGTTGAGCATGATGGAGAGCTCGTCCGAGATCTGCGTTCGGGGCTTGGCACCTTGGAGGCGGGCGTGCTCTTGCCAAATGCAATGGAACTCTGCGGCGGCGTTCTCAGCAATCTTGGCTTGAATGTCCTTTACGTAGTTTCGGTAGAAGTCCGACTGCATCCCGTCCTTGAAGATCATGAGGTCGAGGTATTCCTGGGTTGTGAGAGCGAGACCGGCAAGCACTTCAAGTGAGGAGCTCGTCACACCGCCTGAAGCAGGGTCAACATCATCTAACAGGTGATAGGAAAGTAATCTCACCCTTGTTCGCACTGGAGTCCTTAAACACGATAACCCTGCGCTTCTCCAAGTGCAACCTTGCCTGCTGAGTGAAGAACAAATTTGCACCCTCAACAATGTACTTGAAGTGGGGTTTGCCTTCCGTATCCGTCAAAGCAGCGACATTGGAGATGTTTACAGCTTCAGGGCTGAATGATCATTAGCTCGTGTTTGGAGCGTCGTGACATAAACTAACCGTCCACCGCAAGGCACAAAAAGATCTGCCTTGAAACGGAAGTGAGCACCATTCCTGAAGTCGGTACCATCCAGAACGACTTCTCCAGCTAAGGACAGAATGTGTATGAAAACATCGAACATTGAGAAAGCTGAACATACATGGAAGCCTGACGTCCTGTTCCTCGACCTTGACGAGATATCCGTCCTTGCTCAATTTGGTCTTGTCGAAATGAGACACGGGTACGCGTAATTTGGCGAGGCGAATGAGTTCCTTCCGGTTGATGCCTGCAGGGTCGGCCAGGACACCGCTGCCATCAATAATAGCAATGGTCTTGTCAGAGCTCAAGATTATCTCATCTACCGGGTGGTTAATCAATGCACTCCACAGGCACACTGCACAATACAACTTACTTGAACCAAGATCTCCGTCTACAAAATATTGCGTCAAAGATGAGAGATCCAAAAAGTGAAGATGGAACATACCAGGACCACCAGTCTGCACTTTTGTGATGTCCGTCTCCCTCAGCGCAAACTGCTTGTAAATGCCGAGAACATATTGACGAATAGATAACGATGTCATTGCATATGTATCATGGGGGACACCGCCCAGAAGCATCGCACTCTTGCCAGTGGTAAACGTTTTCCACCATGTCTCGGCACCACGGTCACGAGCGTGCAATGCTGCCCAGTCCATCATGTCTGCCGTACCCTCTACGCGAGTTGTCTGTCATCTCGACGAGCCATTACAAACGGATCTTACCATCAGGCCCGAAGAACAACAATTCCGGTTTCCCATACAAGTCAACGTGGCGTTCCTTGATTCCTGAGCTTTGGCTAGGGATAAGGAGGTCGATGATGGCCTGGAAGGACGATCAATATATCAATCAGCTCATGTACGTTTCACGCTTGCATCAATGTACTTCTCGAAGCAGCGTCTGGGCGGTGCTCCAAGACTGGGCGAAAAGTAAAAATACACCCAAGAGAGACCAGAAAATGACGCACGAAGGCAAAATGGTACCCTTGGCGCCTCCTTCGGGAATGTCCTTGTTCTTCAAAGATTGGGTGGCAGCTAATCCGTAATTCTCATCGAATAGCATCCTCTTGTTAATTATGTAGTTCCTAGTCGCACAGTGCTCAGTTGTAGGATTCCCTACAAAAAAAAGGCAAACGTACTCCTCGTTGCTCGACATGACTATACGAATACCGCCGCGGGCAACGTCTCTGAAACGAATGTGAAAGCCACGGAATTCGTTTCCGATGACGAGAAACATTCCGAAAAGTGGTGTTGGATATTCACCCTGGGGCAAAAAATCTGGGGCAAGACGGAACGACAGTGCAACCTTGGTTGGCTGATAGAAATTCGTCTTCAGAACGTGCCTGCGGCAAGGTCAGCTACCTGTTCAATCAAATTGTTTTTGGATTCACTTGTTGAAAATGAGGAAGCTCTCGAGAACTTGTAGATCTTGCTTGTTCGGGACTGCACGTCTGATTTTATCGTGCAACTCAGAGTCGGACAGGGGCTGTGTCGTTTGAAGACGCTGGTAGGAGAGAGTAGGACTAAGTGCTGCTCGTCAAGGCTACCCCAATGCATATTATCATGCTCGTTACTTACCGCAGCCGCGACGTCTGGTCCGCAGCTGGATAGTGTACCATGGCGAAGTTGACGTAAAGGAGGCGAATCTGTTGGAGAAATATTGACGCGGAGAACCGAGCGAAACTGACAACGCACAATTTCCGCATGTGCATGGATGACTTGAGCAATGCTCTCCCGCGTGAAAGTTTCCTCTCTGAAGCGTCTCTTGATATCATTGAGCACCTCAGCGTGTGAAGGGTTTGACTCATCCAAGATGACCCTGAGGTGGTGGTATGCGGGACCCAGGCGATTACAGAAGTGTTGAGCGAAAACCCAACCGCAATCTAATCAAGCATCAACCCAGCTCCTGTCTTAACAATATTGGACTTACAAGCATAGGTCGCCTCTTGCACAGCATGTCCAGAGTTAACGGAGTCGCGAAAAAAGGGGTTATCGGGGAGGCAGTACAGAAGGGATGCCTCTTTCATCACCTGGAATATGGAGTGTTCAATCGGCGCGGCCGTTGAGTCAGGCATCGGGTTCAGATATAGAGAGATGATGGTGATCCCATTGGAGAACTGCTCTACATACTTTCGGGCCGAGAACAGCTGGTAAAAGTGATAGAGGTGCGAGAGAGCGCTGCAAATGGGTAAAACCGCCGTACTGTCACATATGCTGGCCAACACACCTGAAGAACCGGGAAGTGCCGCCCATCTTGTATCCAATGACAAGACGCCTCTCACGCGTGCCTTCAACTTCGTATACTTCCATTACAGGACCATAGCGGCTTTCGGCCTGCCACATGATCTTCTGGTACACCAGAAGAGTATGTGGGCTCGCACTCTCGAGGAAAGCAGTGTCGGAGACAGTGCGGATATCGGTACGTCCATCCGCCCGAGTTGGGGGTGGGGGTGGGGAAGGGAAGCTGCACTTGGTGATGAAGTAACATCGCAAATGTTTGGCTGCTGTTGCTGATATGGATCCAGTGGATCGGTAAGTTTCAAGGCGGTAACATTCGGACGGAGTTGAGTTGTCGAGGTATAAAGAGTCAATTCTGCGTCACAAGCAGCATTAACATAATGATGGTGAACTCTATGTGTTGACATACCTCGATTCGCAAGTAGCGCCAGGGCCTTCAGTAGCAGTGAGACCCGGCAAACTGGTGTGGATAAAAGTTGCTCTATTTCCTTTCTCGTCGATCTTCTCTAGGTCAATGACGAGCTTGTTGGAATCGTGCTTCGTATATGCGAGAATCTTGGCACCAAAGAGTGCGATGATGTGATCAGATATCACAGAGGGCGATTCATTTTGAAAGTAGGTGTCATCGATGCCGAGTTGAGAGTAGAACCAGTTGACCTCGTTCTCAACCAGCTCGCGAGGAATGAATCCCTATCATTATGTTAATATGACGTGATGCGCGAACATGACCTCAAGAGGTACAGATTGCGGTACCTTGGCAGTCACATCAACTTTCACCTTGGCGCGTTGTTCATCTTTGCCGTTGAATACGGGCGTAGCATAGCCAGACAGGTTCCTGACACGCTGCAGGGATTCCTCGGTGCTCGCGCCGGAGTCATGTCCATTGAGGAGAGTCATCTTGGGGTCACAGTGAATGCCTGGACTTGGACGAGGCAGGACGGCGTCGAGCACGTCGTTTAGCAGTGATTATAGGTCTATGATCTACAGGAAGGTCGCGTCCACAAAGATGAATCGATGGACGATGAGGGTGAGACAGCGTATTTATACGGACCGCATCGAGAATTCTGGATGTTTTGACTCTGCACCCGTCCACTGTCACTTGCATAGCCGAAACCATGTCTGCCACGACAGTGGTGTCGCTAATTCGACGTGGAGTTCAGGTTAAGGTCAGTGAATTGGTCATAGCTTGAGGTGGCATTGCGGCCCCAATTGATTTCAATTGTATCACCATTCAAATGCAGAAACGGTGAATAGATTTATACTCGGGAAGCGCCGTGTCACAGAGTCGGCATGAACCTTGCTCGATGACCAAGCGCCATTTTACCCGCGGTGCAACGCATGGCAAGCGTCACTTCCATAGGCAGGTGAGATCTGCGTTCCGGGTAAGTTCAAACGATGAAGCTGACTCGAGCTAGCAAACGACTAATGGGTCAGTTCCGCGGAGTATTGAGCGCGCGGCGGAGGCGGCGATATTCTCATCAGTATCGAGCGGCGAGCGCGCGGCAATGGGTTCTACAGCATCAACATAGGTGCGGTGTAACACAGAACATGACTGCAATCGGTAAGTTCTACGATCAAAGCATAGATGTGGACTCACAAGTCATGTGCATAAGGTGATCGATCGCAATCTAGCGCCAAGACTATCAAACAAGTAAACTCGAAAGAAATGTTGTTATCATTTACTTACATATAGGAAGAACAATTATACAATGCAAGCGATAGCGACGGAAATAATACTTTGAACACGTATTTTGCTTCCGCATTCCTCCTGACATGACCGGTGTATCTTTGCGCCTCTCCTCAATCCATGTTAGCCAGCCCGTCACGGACGTACTCTTCGAAGAGGGATTTCCAGTCCTTGTGCCAACGGCTCAGCGCGGGCCTGCCTTCAACAACATCCGCCGCAGCCCACATGATGCGTAGTTGATCAAGTTCGCGGCGAGACTCGTTGTCAGGACAGACGATGTAGAAATCGCCAGCACGGACGTGGTCAAGCATGAAAAGAACTGTCTCTTCGGCGGTCCAAGCGCCTGCGGGTTTCACGCCACCGTCGCGGGCGGTCAGACCTGTGAAGGTCCACCCGGGGCTGTGAGAATCACCGTGAGCTTTCATGTGGATACATCCGAAAGAACGCAAGATAGCTCACATGAAGAGATGCGCGGTGACGTTGCACGCCGCACTTTCACGAAGCTCGTGTGCGAGTCCTTCCGTCAGGCTCTTCACCGCGGCCTTTGCGGCGTTGTATGCTGGGTTGCCGCTGAACCACGCAGTATCGCGAACGGGACATCATGGTGAATAATCCAGCCAATAACGGTGCAATTCTCGGACTTACGGTGGGTTAGTGATCCCCTGTTTGGATCCAGTGTTGATGACTACAGCTTGGTTCTCCTGGTGCAGCATGGACTGTGGCAAGACGTTATTACCGTCAGTGTCACGATTTACAGTACAGGTAAGAGAGGAACACCAACTGGCACAAAGGTTTGCTGTACATTGACCACACTAAACGCCGTAAGTTGGACTACGCTCATGTTCCCATCGAACAGATGACGAACCCAAAGAGATTGACGTCAAAAGTCTTCTTCCAGTTGTCCAGCATCTTCCAGGATTTGCTGTCGGGACCTACTGCAGCATTGTTGAGGAGAACTGCGACCTGCGGGTAATAATTAGGTCAGGATGTTCGTCCAAGACAGAATGGGATGAGATAGAATGGCGCCATTAAATTGCGAATCACAAAATTCAATGTATAATGCCGTAATTCGCTCACCTCGCCCCATGCCTCATAGACCTTGTCGCGCAAGCGCACAACATCGTCGATGTTCGACACATCGGTCGGAATAACAAGGACATTAGCCTCTCCAGCGATGGTAATAACCTCCTTGGCAGCAAAGGCCAAGACATCTTCCGCGATATCCGCCATAGCAATTTTCAGACCGAGCCTGGGTGCAATACAAATCACCAAAGCACCGAATGCAACAGTCAATCAGGTCAACACCGTTAGCGCAGACATATCACATTCGTGAGTATCTCGCTCGCGGGGTCAAGAGCGACGGCGCCCACGTACTTTGCCAATTCGACAGCAGCAGCTCTTCCAATACCGCTCGCAGCGCCGGTGATAACTGCTACTCTACCAGCATGGAAGACTGGGTGAACTTCACTGTCCAAGGGAGACATAGCTTCGAAACGTCTATGGGAGGGGATGAAAGGCGATGGGCCACGATCAAGAGGCATGACTGTAGGTTTGGCGGTGGGGTGCGATTCCTGAGAAATAACTGGTGATCGATTGGTGGTTATTATCGGAAAAAAATAGTCGAGCATATGCCATGGCATTGTCAGCGGCCGTCGTGCATAGCGCAGGAGTATATATAACTCACAAAAATACAATTAAACGGCTCTGATAGACTCGCTGGGCTCGCAAGCGCTGTCTTGTTCGAGCAGTCAAAAGAAATAACTAGAGCTCATACGATGTTTAGGACAAGTTACGATGTTTATATACCATGAGAGGCTTAACCGGCGATCCAAGAGGCATCACCCGAACAGTCCGGACTCCGAAAACAAAGTACACACCCAATGACTAAAATTTAAATTAAATAAATAAATAAATTCGAGGTGGGCAGACTGCGCATAGCATCAAAGTAAATATTGTTGAACTAGTTCGCTCCCTCGTAATGGACGAAGGATCCAAGCCCGTACGTCAAGCCACAATATGGTCTCTAACGTGATCATATTCGAACTTGGAACCTCTTTGTCCTTGATGGTTCATCGACATTAATAGTATCATTGTTACCCGTTGCGCATTTTCTTGACATGTTGACTGCCAGCAACTCTCCTCGGAGTCCTCGCTGACGATTTGTTCGTCGAATCGTCGTAGCTTCACAGGCTATCAAATTCCGTATTCTTTGGGGCCTCATTGTGGTAGGAAGTAGGAAGGTGGTCTTCAGACAGCTTTACGATTGTAAATGGAAACCTACAGGCGGTGGACCTCATAGTTCTTCCCTAGCCAGGCCTGTAAAACTTCAGGAAGAGAAGATAATCGTGCCTATAAAGGTTCACTGGGATCCAGCAACTGGGAAGTCGCACAAACACCCCGCAAATTTCAATTCAATTTTGTTTTGCTTTAGAATGCTGTAAAGCTCACAATTCCTGGCAGAACGGCAGAACCGTTTAGCGTTAGAAGGGAATCTGACACACTGAGCAGAAAATGAAGTTCACACCTTCACCTCGAGGCAAAATTGATAGACAGTGTACCAGGACGGTCCTAAGCAGCCTGGAGGTTTCTGGAAACAAGACCCGCACCTCCAGACTGTGCCAGAAATGCCTTTTTGGGCCCGTCACTTAGCTATGAGTTAGCATATATAACTATTCAACGTTAACGAGAAAGTTCTGGACAATAGATCTTGATAATCATGCGGTCTATGACACAAGAGCAAAAGGCAACATGTCGTCGGGCTAAACTCCAAATAGTATTTACAAGACTAGCCAAGACCCGCAAAACGCATGCTGACCCTTGCGAGAATAACTTTCGTCTAATGAGATAATAATGCCAGTGGCCGTAGATACAGTGCACCCAAAGTTAGACTGAAAACAGGGTATCTATCGCATGAACAAGCGGACCATTGATTGTGCGCGTGTACAGAAGAAATTACAGTAGCGAGAAAGCATAATGACCAGCCAATTGTCGTCCATATATGAGCGGTGGCTATTTGTAAACCGAAATTGAGTCAACACATACAAAACTATGGAATCATAATCAACATCAGCGAAGATTTAACCAACCAGGGAGGGTAGCATGCCTCGATCTGCCCTGGCAGATACATACTCCCATGACATCCATTTTAAGACTCTTCTCCACCCGAGGTATTGGAGGAACCAGCAGGGGCTTCGATGCCCATCTTCTTCCGAACAGTCTCAAATGTCTTCAACATCTTTCTCCTTGCACCGAGAGCGGCAACACCTTTGGCCTCCAGGCCCGCTTCGTCGAGCATGACCATGTCTTGCCACTTCATCTTCTCAAAGTTAGGCGTATATTTGTGTAACCTCAGGCTCCTGAGCCAAGCTGGGATGTCGTGAAGCAACGCGGGGTCGACGTCTTCCTCATCCTTCTTCGCTCCACTACCCGCGCTATTTCCACCAGAAGAACCGGTCTTCGGAAGCCCGGGGGATCGTCCTCCTCCACGGCTCCTGCTGTTGTTATTGTTGTTGCTCTGCTGCATAGCAGCAGCTTGTTGAATGCCTAGCCAGTTCTGCGGGAATCCAGCAGCCATTTGCGCCGCAAGAAGCTGCGCCTCGGGCGTCATTGAATTCATCCCCATAGCGCTCATCTGAGCTTGTAGGTTCAACATGTTCATCTGCATGGGGTTCATGCCCGCCAATAACCCTGCGCTTGGCATGCCCATCCCGAGTCCGGGGCTACCAAGTCCACCGATATTGAAACCATTCATGCCCAGCCCGTTCAAGGGACCGTTCACGTCTTCCCCGCCGAACCTGTTCGATTGGGGCAACGCGGGGCTCCTATTAGTGTTCCAGTTGCCTGGCTGTTGTGCGAGGTTGAATTGCGCGTTGTTGGCGTTGGAACCCTGGCTAACGTTCCGACGCTGACCGGATGGCTGCTGGGAAACGAGATTGCCCTCATTATCATATATATTGTTGTTTGGTTGTACGTTGGTCTCGGGAGCAGATGCGTTTACACTTGCGTTACCCCTCGACGGCCGACGGAAGGACTTCGGATCAGCCATGAGGGGGACACGTGTACCAGGATTCCAGTCACTGAGCTTGGCAGCAGCCGCATCGAGATTCTGCGAATGCGCATCCTTAGAGAACATAGGAATCAAGGGTGTGTTGACGTTGCTGGCCCAGCTGTCGCCGACCATGGGGGACAGGGCGTCAACTCCAGCGCGAGGCGTACCAAGGGAACCGCTAAACTCAGTACTTTTGGGCCTTGAGCTGCTGCTGACAGAAGGAATAACGATTTCTTGCGCAGGGGAGTTGATATTCTGCTCTGCGACTTGGCTGAGTGCGGAGCCCCATGAAGTACGCGAGTCACTGCCGCCGGATGCAAGAATGGGCGCGGAAATCCTGTGCGCTGCATTGCTTGCCTTTAGCTTGGCGCGTTGGTGGGCAAGCGTGGCGGCTGCGTCATTGCTGGATCCCAGTGCAGCTGAGTCTGGGGAAAGAAACCCAGAAGAAGTGGTATCGAGTGCAAGGGATTGCCTGTTCTGACTGCCGCTGAATACACGTGGAGAGGTTGGCATAGGCGACTTAAGTGCGGGGCTCTTTAATGACATCTGGGCCAACTTGGCTTCCATCTGACTCTGCATCGAACCTGCATCCCATAATTAAATCCGTGAGGTGATAAATATCGGCCGAGAAGGCTCACCGCCAATAGCAGGGCTCAAGAGAGCGGTCATCGGATCTGATCTCGCCATTTGTTGCAACACGGTAATGAAAAATCGAATTTGAACTTGGGTAGATTGTTGAAGAAGACTGTAAAGAGCGGCAGTGCGCTCTGCTTCAGAAAGGACCTTAAACCCTTCAAACAAAAACACGTTAATTGAGGAGTGCCTGAAATTGGGCGAGGCGCTCACATTGCTCAATGGCGCTTAATTCTTCTTTGAAATTGACATCCAGGGATGCAGCGGCCATTTCCTCGAGAGTCTCTTCATAGTTTTGGAGATTCTCAAACCACTGGTCAATTGCCTCCGATTCTGGGGTCTGAAACATGGTCGCGCTACCGAGTAGTTCGCTTGTAGGGCGAGCACCGCTTCCTCCACCAGGACGAGGGGAAGCCGGTGCTAGAGTTTGGCGAGGACCCATGGAAGCGCGAGCAGAGCGACTGTGATCAGCGTTGAGAGGGGAAGGTGAAGGACTGGAAGGAGGACGAAGAGTAGACATGGGCGCTACAGGTGGCCGGAAGGAACGATGATTCGTGAATTGAAACTAAGAGGATGAAAATTGAAATGCAACGCTTGTGAAGATCCGCTAGCGGTGAAATGTAGAAAGAACTTATGTCGCTAGACACGTTTTTTGCAAGATATAGGAAGGGGGTAGATATGTGTTCCTAATCCTCGAGGACACGATGAGAAGATGAGATTTTGGAAGGAGGGGGGTAGATATGGGGTTGAGATAGCTCTCTGATGAGAGCTAAACCTCTTTAGAAGGAGCCCTGACGTCGAGTCTTGGGACTATATGCTAGAATCAAAAGCACGATTGCAAAGTCTGCTGAGCAGAACTGATGACAGTGCGAGCACCGTTGCGTTGCGCTGCTTTGGGTCTAGACGAGACCAGCGGAGCCTGCCGGTCTAGCGAAAGTCAAAGCCTGCTAGACGATTGCGAAGGACAAGAATGACAGAAATTCAAGATACCTGCGGGCGACGAACAAGGACGACGTTGAACAGCGTTGAACAGCTTCCTGCTGTGTCACTGTGTGTCACTTCCAAACGTTGTACGTCCCCTTTTGGAAATGTCAACAAAAACAACTCCCGTCGGTCAGTTTCATCCAATCACATCACAGCGGAGACTCAATAGTTGCCGATCTCACCCACACAAGGAATATGACAATATTTACTTGATTTCTCATTCCATATTCAATGCTGCATGCAGTGGATGAGCGGCTCTTGCTGGCAGGGCGATGTACCCACAAACGTTGACAGTACTAGTGGGTGATCCTATCGGCACCGCTGCGACTGACAATCTTTACAGCAATCACTCTGTAATGAAAACAAAGTGACAGTTTACAATCTGCTTGAGTACTCCGGGTTCATCACCATTGGACTGTGCCGACAAAGTCATTTCACCTGTTTGATATCACATCGAGTCTACCTGATTCTGTCTCGACATGGTCAGTCTTTGAGCTTGGAATTTTTATCGTGTTCCCCTGCCGCCGACAGAGGAAACGCGCTGATATCATGAGGCTATTATGCTGTCTAGTCGCGGTAATTGGTGGCCCATAGTGAGTAATTGTGGAGCGACTGCCTACTCCAGTTATCAGGTATGATTTTGCGTTGTCGTACTCCGCATCGGATCCATGTTTATCTGATTGGCGGCTCAGGTGTCCACCCACTCAGTGATTTTACAATTCAGTGGCAAAACACCGTCTGAATCTTGCAAATGCAGACTATCACTGACAAATGGCCCATGGGCTCGGTGCTGTTCCGATCCCCAGCAGTACGTATGTAGTAATTTGTGACCATACCTTCTTTGTAATGCGACCCCATAGGCTCGGAGACCAGTTTGCCAGATGGCCAAGCTACACTTATTTGTATTCCGTGGACCATCATTCACGCGAATGTTTCACGAATTAACGGACAACGTGTCAGCTGCTTCGAAACGAGCGCAAACATTATCAGTTAAAGCATGGTAAGGAACTGCGTGGACATGTAGACTCGTGGACTCGTGAACACTCTGACTATGCGTCAATTTAAGATGATGAGAATTTTTTGACGTAGTGATTTGGCAGGCGAAGCGAGGTGTTTGAAATTTGGCAGATGGCCCGGAGCCTCGTGCCGCTTTGGCCAGTTATTGAGCGACCACAAAGTCCTTCATTCGCATATAAAGTATCATATGCCTCTCGATGATCATAGCACATCGAGCAGCAGTACGAGATGTTGGAGCCTTGGATGGTCAATCCTTCTAGCCTGGACGAGGAAGGACAAATTCTCACTGTCCTTAAAATACTTTGTGGATTGCGGATGACGGTCACGGACCTCGTGTTGCACTCGATCCCACAAAGAATCACAAAGACCCTCGATGACAACTTGAGAGATGGAGGTCGTTAAAGTTGTGATCCTTGGGAAATAAGAAGGTCTCCAGAACTTGCTGGCTAGTACTTGTTGTGTGTCGTTGAAAGGGCACTCGTACAGTCCGCCGGGAGATGTTCGATTGTATATTGAGCAGGCAGATAGCGATAAAGGTCGGAACCCATGATTAAAACTTATGTAACATGCTACATAGTTTGAATGGAGTACCACCGGCGCCTGCTAAATTTCAAACTCATCGCTTCAAGTTCGCCATGTCACGCCACTCCGAGTTCGACCAACCCCACAGCTCCTATGGTAAAGTCACAGAGACAAGGGTTTCTGGTTTCCGGAGGAATTACACCAATCACTGCGTGTACTGTAGAGATATAGAGATACACACTTACCTTCGACGTGATCGCCAGCATTTGTTAGCACTCAATTGGACGGTGTAAGGGCATCATTAACATTGACATTGTACAAACCAGCACCATGCACAATCTGTAACATGCTTCAAAACTCAATGTCAAAATGCATATGGGAGATCTCCTTTGTGTCCCTGTGAAATTTTGTGCAGTTGCTCCTTTCTGCAGCCTCCCAGTACTAGTTGCTCAGTTGCTCAACCACTCCTTAATACTTATCATACAAGTATTCTGCAGAAGATTTTTTGGTGTTTTTTGGTTATAGGTTCGTGACGCTGTGACGAAGCTGATCTCTTTAGCCTGCAGCACCACCACCTCCAGCCATTCACTGGCCAGTAAATAATGTTTCGTCGTACCACTTGGCGGATATTAAGTATGACGCAGAACGATTCGTCAATGCTGGCCCGTTCCCGGTACCCGTCTCCAAGATGTTTTCCGAACCTTCGCGAATTGACATGGCATGTGACGAAAATCACCACTTAATCATTGACACTATCAGTGAGTTCCGTATCGCCGCTTAATTTAACAGGAGCACAAGCCCAGGTACTTATCTGAAGGAATTTCATGGAAGACGTGACGCGTGAGTTCAATCCGATAGCTACTAAGTTTCCTCACGGTCCGATGACAGACTGTTGGGTTAAACGTTGGCAGCATAACCAAATATTTGATCGGGGCTGACTCGAGGGAATGCCACAGGGCCATCGTTCGAAAACCACCGCAAGGGAATGTGGAGATCGTGTAGCGTTGATGCAGGTGCAATAACGGATTCGGTAAGCGATGGCCTTTGAATTCGTTTTTGAGCAAACCTACGTAGCAAATTCGGCCAAGCAAAGTTCAAACACCCTTCCCTTCCTATTGCGGTACACACAACGACCAATAACGTCGCGCAATTCAGCAATTGGTGTCAGCATCCGAATTTTTCCCACATGGGCAGCTGTCCATCATCATGACACGAGCACTCGATGCCAATGTGGCACGGGAACGGAAACAGACTGACGGCATAGGACGCAAAGTCTAGAGGGGTGGGGGAGGTGCGGCGGTGTAGTGTTCTGATCATCAAAGAAGAGGGCCAACTTCCAACTGAGACAGCGAACAAGCTTCTTTATGTATGGCATCGGAGTGTTCCTTAATCGTGAAATCCGGTATGGCCAAGAAAACGACGAATCACGGGGCGTGTGGGGTGAAGCGAGGCAGCTTATACTTTATGTGTACCAGCGGCACCGACAAACTGGCTCCTAGGTAAGTTGCGAGTGTTGATAAGCTTAAAGACAGGATGCATCCAGTGTGTTCCTGGGACGCTGAGGGGCTCTCTTGAGAAGTTGTGACTTGAAGAAGAATATGGACGGACAGAATGGACCATATGATTTTGATAGTGGGGCTTTTTCGAACGTAATACTGTGCCTACATGTTGATAAACCCGCACGATGTCACATCGTTGATTATACGGTCTATCCACAGATCACTTGACAAGTGGACTCATCTGTACATATAGGAGTCTACTGACGTTAATTGGTCTCTCATCTGACCTCCCATGTAAGGGTCAACGGAGACTGTCGACAACTTGTCGACTCATCAATGGTATCATGACCGGGGATTACCTGCAATCTATGCATGACATTACGGAGCCCGGTGTCAAGTTTGAGAATACACGCACCCGTCGGACGCATGATCCATGACCGAGGTCATAGTAGTGGGTGTGAAGGGTGAAATCTTCAGTAACGGAGGCTTCGTGATTGTCGGTCTAAATTTAGAGAGAAACGGGATTGGGGTACATAATAGTTTACCGAACATTGCAGATAAGGTTTCGTGGAGGTGAGATGAAGTCAGGAATGAGCGTTACCGACCTATCTCTACTTTGTATGAATCATCGAGGCGCTGAGCGAAAACTTCATCATCGATCGGCGACATGTCGCTATTTTAGAGAGCATTCGAATTCGACACCGTGATGTTGAATCAAACCAAATCGGTGTGAAATTGATGATAGGGGATAATAATACTGTCAAACAGCCCTCTTCAGCCCAGATGAAAAGAAAAAGCATTCAAGGAATTATGAAAGCCGCGGATAAGGGTATTGTTTTGATAGCTGGATGACAGATTAATCAAGATGATCGGTGGGCCGCTCAAGAAAAAGTACGAAGTACTTCTCGTCCGAGGGCGCAAACAAATATGTGAGCCGGCCGGCCCGCTGCATTATTTGTGGACTGAGGAGCCCAGTCGAATCAATGAGCAAACGATCATTGGTAGGAGCTGGCGACAGAGCCAACTCGTCCACCATCGACCAGCCACACGGCACCATTCACGTACGCTCCCGCAGGGCCAGCTAGGAAAAGAATAGGACCGGAAATATCAGAAAGGACACCTGCGCGACCAAGAGGGACAGCTTGAGCCAAAAGGGCAGGTGTGAGGTGTTGAGTTGATGTCATTTCTGTTTCAGGGATATATCAACAAGCCAATCAACGTCTAGAGAAGCAATTGCTCACCGCTTGGGAAAACGCCTGGACATAGTACGTTAGAACGAATACCCCAATCGGACAGAAGGTTAGCAAGAAGCCTTCCGAGGTGTGTACAAGCATTCTTTGCCATCGTGTAAGATATAGATAGGACTCTCGCATCGAGACGGAAAGCGCCAGATGAGGAGATGGTGATAACTTGAGATGTTGGCTGTGGAATACCCAGAGCATGAGCAGAATTAGTGGAGGACAATCCCGCAGGAAGGGATGTAATAGGTGAGGGTGTTGGAGGCAAGGAATGATAGGCTACTGAGGGACTGGATGACGCGGAGTCTCGGCCGTTCGAAGCTTCACTAGCAGAGGCTTCTGTATTGAAAACCTGTGGACGCAACGACATGACAGGTGGCAGGTCACCCCTTCTTAGGTTGCCAAGGTGAAGCAACTCGAGGAAGGCAACGGTAGTGAAATAAACGGCGGTTACGTTCGTATCGAACGTCTCGGCAAAGCCTTCTGGCGACCCAGTATCCCAAAGGACACTTTGGAATGCCTTGATGGATGGGGGGGCATGTGCAGGGTCGTCCAGAGGGGATGGCAATTGCGAGGGGAGAATATTGCGGGCAATGCCGGCATTATTCACAAGGAGGTCAATATAGCCATGCCGTGTTCTGACAATCTCGACGAGCTCTGTGAGTGACTGGCGACATGTGATGTCACCCTGTAGGGGAATGAGCTTTCCGAATTTCTGGGAAGTTGGGGGTGAGTAGCCATCGGGGTGCATGCAATATTCCATACGTTGTTCTCCTTGGCAGCCTTTTCTATAACTTCAAGCCTTCGACCAATGATGTACACGGTGGCACCGTTATTCTCTAATGCAGTAGCAATCATGAGTCCGATACCTAGTAATACACAAATATCATATGATGAGTAGGATTTGACACAAGGCGAGGAAAAGACTGTACCAGTGCCACCTCCTGTGACCACAGCAACCTGACCCTCCACACCAAACAAGGCAGCAGGATTCGTATGGATGGATGCACTTGTACTACTGGTCATGGTGATATCGGGTAGGAAAGTGAGAGGTGCATCAGCAAGGACAGGTGTCGATGTTATATAGTTAAACTTGCAGTGGAATTTGCAATTAAGGTATCCCGATTTGAACCTACTTTATGCAAACGTCGAGTTGCATTAATGGCGGATTACTGTCGCCTGCAAATCCCAGGGCCGAGGCGATAGCACTCGAGGCAAGCGCAAGAAGCAACAGCAGGATATCTGCATAAATTTAGGTCAATTCGGAAATAAATACTGAACAGATATCAACTTGCCGGTGAATTGGTTAAATATTTGTTTTACTCAACTCAGTTGAACCAAAGGAATCAAAATTCCAAGATGACCCTCATGCGGCTAGTTGGTTAGTGTGGCGGTTCGTGGTGGTGAAACGCGAGGGAAAAACAATGAAACGCGGTCAAGCAGGTTCACTGTGTTCACTTTACTCTGCAGCCGCGCAAAAGGCGCCGGACAATGAATTTTCCGCACCAGTCTAACGGTTCCGAGTTGCCCTTTGTATGCTCCTTTGAACAGCTTTGAACTCGAATCGAAAGGATCTCTCACGTCCGTTCAACCCTCCATCTGTTAAACCGCAGAGCCCGGATCAAATCCACTGTGTCTCGTGAATGTTACAATGAAAGGTATCGTAATCTAACACTGCGTTGTGGTTGACCCGGCGAGTTCTTATTTTGCAGTGCAGGCCAGTCCCGGGTTTTCTTGGCCTCCGTTCCCTGGGTCCTAGCAGTGGTCACAACCTGATGGCACGTTGTCTCTGCAACTGAATGCGATAACTCTCACGTTGTGGAAAACTATTTCCGCTCCACCAACATTTGCAGATCCCCTTCTGGCACCTGCCTGCCCTGGCCTCGATTATCCTCGATTCTGAGACACCAGATCCTGTGCCCCTGAATCTTAGCCCTCCAAGTGCTTCACTTATCATGTCACATGCACTGTGCGTAACATTTCTGGAATCGATTAGCAGGCACCTGGCGCAACGCAAGGTGATTGATCCTACATAATGGAACAACCTCACTGTTGAAGAGAAGAGAAGGAACCATTTATCAAATGCCCCAAGTATGACAGTGTGATATACTTGATTTCATTCTCGCAGATTTGCCGTGATGCTCATTGTGACCCAAAGCAACTTGAAGCGCTGCAAACTTTAATATCTTCTGCTTGATAATTTGGACTTGTTTCTTTGCTCGCCTTCCCCTTTCGCACGTATACATGCTCTCACTTTTCTTGTGCCTTGTTCTCACTCCATGGTTGAAAAGGTACTTGTGCTTGTTGACTCGCCGTGCTTTTTTAATACACTACCACTATGATGTTGTTGCATGCGGCTGTGCGCTAACCCTTATCATTGTACGATCTTTACCACATTCCCTTCCGTGTCGGGCATGTTCTGGTCGGTCAGACTTGGCCTGGTGTGAATACATGTGGCTCCGGTTTTTCTTGAAGTTCATTATCCGGCAGCAGATGGAGGACCTACGTAAATAGAACGCTATAGTCCCTGAGGCCTATTAGAAGAGACTTGAAGGAACACCAGTCCGAGGGGAAATATTCATCCAGGGTTGAGCTATAGCTTACTCTTTGCAGTTGTAGGATCTCAAAAGTCCGAATCTGCCATTAATATTTACTCATAATCATCCCAACGGTTAACACTAAACGTAAGTCCTGAAAATAACCATGACGTCTAACAGTACCATGACGTCTTACAGTTCAACGATTCTCCGGACGCTGAGCATACAGGAATGGAGGCTATACATACGTACAGTACATGATCACGTGTCGAGCAATGTTCTGATCTATCGTACGAAATCACCATCGTTTGTCCTTCAAGCAAGTCTAAAAAGAGCGCTGCTGAAAAATCCAACGACAACGAGTATTGTCGCAGCCATCCAAAAGCCATCATGCGGGAGGCCCGCAGCCGAGCTACTCGATGTTGTTGAAGTCGTCGGGGACGAACCAGAACCAGAAGTGGTAGCAGACACGACGGTGTTGGTGCCTGCCGTACTGAAAACCCTCACGTAGCCGACTTCGAAGTAGGCATTATTGTAGTCAGTACCATTGCCCATGACCCAATTGTTGTAGCAAATCCCTGAGCATGTGCTGTTCCATGTAGCACCATCGGCTGTGAAACCGTTTTAGTAGTCTGCAACACTCGTTGCTCGCAAAATCTACTTACCCCAGTCTATCCATTGGGAAGATCCGATGTTAACTCAATGCTCGAGTCGATATATGACTGACGTACCTCCGCAAAGGGTGATATCGAAAATTAAGTTCTGGGGCTGGAAGAACTGCTCAATGTTGCAGCCCGTAGAAGGCCAGTTAGCAACAGGGATACCAAAGGATGAGGTATCAATCGTGCTTCCGTTATTCGACAGTGAGCTGGGTATTGAAGACCTCTACGAAGCTAGTTCGGTACTTGGCAATGGTCATTATTCGACAGTAACTCACTGGGAAGAACCAAATGCTGAACAACACAAAAAGTCAATTGATGCCGTCCAACAGTGAAGCAACAATTATACCTTATACCAGTAGAAGCCATTTCAGTCACAAAAGCTCCTCCTCCAGCGCTCGCAAAACCAGCACCATAGGAACCAGTCGATGGATCTGTAACAATACAACCTTGGTCCGAGTTCGCGGCATACGAACAGTTCGTGCTGGCAACCAGTGTTGAGGTTTGATTTTGGGAAACCGCCGTGCATCCCTGTTAAACTGACAAGTCAGTGTTGGACGATAAGCAGTTCAGAAGAGCACCAGTTCACGAACAGTTTCAGTGTGCAAGGACATTTGGTTTTGGGTATCGGTATTGATGCCCTCAAAGGTATCAATCTCGCCACCCTGTGGCCAGAGAGCTGCCTGACTATCATGATTCGTCAAATTTCAAGTGGAATATAAAGAGTGGGCGTAACTCACCTCCACCACGCCGGCCACACGGAACACTAAATCAGAGACCGATTTTAGTGCACCAGCATCTTGACACAAAATTAGTTCACGCACTCCATAAGGCGCATGATATATATCAGCTACCCACAAGCTTCCCACTGCGTAGGAGTCGCTGCTTGCAATCCTGACGGAGTTGCGTTTGTTGTCATATACCACCTGATAGGAGCTGTCAGTGAAGACGAGATATCTGATAGAACAACTTACAGTGGAAGTGTTGTCTACTTTGATGATGGCATGGTTCGTTGTAGTATCCACGTACGCCAGCTGATATGCAGATGCGTTCCCAGCCGAAACATAGCTGCCATGAAAGTTAGTTTGCAAACGCAAAAGCGGCACCCTGCACTCACACAACATCTCCGTTCGTCAGATTATCGTCTGCAAAAAAGTGAGCTCCAGATTTGGCAGATTTGAAAGAAAACCACGAAACAGTTATTATAGAAGGTCCAGTCGTTAAAGAAGCTGGAGCCATAGTACTCTTTGACCATAGAGTACGATGTGGCGGTCACTGGTGCGACGGAGAGCGCTACGCAGGCCAGCGCCGCCGCCATTGTGGAATGAGCAGATAACATGAAGCTCCAGGGAGAGGGTAAACTTGAACTTCGTCGGCCCACAGTTTACGGGAGTTCACAATAAATATACTGGGGCCGCAACTGCGCCGCGACCTCCGTTATGGTTATGCCAGCACCTAGAACCATGCGGATGGTTCTCTGCTAATTATGGCCTACAGATTCAAAATATAGCTTTACACCTGGTGCCTGCTACGGCAATCATCTGATAGGCAGCTGTCGGCTGTTCGGCAGCTCAAAACTTAGAAGTGAGACATGGTTAAACCTTCAACTCGGGGCGTTGGAGTCGCAGAGAAGCTGGATAGAAATCTGAAACGATTAGCCGCGACTGCGGATTTGATGGTGCGGCTGCGCGTGGAGTTGCTGCCAGAACAAGGACTGCATTAATGTCCGGACTTGGCTTCAAGTTGTGTCAGTAGTAGGCCGACTAGTCTAGTACGGATCTTTTCGTTGGGAATGGCCCAGATTAGTGGAACAATTGATCATGGTCCGTAGAGCCTCATGGAATCCATCACGGGGGATTGGAAAGAGCATGGGTTATGGGAGGACAAACGGGTTGAACTTTGAAGACCGCGTTATGTAACCCTAACCTTATGTCTTTTGAAACAGTCCGTTTGGTGTATCTTTTCTGTTCCTGGGCTTGCAACCTACGAACGTGTCTATGGAGGTATTGTGAAGGTCTTCCATGCTTTGTGTGCTGTTTGAAATCATTATGTATTCAAACAGGTTGTAAATGCTCGGTCGGCACTGTTATCAAACTTTGAGGTATTGAACCTCCTTCGCGAGCTCGATGCGGAGCACATCGCCCGCACAAAAACTGCCATCCGCGTCAAAAAGGAAGAAGAGGCTGCGGGAAAGAACTCGCATGACACTCAAACTGAAGAGATTAGCGAGAACCTTCGCACAGTCGAGCTGGAAGCTATTCAGTATCTATCGGCGGACTACCAGCCGACCCTCCACCAATCAGACACGAGCATCACGCAGCTCGTGCGTGGTCTTCAGCCGTTCGGATTGTCGAAATCAGAAAAACTTCAGATAGTCAACCTGGCTCCAACTGAGCCAGTCGAGCTATATGTTGTATGTGCGGGTCTGCATCATGCCAAAATGGACTGAACACCGCCATTCAGATCGTCGAGGAACTCGAAGATCGATTGGGGAACCGAATGGACGACCTTCTTGCTGTAGTATCCAATTCATTACACGAAAGTGCTCCTCGACATTCCAATGGGACTATGACTGTACCCGAAGTCAAACGAACGCGTGGTGAAGCTGTAGTGGAGGTCTACGAAGAAGCAGATCAAGAGACTTGGGAATATGATGCGAACGCAATGGAGTTCGATGACGCGGGAGAGGGAGTAGGCGTTGAAGGCGACCTTGATGTTGATGATGATTAAGAATGCTACGGTTCAAGGAATGCATGTACGTGCCAGTCGCAAGACCATATAGGACTTCCTCGGACTGCTGCCGTGTAAGTGAAAGAGGTTCCTACTCTATCATACGGATGTCTCTCTAACATCTTTCGGTTGCGACTAAGATCTAGCTGTCGCAAAGGCTAAGGGAAATATCATCGTGAGGCAAAGTACATATCGGTCGCTCAACATTATAGATTTTTGACATGGGGTAGTATTTTTACTGTACTTCAGTTCTATGAGGTATAATGAATAAATAAGTTTCGCACTGTTTCAGCGTTGCTCCGGCTACCTTTGCCTGACCCATGTTCCATGTGATTTATCCACAATTTTCTTGAAAAGAAGGACCGACTGTCCTCTTTACTAAAGGAAACCACGCAACTATGATTCGCACCCGCGATTCATCAATATCCGCCAACTATGAAAGAAAAATATGCATGCACGATACTTCCTGGCATCACAGAAAAGGTATCAAATATCCTTGACCTGTTCCTCAAGCCATTCCCATAGAGCCACCCCTGTCTTGGGATCCCGAGCATCGTTTCGAGTTGGACCAACCCTCGCCCAAGGAACGAGATACTACACGAAAGAGGCATCTCAGCGTCTCTTTGCGAATGTCATGAGATGGAAAAATCACCTTGCCGTTTAACCCCACAGCTTCTGGAGCAGTACCGGCATAGAGTTGGGTTAGTGCTCCATGTTCGACATCGTAGAGGAACAAATTCTACACAATACTCATCAGCATTCAACAAGGAGCTGCATGCAGAATATTTGCAAACCAAAATACTACGTTGAAAAGACGGCATGTGGCGTGCCAAGTCTGTTTTGATGTTACCTGGGTTCAGGGGTATGGAAACGATGCCTTCTGAACCGTAGCGCCTTGCGAGTTCAAATGCTTGTACAATGTTGCCCTGTTGACGGGTCAGTAAAAGGTAACGCAAAATAACATAGTCAACTTGCAGTTTTGCTCTGCCCATAAAGTGCACTAGCAGACATCTTCTTGCGGGCAGGACTGTCTTTAAATGCGGAAAAATTGAGACCACACAGCATGTGTGCTGAGGACGAAGTTGTAATGACGCGAGCTTTGCCATCAGGTGCAGACTTCGCGGTAGCGATGAGTGTGGGCAATAGCAGCTTAGTAAAGTAGAAGTGCCCTACAGATAAATTAGAGTCTTGTAGAGCAGAAATGTAATCGTCATACCGAGGACATTCGTTCCAAACTGAAGGTCATATCCGTCCGCAGTTAACCAGTCTGTTGGAGGGAACATGACTCCCCTTATGAACTAAGATGAGCATATCCAAACCACAGCATTCAGTAGATATTGTACACTCACGCGCTATTAAACAGAACGTCCAACTTGGTCTCTTTGCTGTTAATGTCAAAAGAAGCCCCCTACATTGCGACGGAAGACAAACCTGATATATTCTTCCGCGGCAGCTTTCACAGACTTCAAGTCTCCGAGGTCAAGTTTTAGAAAGAGGGCCTCCCCCCCAGTGCTGTCTTTCAGATCCTTGATGGCTACCTCTGCCTTCTCTTGGCTTCTGGCAGCTACATATACCTTGGCACCATGGGCCAACAAGGTCTTTCACTCCATGGTCAGCAGTATGAAGTAAGGCCCATCTCTCGCAGCTTACCTTCGCTGTCTCTTTACCAATCCCAGTGTTAGCTCCAGTGACGATTATGACCTTCCCCGTCAGGTCGGGGATATCATCGACGAGAAAAGCCGACTTGGACGGGAACGATTGACCCAGTAGCGACAAGTAATTGCCCATGGTAGTCGCAGAAAGTGATACTGTAGCCTTCCGTAACGACAGCGCGAGTACTTATAGTACATGAGCTATGCGAAGACTTCCACGCTGGTGAGAGACTTTTGAGGCATCCGCTCGCTAGGTCAACCAGCTTGACAGTACGGGACTCCACCTCTAACAGAAACTCCCAGAAGGTGTTTCAAATCCTGGCAACAAAGCTGCAATACGTACGTCGAGCTTATGTCACGTTTGAGAGTCAGTATGTAGCAACCTAAGTTTGCAAGGTGATTACTTACCAGAAACGATCACGCCGCTGTTCGAGGTTCTTGATATACGATTCGTGGTGTAGCAAGTTCGAAACTTGCCAACCACGTACATCTTTTTTCTGTGACCACACCTCGATGCCGGCCCGGACGTCGACATCCTCAGGCTGTCGTGCCAGTGGATAGATCATCAGAGGTCTGTCCCAACTGGCCATAATCAGATGGTTAACTATGACGCTCCAAAGCCCACTTTTTAATGCGCGATACAACACCAAATGCACTACCAAGTGCACGATTTGAGCTCGCTGTTGAGGACAGCGAGCTCGAGCATTTTGTCATCCCGCGTGTTACTAAAACGGGAAGTCACGCTAATCCCAAAAGCATCCCGGGCCTGATACATATCGGCAATGGTATGCGACTCTGTGTACATTTTGTGTGTGAAATAGTTGAACAGATCCAGTTTCGCCACGGCCATAAGAGTCGACCAATGGAAACATATATAGAGCGGTGTAAGAAATTGAACATGCCCAAATCATCTCGCTGCAAGGTCAGTACGTGGATGATTAGCTTCTCAAAGGTCACCTCATCTTGTGCAGGTCCGAAAATTGCTGACAATCTCTGTACTTCTTCGGAAGTTCTTCCCGACTTCCAGCACGCTTAGCACGTTTCCAAAGGGCGATCTCCTCCCCAACTTGCTTCAGTACGTGTGGATGAAGTCAACTGAACCTTCGCGAGATCCCCCTTCACGCTCAATACTCGCTCACCAGTCGGCATCAAACCAATGTTAAGTAATAAGCAGGGGCTTGTTCTTTCCAAGTTTCGACACTTTTGTTTGTTTCGTATGAACACCAAGCAATCGACGGAGGAGGAACAAATTGATTTCAAGCTCTCGTTTTTATAAGTATAGACTTTCGGGAGCTTACCAACGCTTGATCCCGCCCCTAGGCCTTCGCGTACTATATGGATTCCCAGTAGTGCGACACTGTGTGGTATCTGCGCCTGGGCCCACCCAGTTCGCACAGCACCCCAGTGCTTCAAATTGAGGTAAGTACTAGGTCACAGGGCATCCCCTCTTTCAAAGTCGAACCGAGGCCACTTGATGAAATTGTACAGCCGCTCGACAGTTTGTCCATAGCACATCCAGATCTACCGTGAGCATCCCGTCCTTTCCCAATCATCTTTGTTACCAGGCAAGCCCATAGATAACCAGCTCTGTACAGTCTGCTAGCTCACAAGGGCTCTGACACTACGCGACTTCTCAACCTCCTGTAGCAGATATCATTCCACTGCTTGATTGCCCCAAACTTCGCCTCTGCCGCCACCAAAGTCCTTATTCCACTCCCAATGGTCGAGCATCCGATCAAGGCTTCACGTGTCATGCCATCAACCATACTGCACCGACGTGAAAGCAGAGACACGACTCACTGCCACGCTAGTAGCAAAGAAAGAATATCTTCCACGCCGATAAGTCATGCGGTTACATCCAGGACGCAAACTACTCAAACTCACACATGCTCCATCAGGGCAGCCCGAACAGGTTGAATCATACACGCAAAAGAAATCACAGCTGTCTTTTTCAGCGTCGCTGGCAGATATTGATACTATCAAGGCAGCAACAACAGCGGAAATCAAGGAGAGACGCATTGCTTGAGAGGATGTGATGTTAGATCTGAATGGGACAGTAGGAAATTTTTTTCCTTTTATGCGCTGAATATTGTTCCTCATACCGATGTAGGAAGAGCTTATCCACCTGAAATGCTCTTTCGAACAGATGCATATCTGAAATTCTAGCAGATTGCCACCTAACTTCTACCTTACCTTGCCACTGGTAGTGTGAAGCAAGGTATATTGGCAACCTGGCGTGGAATGAAATATCGCAGCTCGTGATGCAGGGTCAATGCCAGCTCGCAACACCCGTTCGAACAAATAATATCTGCCAAATGGGACGAGAACCGCATACATCGGCTAGGTGGACAGCAGATGATCATTTATTCAAGGGACGGCTCGCTGCGGGTATGGAACTTAATGGAAAACAGATCGGAGACGACTGAAGGGACGGAGAAAGTGAAGTACGCACCGCAGCGATGTCTCCGGACGGAAATGAAGTGGCTGGCGGGAGTGAAGATAGTGGACTGAAGTTGTGAGACATCAACACATGCAAAGCCATTGGGAGATGGCACGAACACATACACGCAGTCGTTTACTCGCCGGACAAGACCATGATTGTGACTGGTGGATACAGATTATACGAGCCCTCGACTGCTGAGTATCTTGTTCCCCTTGGATTTAGATATTATCAAGATATGGGATGACAAGACAGTCAAGCTTATTGCCACTCTCCGAGCAGATGGGACCGTCAACTGACCGCTTGACTGGGAGATGGCATAGCCACCCGTTCGCAGTGCTGGATCACACCAACAGTACTAGTATCATTGCCATTGCAAGTAGTATAGTCGGAATTCAGAGACGTTCAATCTGCTCCGACTCATTCGAAGCCAAGGTACTGATGAATTCATGATTCAAAATCTATTTGTCAAGCTTGTGAGGGCGCTGTATCGGTTGAAACCTGCTGAAATCTTTTATGTGTGAATCATAGCCTGTTCATGACAATATTAATGGGTTTACCTGTAGGCATCGTGAGGATAATCTCAGAAGAATATGTATCCCCGACTCCCTTATTAGGTGTATGTCCCCCAAAGGAGTCAGCGACTGGTGCCGCTGTGCACCGTTACTATACCACCATTGTTGAGCGCCATGCTGGCGAGTCTTGGATGCAGCACTCGAAATTCGGAAAAAAGGAGTAACCACCCGTTAATGTGATTACCCACGAGGGAAATTTGATCGACAACCTGCACGGCACCAGACTTTGACGCAAAATAGTTACCGGCGAGAATGTGGGATTATAAGAGAATTCTGAGGCGAGAATCTCGGGACTTATATCCACCATTCATTCGCCGTCGGATATCAGCGCGAGACTAAGTTAGAGGTCTAGAATTTGTTAGCAATTGCAATATTCAGTGATATCATTAACGTGCACGCGTACGTATACATGCACGTGTGCGCCGACGTCGTCGTCGTCTTGAGCCTCCGCTAACCAGTACTCTGAGTCCCTCCTAGGCCGCCGACCTTTGCAATCCTATGTCTCGCGCACCTGCGAGAGCTTCAACTGCAAATACAACCCAGATGGTAGCGGACAAAAGCTTCAAACGGCTACCAGGCATCAGCGTGCAGGTCGTCGAGCTCATACCACCCCCCAATATTATTGCGGGGACTCCAGGGAGACACTGAAGCATGCGCATCGCAGCTCCAGTGATCTCGTTACCAGTGATACACCGATAACCGGAATAGCTTGAGTCTCGACGAAGTAAATTCTGTCGTCGTGCCGTTCCACCAAAAGCGAAAACAGAGACCGAAAAATCTTTCAAAACGTACGGATCCAAGTGGCATTCTCAATATTATATCAGCATTAAAATAGTGCTGCCGAATTTGTCTATTTTATGTAATCCATTATGATGGCTTAAAATGGATTTTCGAAATTTCCGACAGAGTCGACCAGTGCAAACATAAGTATATAGAGCGGTGTAAGAAATTGAACATGCCCAAATCATCTCGCTGCAAGGTCAGTATGTGGATAATTAGCTTCTCAAAAGTCCATCTTGTGCAGGTCAGAAAATTGCTGACAATTTTTGTACTTTTTTTCGACTTCCGGCACACTGGCCATCAGAGAATTGAGGAGTCCGTGATATGGTAGCTGTGAGAAATATAGTGTGAAATAATTTTGCTACCGCTGAATAAACCTATGTATACGGCAAGAAATATTAGTGATCAGTACATAGCAATAGATGTCTGAAAATTCATTTTACCATCAGGAGTTCGCGACAAGATAACGACATAGCGCCGTCGCAGCGATCAATGTGCAGTAGCATCGTTAAGTCATACTTGTTGACTCATACCATATCCCTTAATTTATGTTTTAAACTACAAAGTGATATAAGGTGATATAAGACTTTATCGTGGAAAGCACCGTTAGCACTTGAAACCTAAAATATATTCTTATGAGAATTTCCGACGAGGTCATGAATTCGTGTAATTAGGTAATGTTTGGTGAGCAACATCATATTCCTTCATTTATATTTGACTTACAAGTAGATTCAAATATTGCGTGAATTACAATGTCATCTAAGATCATGCACGTGACCATCACCTCAGCCTCAAATCGAAAATATGGTCATGCGAAGGGGCCAGCACGCCGCAGGCGCGCGGGAAGCTGCGAAGGGGTCGCTCTGTCGGAACTCGGAGATCTCGCGAAGGGGTTGTTTGAAGCGCAATCTCAAGGTATGTATGCTCTCTTGTTTATTCTCTATTTGACGAATATTCAGATCGTGCCCTCTCCAACGGACTAAGGAGAAAGGCTACTCTACAATGCTCTCCAGTCTTCCAGGTGGGTGAATTCCAATATCTGCAAGGATCCCTTCCTCTTCCTGTTCAACAACATTCTCGTCATTGCTAAACCTCGCCCTGAGGATTCTGATATGTTCCTCCGAGGTGACGAAGCCTAATCCTGCTGATCGGAAGTTCACCGTCAAGAATGTGGTTTTGCTGACAACTCTTCTTCACACCAGCGAGCGTGAGGAGCCGTGTTCAAGAACCATCCCAAGAACCCCTGTGGTGCAAGCATTCGTCGAGCAGTTCTCAACAGACCCGGATAATGCAGTCGCATCGCTCTTCCAGCAGCATGACGACCCTCGGTGATTATTTGTTGCAGCATTCAAGTCGTGTTGTGCTCAAGCATTGCCTTGACGCCTTCAGATTCATTGGACTGAGGGTGAACAAAGCCCTTTGGTTGTTCCTTCAGTCCGTTCACATCCCGGAATGGGGCAACCATGGTGTCACTCCTCTCGACGTTCTCCTCGAGTGAGTCGTTCGCAAATCGGTGGTATGAGGCTAATCCAGTTGCCTGCGCTGGGCATGATTGGGTTATTGATGCCTGCGCTTGGAGGAGCCATCGTGCAGCTGAACGACGTCCTGCACGGTGCCATCTCTCATGAGCCGGGTCAAATGGGGCATCCCAAAAGAAACATTACTGCCAGAGACTTCCTTGAAGCTTTCCGACGTCATGATAATCGCTTGTCGGACGAGTCATTGGGGGATGTCTATGATTCCATTCGTTGCGAGCATCTGTGTCAAGCGCGCACCCCAACGTCTGGTGGCCCACCAGATATCACTGTCAACTTCAAACGCCCACTCCCTCCATGGCTTACCTATCGAGTCCAGTCAGAGCCGGTCGTCATCCGTATCCCACAACCAGATCCACATTTCAGTATCAAGCTATTTGGACACGATCTGGTGTTTGACCCACCTGTGCTGTCATTTGCGGAGTCGGCGGAAGCTTCTTTCCGGGTGACAGGGCGCTTTTTTGGACATCACAAGGTGGTTAACTTGTTCATCAAATCCGAACTACACACACTAATATCCTCGGTGTGAATCTGTGGGTCCAGGTGAGCTCTGACAGATACGGCATCTGCACCGTTGCTAATGGAGTCGGATCTGATAGTTGTGGGTTGCCCCCCAGTTGGTAGTAGACTTTGACGGATGGACTTGGTGGAGACGCGGAGCCACTTAGTAGTTTTGAACTACATAGTATGCGGTAGTACCATTTCTTAGTTTCGAGCCTTTAATTGAATTCGTTCATCTCACCAATCACGCTTGACGAAATAATTTATTTTGACGGTGACTTGGCACAGCAGTTACACAAATATAGAGTGAACTCAAGTTCGGACACTAGTGTGGTGGAAGTAGTCAAGCGCAAAGAGCATCCGCCTCCTAATTGCGAAAAAAAATTATTGTCATTGCCCTTCCATTACCGTCACAGTACTAGCTACATTTTATATCTTCCAACGCACGCAGAGCCTCGCAGACTTTGAGAGAATCATGTCTGTCTATGAACCGGACGGGGTACGCAAACTGCTATCAATGCTGGAGCCAAAAGACACACAGAAAAAATTCGAGGCAAACTGGAAAGATGCGGTATGCACTGGCATGCAGAACTTCGCATATTGACATTGACCTGTTGCGCTATAGGTGAAAAAACGTGTTGGGTCGTGGACAGGACATACCGAGCGCATGACCCATCCAAGACCCAGGCGCCAGTGTGAATGGGAAGCTGAAGTCATCGAGTACATCAACTATATCTCAGAGAAGACACGAATACGATCAGCGAAATCACTCATGCGACCATGCCTGGACAGCAGGATTCCAATACTTGGCCCTCACTTTTTGCCACCATCCTATCTCCATGCCCGAAAGCGCAATCAGTCCGAGCCTCCAGTTAACCCAGAGGTCTTGTACTTGAAGCCTCTTCGCGTTGTACATCCATTCTACCACCCCGAGCTTGCAAGATGTCCGCGGTGCAATTGTACAGATGGTGTTTCGTGGGACGGGTGGACTGGGACCGGTCCTCGAGATGTCCATGGATTAATGCTTGATGAGGCAGCGATAGGCATGCAGCTCCGCTGCGAGACTTGCAAAAATGATCCGTCAAGCAAGAAGGGTCTAGAAAGCGAGTGTGAGCGTGACAACAGGAAGATGATCAAAGGACACTGCTTCGCAACAACAAGCCAAGACTTCTGGCGCAATTGGTCCCACTGGTCCATTCCAGGTGAGCTTGATCGAGTTTGGCTGGTGATTGTTCAGCGGCTGAGTCACATTCATTGCGGCAGCCGACGTACCAATATTTTTCTACAGATGTGCTGTTACTCGCGAGTTGTTTGATCTAGTTATTGAGTTACGCCCATCATCTACAGCGGGAACTCTCACTGAAAACATCCGACGTGAGTAGCACTATCTACTTCTCAAGCACGGGTCTAACATACCTTTCAAAAAGAACTTCATTTGCTTGAGTACCACAGGCGGAAGCTGGATTACCTTCAAGCTTGGAAATCACGTCGAACGACACGACATGGGATGGATTTCTTCAGCCCAAATCCACTTCGGGCGTTCTCGGGTCCTTACGACGTAAAAGAGTACAATGCGAGGCCGATCTCGCATGACATGGTCAGCGAGATCTTCCAGGAGTTTGTGTCAGCAACGCGGGAAAGGGAGTCTGAGGAATATCTTCGCACACTCTCTGGTAAGACTTGGGAATTGCTCTGCTATCGGCAATTGACGCTCACCTTGAATGCTGAACAGGCATAAGTATTTCGTTCGATAACACATTCCGTGCCGCCACGAAAGCAATCATAACCAGCCGAGAGAAACAGAAGTTGAAGGTCCTGAAGGGGGGGATCATAAGTCTGATGAATGAGAATGGTGAGATTGTGGGCTGGGTAGGCTATTTTCGCAAAGTGAACGAGACAGTGCTGATTACTAACTACATCAGCGCTTCTGTCATGGCCAGTCAAATGCCGAGATAAGCGAGCTTCTCGAAGGCCTCAAGACACGATGCGAGGCCCTTGGTGTCCCTCCGCCCGAAGTATTTGTCGCCGACAACTGCTGCCATGTGCGCAGCGCTGTGGATATTGTTTTTCCTGATGCTACAATGAAACTGGATGTCTGGCATTTCATTATGAGGCGAGTACATTTTCCTTTGTCTAATAATCTACAAGCTAATCCTAAAAGCAAGATATGCGACTGTGATCCTTAATCCCTCCAAGAATCCCCACAGGAAGGAAGTAGTCGCGGAGATTTCTGCCTGTATCCTGAAGAAACATGCTGAGGGTGGGAATCCCGCAAAGTACTGGGAACGAAACGAGCAGGAGACGAGACTCACCTCGACGTTTGAGAAATGGGCATGCGAAGGTACAGTTTGGTCAGCGGGGGCACGCAGAGTGAGTACTTATCCCTGGAACAGCCTGTTTCACACTAATATCAATTTCAGGTTCATGAGGAACAGCTCAAACACGTACGGAAAGGCTGCCTCGAACGTCAGCGGCAGGACATACGAACAGATGGAAGCCGTGTGGAGGGGTCCCACAAAGGCTGGAACTCCCTCCAGCGTGCGCACACCAGCGGAATCGTGACCTTCACAGGCCTTTGCCACGACTTCGTTCTTCGACGAAATGTTCGTGTTGCCTTTTCGAGGGCAAGCAAATCGGACTTTATCACATCAACTCACGGTTCTCATCACATTCACCTCGTCGACAGGATCGCGAAGCAATTCAACAACCTCCGACTCGAAGAGAAGACCACTAGCACATGCTGCCTACCAGAGCTCCAAGATGTCCCATCGAACGAGCACTTTGGGCTTGTTGAATCAAGCTTCGCCTCCACATTTGGTGGGCTACTGGACATCAAGGCCGAAGACACACCTGTCGATCTCAACATGTCTGGAAACAAGATGCTTGAGGCGCTCAGCGATGACGGTGATGCCGTAGACCTCGTCCTGCGGTCGACGAGGGCTGAAATCCTCGAAGAATTTGATATTGACCCACAACTCCTTTCTATGCCGGAGGCACCTGTATTTGAGTCTTCACCTCATATTCCAGCCCTCGTCACGCCACTGCCTCACGCTCCTCATCCTGCTACTGCCAATGTCAGTGACGCCACTTCTGCCAGTTCAGCCATCGTTGGAACCGATACTCAGCCCCACGCAACGAAGAAGCGCAAGGCAGATGACACCATTGTCATCTCCGACAGCGAACCCGACGATTCTGGCCAACCAAAGGGAAGTATGGCATGCAAGCTGCCGCCCCCGCAAAATCATGCGGCATTTGACATCTCCAAGTCAGGTAAGTTCTCTGCCGCTTACTTCACTTACCTCGTATATTCACATATTCCCCTCTCCAATTCATCATCACATGAAAACCGCTTCCTTTCTTTACTGACCCGCATTGCAGGGGATTCCATCAGCCACATTGGACTGCTACCTCAAGCCCAGGAGCAGGTTGCCATACTGCAAAGCTCCTCTCTCGCGGCCGCTGACGGCCATCAGCACCGGCACTCCCAGCCAACCTCAGCCCAAGGTCACATCCAACTCCACTCCACAGATTGCAGTGAGCAGCCCTGCCGCAAGCGATCTCACACCCATTGCAGTGACAAGCCCTGCCGCAAACAATCTCACACCCATCCCGAGGCCTCCGGGGATGACACGTTCTCAGCATTTCTTCACGATCGCATCAAGAATTGACGCCCGCGCCATGCAAATCTCTGGCAACATCGAGTTTCATTTGTTTATGGACATGAGGGCCGAGTTTTCGTGGATCTCTTTCAAGATGACGCCAAAACAGTGGGCTGTAGCTACCGAGTCCTATAACTACCGTCTCGAGGAGAAGAACCGCGCTAATGGGTTTGAAACAGTGAGGAAGAACCCCCAGGCCCTTCTCCGAAAGCTCGGCGAGATTGAAGTGGCTGTCATGAACCGTGTGGCAAAGAACAACTTCAAGTGTGAGTTCAGCTGCTCTCTGGTGTTTTTTCACGCACTAACTACTTGCTCCAATTCACAATACAGCTCATTCCGGCTCAGAAACGTTCTGGAGAAGGCACTGTCACGCTATCGAGCTCATCAAGGCTGAGCCTGGGAAGAAGGTGTGCAAGTCTTTCTCAAAAATTTCGTGTTCGCTCACTCTCTACCCTTTGCTTTCCCAGATCCGCAAGGCACACACATGCTCCCGCTGCAAGACAATCATGTACCCCGGTCCCGAGAACTCAGGGTACAACCACAGACGGGGCTTTTGTGCCGACGGCGCCAAGCAGGTGTCCAAAAATGAGCCGCCTCCACCCTGGCCACAGCCACCAGGCATATTCTCTGAAGGCAAGCGCTTCCATCCGCGTGCCTTCCTCGAAATCGTCAAGCAAATATACGAGCAAGTATTCCTCCGGCCATCTGGTGAAAGCCCTGCACTCGAGCAGGAGGCATTTGCAATGATGCTGCTCGACCGGTCAACAACACTCGAAGAGTCAGGGACTGTGCTGTTCAAGCTGTATGAGGAGCTCGAGATTGACGAATCGACGCCAGACGCACTGCTGATTGTGCACAATGGTGTCAAGCACCTTCGCGTCGAGTATCTCCAGGAGCATTGGGCCTCGTAGTAATTCCGATCTTTCAATTCAGGTGTTCTTGTGCTTGTCTTTTTAAGTACCTCACAGTTTCCTTTCCCCCTCGCTACTAATGGTTCAGATTTTGTATATATTTACATTATCACGCTTCTATCAAGCCCCGCCCTTGCTTCGCATCATTCTCCTTCCCCCCCTTCCGCACGTTAGTCTCGTTCTTCCGTCCCTCTGTTTTTTCAACTTATATCACGTGACTTACGATTGGTCTCGCAATGGTCGTTCACGTGCACGACCATTTTGGCGTCACGTGAGACCAAAAATGGTCCACCCCTTCGCATGTCGATGTTGCCCTCAAATCTTACTGTAGTATTATCGGACAACCTCAAATCATGTGACCACCGCAAGTGGTTGAAATTGGTTTGTCATTGTTTGTGCAAGACGGAAATTTTCACGCTAAGTTCCTTTCAATCTTGTTTCACCGCTATAGCTACAACCACCACCTCTTGAGACTCGAGCTCAGCATCTGCTGTTTGCTTGTGGTTCCTCCTGTTCGTGGTGGTCCTACAACCACCACCTCTCGAGACTCGAGCTCAGCATCTGCTGTTTGCTTGTGGTTCCTCCTGTTCGTGGTGGTCCCTCCCTGACCTTTCCTCGTGGTTCCTTCCCGGCCGTTCGTGGTTTCTCCCTGGCCTTTCCTGGTGGTTCCTTCCTGGCCGTTCGTGGTGGTCCCTCCCTGGCCTTTCCTGGCCGTTCGTGGTGCTCCTTCCCTGGCCTTTCCTCATGGTTCCTTGCTGGCCTTAGTCTCTCCCTCTTGTGATATTCCCTCTCCACTATATTTCCCTGTTTCTTTTTGTGTCCTGTAACTACATATGCATTTCAATATAAATAAAATTGATTTTCTTCACAAAATGAGTGTTTGAGGTTGAGAATTATCTGGTGCTGGTGATAAAATGGCAGGTAGTTGCAGGCAATCTGTCATGCTGGCGCTTTTGGTAGTTCTGTCTAACTTACTCCGGGTAGTATCAATCTGACAGGTACCATATAAATTTGACGGTTAGACAAAGCTTTGTAAACCTTTATAATTTCGGGTCAATTATTTGATGCCTTTGGAGTTTGAGCAAAATCAGGCGCTTCTCTCGATCATAAAAATTTGTAGGAAAATCAGGCAAGCATCTTACCTCTATAAGGCCAAACATCACAATGTAATTGTCCATAGCAGAATTATGCTAATTCTCGTGATTATGTACTATATATTGTAATGTATGGCCTTCTACTTTCCTCACGGGTTCACTGATGGCCCTTAGCACGTTTCTAAAGGGCGATATCCTCCCCAGCTTGCTTCAGTACATGTGGATGAAGTCAACTGAACCTTCGCGAGATTCCCCTTCACGCTCAATACTCGTTCAACAGTCGGCATCAAACCAATGTTAAGTAATAAGCAGGGGCTTGTTCTTGCCAAGTTTCGACACTTTTGTTTGTTTCGTATGAACACCGAGCAATCGGCGGAGGAGGAACAAACTGATTTCAAGCTCTCATTTTTATAAGTATAGACTTTCGGGAGCTCACCAACGCTTGGTCCCGCCCCTAGGCCTTCGTGTACCATATGGATCCCCAGTAGTGCGACACTGTGTGGTATCTGAGCCTGCCAGTGGGCCCACCCCAGTGCTTCAATTTGAGGTAAGTACTAGGTCACAGGGCATCCCCTCTTTCAAAGTCGAACCGAGGCCACTTGATGAAATTGTATAGCCGCTCGACAAATTGTCCATAGCACTTCCAGATCTACGGTGAGCATCCCGTCCTTTCCCAATCATTTTTTTTACCAAGCAAGCCCATAGATAACCAGCTCTGTACAGTCTGCTGGCTCACAATGGCTCTGACACTACATGACTTCTCAACCTCCTGTAGCAGATATCATTCCACTGCTTGATTACCCCAAACTTCGCCTTTGCCGCCACCAAAGTCCTTATTCCACTTCCAATGGTCGAGCATCCGATCAAGGCTTCACGTGTCATGCCATCAACCATACTGCACCGACGTGAAAGCATTGACACGACTCACTGCTAAGCTAGTAGCAAAGAAAGAAGTCCTTCCACGCCGATAAGTCATGCAGTTACATCCAGGACGCAAACTACTCATACTCACACATATTCCGTCAGGGCAGCTCGAACAGTCTGAATCATATACGCAAAACCAAGAACATTTGTCACTTTCAGCGTCGCTGGCAGATATTGATACTGTCAAAGCAGCAACAACAGCGAAAACAAAGGAGAGACGCATTGCTTGAGAGGATGTGATGTTAGATCTGAAGGGGACAGTAGGAAAATATTTTCCTTTTATGCGCTGAATATTGTTCCACCTGAAGACCCACAAATTGTTTCGAACAGATGCATATCTGAAATTCCAGCAGATTGCCACCTAACTTCTACCTTACCTTGCCACTGGCAGTGTGAAGTAATGTATATTGGTAATCTGGTGTGGAATGAAATATCGTAGCTCGTGACGCAGGGTCAATGCCAGCTCGCAACACCCCTTTCGAACAAATAATATGTGCCAAATGGGTCGAGAACAGCATCCATCAGCTAGGTGGACAGCAGATGATCATTTATTCGAGGGATGGCTCGCTGCGGGTATGGAACTTAATGGAAAACAGATAGGAGACGACTGAAGGGACGGAGAAAGTGAAGTACGGACCGCAGCGTTGTCTCCGGCCGGAAAGGAAGTGGTTGACGGGAGTGAAGATGGTGGACTGAAGTTGTGAGACATCAACGCATGCAAAGTCATTGAAAATTTGGGAGATGGCACGAATACATACACGTAGTCGTTTACTCGCCGGACACGACCATGATTGTAACTGGTGGATACAGATTATACGAGCCCTCGACTGCTGAGTATCTTGTTCCCCTTGAATTTAGATATTATCAAGATCTGGGATGACAAGACAGTCAAGCTTATTGCCACTCTCCGAGCAGATGGGACCGTCAACTGACCGCTCAGTGACTGGGAGATGGAATAGCCACCCGTTCGCAGTGCTGGATCACACCGACAGTACTAGTATATTTGCCATTGCAAGTAGTATAGTCGGAATTCATAGACGTTCAATCCCACCATTGTTGAGCGCCATGCTGGCGAGTCTTGGATGCAGCACTCGAAATTCGGAAAAAAGGAGCAACCACCCGTTAATGTGATTACCCACGAGGGAAATTTGATCGACAACCTGCACAGCACCAGACTTTGACGCAAAATAGTTACCGGCGAGAATGCGGGATAGTATAAGAGAAGTTGACGATAATCACGCACGTATGCGCCGTCGTCGTCTTTAGCCTCCGCTAACTAGTACTCGGAGTCCCTCCTAGGCCGCCGACCTTTGCAACCCTATGTCCCGAGCACCTGCGAGAGCTTCAACTGCAAGTACAACCCAGATGGTAGCGGACAAAAGCTTCAAACGGCTACCAGGCATCAGCGGGCAGGTCGTCGAGCTCATACCACCCCCCAATATTATTGCGGGGACTCCGTGGAGACACTGAAGCATGCGCAGCGCAGCTCCGGCGATCTCGTTACCAGTGATACACCGATAACCAGAATAGCTTGAGTCTCGACGAAGTAAATTCTGTCGTCGTACCGTTCCACCAAAAGCGAAAACAGAGACGGGAAAATCATTCAAAACGTACGGATCCGAGTGGCATTCTCAATATCGATGATGCAGTGAAATGAAGACGCGGAGTCCCATCGCATTCAAGGCAGAGAAACAAAAGAATTTAGCCGAGAGCATGGTTATTGCTGACCAAACGCGCACTGTCGATTTTCAGTAACCGAACAGTGTAGAACCTCGCAAAGTTTGCGGCGACATTAAGCCTGCGGGCAGAAGTAGAGTCTATTCGAGACAGCGCAAGCACAAACTTGCAACTTCAAAGCTTCACTCTTAGATCCCAGTTTAGAGCCGTCTGATGGGACAAGACCCGCACAGTTGATAGCGGGGATTAAAAGGTCGATATGTCGACGGCGGAGTCTACAAGTCAAGTCATAATGAGGGACGGGGACCCTCGCAAGTCTTATGTGTAGTGGAATAAAAACACTTGCATTTGCGTGCTGCATAAATGATACAGATGTAGATTGACTCCGATCACATGAAGTGCAAGAATGGGTAGTGAATCAGTCTAACTCTAACACCGTTCCACGCTGGACACTTCCCCAACCTGATGGGAAGTCAGTAAATGAATCTACCAAGTGGACAGAGATACTTGCCTACAAGTCGCCAATGCTTCTCGATACGTCTCGAAAGAGCGACCTTCTCCCCAACCTCAGTACAAGCGGGTGAAGTCAACTGAATCTTCGCGAGATCCCCTTTCACACTCAATACTCGCCCACCAGTCGATGTTGAACCAATGTTAATCAACAGGAGCTCGTTCTTGGCAAGTTTCGAGACTTTTGTTTGTTTCTTGTCTTCTGTACGAACACCAAGCAACCGGCGGAGGAGGAACAAACTGATTTCAAGCTCTGTATACCCTTTAGAACAACCCAAGATGCCGAAACCGAGGAGATACACACCGGTATAGACCTTTGGGAGCTTCCCAACAGCACCCAGCACTTGGCCAACAAGACGATCTGCTCTGCACAGCGTAGGATCAATTTTGGTCCCAACACCGATTAGACCCCCCGGAACCGCAAACTGCAAGTGATTGTTCTCGGCGTGTAGTGAGACGATCCTGCTGAAGATGGGCTTGCAGCGGTTCCGGCCTTGGGTGTCTTTCGTTACAATTCCTGGGCGGATCTCGACCTCCTGCCCTAGCCGTAGCACGCCAGTGAGGATAGAACCACCGGCAACGCCACCTTTGAGGTCATCGACCTCAGCACCAGGCTTGTTGACATCGAAGGAACGGATAACGATGAGACGGGGATCGGAAGTGAAGTCGCGGACTGGGATAGGTATACGCTTTACAATGTATTCGTTGACGGCGTCGATGTTGTATTTCAGCTGCGCAGATATTGGGACTATGGGTGACGACTCGGCCACCGTGCCTGTAACAAGAATGAGTACATCATCGGACATTCGATGCGGCAGAGGACTCACCCTTGACAAATGCAGCGATTGATTTTTGATGCTCAAGAGCCTGGGCTTCCTTGATCAAGTCGACCTTATTCTGCAAAATAATGATATTTTCCAGCTTCATAATTTCAACCGCGGCCAAGTGCTCCGATGTCTGTGGCTGAGGGCATGTCTCGTTTCCTGCGATCAGAAGAAGGGCAGCGTCCATGACTGCGGCACCGTTAAGCATGGTAGCCATCAGAATATCGTGACCGGGACAGTCCACGAAGGAAACATGGCGAATGAGTTTCATTCGGTGACCACATCCTGGTCGTTCGCAGGGTGGATTATCTTCCTTGTCCGAGCGATACGATCGATAGCAGCCTGGGCGTGGGCATGCCTCGTTCTCGCATTTGTAGATCTACGATGGTGGATCTCGAGATTAGCAATGCATCATACGCGAAGCGCAGGGAACATACTTTTGCATTTGCATAACCTAGCTTAATCGTGATGTTACGAACGAGCTCGTTTTTGAATCGTACAGTCATGACGCCTGATATGGCCTTCACAACTGTCGATTTTCCGTGTGCGACATGACCGATCGTTCCTGCAGAGATAACTCAATTGCTAAATTATGCATACTCGCAGAGCTCTGCGTACCCAAGTTAATTGTAGCCTGAAAGGATCGTTGTCAATGAGTTGCTTCAAACAATGGAAAGCTGCTTGCGCACCTGTTTTGATATTACTTCGGGCGAAAGAGGTGTCAGCTTCGTGACGTCTATATCAATCTTTGGGACATCATCCAGCTGGTCGTCCTCCTCTTCAGAGTCTGATTCTTCGGGGTGGGGGTGTTTTTGTAGAGTCTCTTCGTCTGACATTTTGCGAGATCAAGGTAGGAGGTCGGACTTAGCAGGTGACTCGAAAAGTCCCAAATCTAAATTATGCCACCCTAACTAAGCAACTCGTTTGATCACTCACGTTCGTGCAAATGCAAGTTTCTCCAACGAAATCATGAACAACGTCCACTTCCCAGTTCGCGTCGTAGCTTTACTTCGACGTTTTGTCAATGCCATGGCTACTTTTTCATTATCTGGCCAATACCTCATATCGAGGGTCAGAGCCGAAGATACCTCCAGCAGCAAACCCGAAGTTCCTACTACTTCCAATGACTTTTGGTGGAACCCGCTGTCTCCGAACAAGTGGGACTGGCTTCGTGTAGGCTTACTTGTGGATGGTGCTCTAGAGCAACCAACCAAACGGCTGACTCCAGCACTCCCTCATTGGACCTCGGAAGGCATGTTACTACGTTTGGCGTTTACCAGCGTTCACCAGACTCATGCAGTCCGAATTCATAAACAGGCCGATGCTTCTTTAAGGACGACACCAAATCATGGCCGCCAAATTTATCTCCTTCTGATTCCAAAGTGTCATACGAACCTCATACCACTGCTCTTGACACATCTGCTATCAATTCCGAATTGCCGCGGGGGGGATTTTCACCTAAGGAACCATCCGAGGGTGATTCTACTGATACCATTCATCGCTTACTGCGAAACCCAGCACTGTATGACCCGATCAGAGCCCCTAGGTTTCCTATTGTCCTCTGCCACGGTTAGTTCATCATAATCGGTTTATTTAGAATGAACCACACACATTGATCCATAGGGCTATACGGATTTGATGTGCGAGGTCCTGCCGCATTCCCCAGTCTCCGAATGCACTATTGGTCCAACGTTCTTAATATCCTCAAAAAGAAGGTCGGAGCAGACGTTATTGTCACAGCAGTACCCGGGTACGGTCATCAAACTTGATAGTAGACCATTTCTGATTTTGAGTTCTTAGAACGGGCTCCATAGCGTCGAGGGCAGAAAACCTTGATCGGTTACTCCAGGAGAAGGCCAGAGGGCGAGGTGTCAACCTCATGGCTCATTCCATGGGAGGTCTTGATTGCCGCCATCTCATTACACATGTGCAGCCAAATGAATATACCCCATTATCGCTGACAACAATCAGTACTCCCCATAGAGGAAGCCCCTTCATGGACTGGTGCGCGGTAAGTTCCCGATTTTTAATCCTCGCTTTGCAGTGCATTCACTTCACTTCACGACAAGACACATATCGGCCTCGGAAGACAACCCCAAGAAGAAATGTTCAAGAAAACGACCGAGATTCAGCAGTCTATGTCGGAAAAGGAGACAACCACTGAGAAGCGCGAGACTTCATTTTCCTTGTCACTGGCTTCCTTGCCGTCGTCTTTCACAACGCTCTTGTTGTCCATCCTGGACTCGCCTGCATATGCCAATTTAACATCGTCCTACCTCAACAACGTGTTCAACCCCGCTACCCCCAATGATCCACGTGTCAAGTACTTCAGCATCACCGGACGTACCGCCGACATGAGCATCTGGCACCCGCTTTGTCTTCCAAAGATGGTGCTCGATGAGTTGGAACGAGCGGCAAAGGAACGCCTCAAGCGTCAACACGCCGACTCAAGGGATATACATGCGCCTCTGACATGGGAGCAGGACGACCAGTGGGGGAACGACGGCCTCGTGACCGTGCAGAGCGCAAGGTGGGGCGAATTTCTCGGGATAATGGAGGGCTGCGATCACTGGGAGATCAGAGGTGCACGGGGGCTAGAGTTCAATGTCGACTTGTCGTCTGTGCCCCTGACGAGCATAACGGGTCGCGTCGGTGTAGATGGGTGGGCGTTGGGCGACTGGTCGAAGTTTATTCGGGCTTGGAAGAAGCAAGAGAAGGGGTCGTCTGGTGATTTTGAGTTCGCTAGTGCTGGTGGATCTTCGATGTCGTCATCGGAACCGAGAGATTCCCGAGGGGTTAGGGAGGAGATGCGCAAGGGTGGTGAAAGTGACCCCGTTGTGAAAGCGTCGACGGATAAGCTCTCCGCCGTGTTCGATTGGATCATCGATCAGGTCCCATCGACGAACAAGTCTCCCCCTGCAGACACTTCACAGAAGCAGAAGGTCAGGAAGTCTGTCAAGAACGAACTGGCCTCTAAATTGGATCTGGAGAGATTCTATGTGGCATTATCCCGGAAGTTGTATGATGAGGGGTTGTAAATCCAGATTAATTGTAGTCCGTTTCTATCCTATTGAAGACGCAGCTTGGACTATCATTGACGCAAATCTACTGTTGTTATGCACAAGTTGACCTAGCCACAGCTCAGCGCTCAGCACTCAGTATGTAGGCTATGATAATTTTTCGCCATAAATTATAGTCACATTCCGATCACCTAATGTGCGGAGATTTCATCGCTATTCTACGTTAGAGGCATGTGCATGAAAGACGAATAAAACAATAAAAAGAAACAATCAACGACAGTGAGCGGCAACGACAAAGGTGTCATGGTGCGCAGAAGTAAACGGCAAGGTAGCAAAGGGCACAAGAAAATGAAACAAGCATGATAACCTTACAATACACTGATCAAGCCAGCATCATGTCGAATCAAACCCGTCTTTCTCTCCACCTCCAGGAAATACTCGAGTGCTCTCTTCGCCTTCCCCTCCATCTCCTCTGCGTTCTTAACTTCTTTGCCTCTCTCTTCCATTGCAGCTCTAAATCGCTCCCTAAGGTCCCAAGACGCCAGGCGCAAGACCTTGCGTGTCTCCCTGCTGACACGGCCAGCATGGGCGTTGACGAAGAGTTCATTCTCTGTTGTGTTCTCGTCAACGGCAACCAGGGATGTACGGATGCGACGACCGATAGTGCGCGGAATAGTGTTGGGTAGCTCGAGGACGAAGTAAGCAGTTGCACCGATCACGAAAGCGCCCAGAACAGGAGCCGCCCATTTCCTTGCAGTCTCGTTTCCAAACAGCTCAGAAATGCGTACGATACCATCGACAATGCCTCGGGCACCGAACGTCTGCCCGCCAACCATTGTTAGCGCACCGACGCCAACAGAGACGACGCTAAGCGCAGTAGTGGGGCTGGTTTCATCCTCCACTTCTTTCTTGTCATCGGCAAAGTGAAGCCAGAGCCGGTGGAAGTCAAAGATGTCGAGGGCAGATGTGTCAAGCATATCCGAGCGCTGGGCGAGGCCAATGCCGAGATTGTGGACCCCTCCAGCCACGACAGCGGTGGCTGTTGAAGAGGAACGGCGGCGGAGTCCCTTCTTGCCAGAGCGCAATGAAAACATGGCCTCTGGCATAAATACCCTCCGCGACTTCTCAACTCCTTCAGGAAGATTAGCGTCACCAAGCTCGCCGATCTTCTTCACACCGGCAGAAGTAGTGACCCGAGCTTCATCCTCAGCCAGTTTCACAGCCGCATCCAAGCTAGCCAACAGAGCCCTCTTGACATCTCTGGCATAATCCCAAATGCGAAGGAACCCAGGGAAAGTTGGCAGGGAAACGGTAGCATGATCCACGCCAGGCAGGCCTTGCCCGACGCGCTCAATGGCAGAGGAAAGGATGGCCTTTGTTTTGGTACTTGTCTTCTCTGCCCCCAATTCTTCCACGGACTCCAGATTTTCTTCCAATAATTCCTGACTGCCCTTCATCTTCTCAAGAACTGGCTTGACACGCTTCAAATCATCTTTAGCGCGGTCAAGATCAGATTGGGCGACGATAGCATTTGCGCCAACCAAAAGATCAACGTCGGATAGGAGGTTGGAGAGGTATGTTGTGACAGGCTGGAGCTTTGACTTGGAGCGTTTGACGAGAACAAACGAACGAAGCGAGGATTCCAGGTCGTCGAATGCGGGATTGGCTGTGTACGGTCGAAGAGCAGCAGCAGAATCAACGAAGTGGACAAGGTCCTCGGCGTCCTCGTACGTCCTAGGGCTCAGCTGCTTGATTTGCTCCAGGACCAACCTCCTGCATTTCTCCTTGTTTTTGATCTGCTCGAACTTGTTCACGACAATAAAAAGGTATGCCTTCTCGTTGCTAGCATTCCACAGGAACTCTTTGGAGGATAAAGTGAAGTGATTTTCGGCTGAAACGACAAAGACAACGACGTCGATTTCTTCCTGACGAGTGAAAAGAGCCGTTGTCTTTAAGCTATCACGGTTGAGACCTGGTGCGTCAATAAGGGATATGTCAACAACCCCATTATTGAGTAATGATTCCGATGGTGCCCGGCTGTCGGAAAGGTAAATCTTCAAGACTGGCTGAACACCCTCGTTGTCTGACACAATCGTCTCCAAATCGGCAAGTTGAGAGCGAGTGAAGGTCGACTCGTCCAAGATGCTATACACTGCACCCTCCTTGATGATATGAACTTCCTCCTTGCCATTATTCTCAGCAGCATCGTGCACTTCGCAAAAGGCGGTTGTGCAGGGCTGCTGGTCAATTGGCATCACCTCCCGCCTAAGAAGGGCATTGACAAAAGTGGACTTTCCAGAATTAAGGTCACCGGTGACAAGAACCTTTGATGAAGTGTCCTCTACACGGAGGCGGAGCTTATCCATATGATTGACAGAAGCACTGATACGTTCGTCCAATAAATTGGCAATAGAGCCTTTTTCGAGTTGCGATACGAGAGCGGCAGGGGATGTGTTGGAACCGTGAGGACCGAGCTTAAGGTCCAGACGAAGAATATTGAAATCTCCATTCTGAGAGGACGGCATTAACCCCTCCCCCTCGCATGTGTCCCTTTCGCCCTGATTTGTGCCTTCATCAGCAGACTTGACATCAGTGCCTTCCAAGGCGTCAGCAATTGACGCCAGAGTGACAGCCCGGGTCAGGCCCTCTCGCACAGGAGTGTAAAGAACTTCAGTGTGGTTGCTTGGATCATCTGCGAAGGAAAGCGACCGGCGAAGAGAGCGACGGGGTTTTGCCTTTGATAGTGATGAAGGCTCTGCGGAGGGTTGCTCGTGAAGAGTGGGATACCTCACCACCCACTCCTCCTTGTTGAACTGACGCAGTTCCCCAAGAATAGACTTGGATGAATCAAGGGCCTGGACCAAACTGCCTGACCATTAGAACAACATAAAAAGTAAGAGAATGATGCAAACGAACCGATCCTTTTGCTCAATGTATGCTTCTTGGACATCCTCCACCTTTAAATGCTTCTCGTTCCCATGACTTGAAAGCAAAGGCTCTTTCGCCAGCGACGAGGATGACCGCGCTGGGGCGGAAAAGTAAGACTGTGACATTGCACTGAATAGCCTTTGCGCCTCCAAACTACTGGTGACGTCGAGCACAAGCGAAACAGTGGGCTTGTGAGTGAGTGAGCTCGACGGTTGTCGGACAATATTATCAATGATGATGTATATTTGGCCAGCCACTTAGATTGCGCTTACTCAGCCGCTTCTGCCCGCATACCACGGTTCTGCCCGACTTCCGAACCCTAAACTCTAGTTTTGACAGTGACCCCCTGACTTTGCCCTGACTAGTAGCTAGTACTATCGGCTCTACAACATCTAGTACTTATAGAGAACGGCGACTTCGATGTATGTAACAGAGAGCTTGGTAGGGCATGCCACATAATGCGGCGACGAACTGACGGTGTCTTTGAATGGTATTATTTTATTCCACAAACTTGGTTCAACTACTCAGTACTGACGAAAACATTGTCTTAGGAAATTTGTTTGCGTGCAATCCGCAACCCGTAACACATGGATAATACGCTCTGCTGATAGGCTATTCGCAGGAGCGTTACCCGTGGCGAACTTTGAACTCAAGGTCAGGAATTTGAATTCCGGGAATCCATTGCAATCAACCACGAGGCGCGATACACTCGCAGAGCTGACTTATCCTATCCTCCGGTATCTTCAACTCTTGGATTGAGGCGTGGTCTTACCACTCTCTCGGTCCGATTGATAGGGGAGTCGAGGTCGAGGTCAATGCTTAATGAGGCTGATCATGCCGGGGACTAGCTATTCCCAACTCATTTCCGCATACTCAGGCGCACTCAGGCGTCGTGTGTTGTGGACATGAGAACTTCTTGTTAATGAATGTCTAAACCTGATTGTCGGCAGAACAGTGCAACCTTCTACTGCTATCACATGTGTATCTTTATTCCGCATTGGAATGATGATCCAGACCTTGGCATCTATCAAGGTTGTCCTACCGAATACTATTCTTGTTCTCCCGCGTATCGCATGATCCCCTCCTCGTGATCCCCCCGTGGTGAGCTTTTATACATTGAAGGACAGTTTAGCCGATGATTCTGCACGGTCGAGAAACAGGGAAGGGGACGGCGACTGCAATTTGGGGCTCTCACGAATTTCACGGTGCTCATCGCGCACCCTTCGATCAGGCAATCACATCGGCCATCTCAGTTTGAATTCAACTCTCGATCATACCGCCGACTAAACATCGTACGTTGCTTCGACAGCGGTGACCTTTGAACACCTTCTGAACTCAGTCTTCCCTGCGACGTCTGCGGGCCATTCTTTCCGGAGACAGCTGGGTAGTCGCTGAATTTTCGTGGAATACAAAAAAATCTCCTATAATTAGTTTGTTTCGAATTTGAAATATTTACAATATTTATATTTCCAGGAAGCCGACGTTTACAGTTGAGCTTTTGATAGAATTTGGATGTCACGAGTACTAAATCACACAAAAGAACAACGATCGTCCGAACCATTACACCCAACGCTACCGTGACGATGTCCAAGATGCGCGCCGTATTAATCAAAGGCGGGCATGGTCCCATTGAGAACCTCTACATTGGGGAGGCAGATAAGCCAGTCCCAACAAAGGGACAGGTTTTAGTAAAGGTCCGTGCCTTTCTTCATCTTATCGATCTACGTAAATCGATCTAGTCCGGCATGGATTCCTCGTGGTAGATTGTCGCATTTGGCCTTAATCGCATGGACCAGTACCAGCGTCAGGGTGGCTATCCTGTTCCCGCTGGTGTATCCTCCATTCTTGGCGTGGAGTTCTCTGGACGTGTGACTGAGCTCGGCGAAGGCGTGACTCAATGGGCTGTTGGGGATGAAGTATTTGGTCTTGTGGGCGGCGTTAGTCGATTGGCCAAGTCAAAGTTGTATGTTCTTTACTGACCAAAACTGTCACGGGTATCTCAGGGAGCTTATGCGGAGTTCATAAACTGTGACGAAGGACTCTTGTTGAAGAAGCCCGGTCACTTATCTTGGGCGGAGGCAGCCAGCATACCAGAAAACTATCTTACGGGTGAGTAACGGCAGATCAGCCAAGTAAGCGGGTCATCTTCGGTTCTGACTACTCTGGGACTATTCCTAGCCTATCAAGCTCTTGTGAAGTACGGGGAAGTCAAGAAGGGCGATCATGTACTTGTCCACGCAGGCGCTTCTGGTGTAGGGATTGCGGCTATCCAAATAGCAAGGGAATATGGAGCGTGAGTGTTCCGGTGTTCAGTATTCCGGCCTTCACTGCCTTCGATGCTGTTCTGCACGTTCTTGCTGAGTACGTATCACGCGGTGTTCACAGGGCAACGGTTACTGCGACGGCGTCTACCACAGAAAAACTTGATTGGTTGCGGTCCATTCCTAACGGGGCGACACATACAGTCAATTACAGAACCGAAGACTTTGCCGCGGAGGTCAAGAAAACGACCAACGGCAAAGGTGTCAATATTGTCATAGATTTCGTTGGACAAAGTCATTGGGCCAAGAATATCGAATCCCTCGCTATTGATGGAAGGATGACGATGTTGGCTACTTTGAGTGGTAGGCATTCATTATGTCTTGTAGTCCGAAAACTCGTAACCAAAAAGTTTTCTAGGGAGCGAGGTGCCCTCGGTCAACCTTAGCGCGATAATATACAAGCGTCTCCGCATTCAAGGTTCTACGCTACGTTCCCGTAGTCTACAGTACCAGACCGAGCTCATCGCAAGGTATTGTCATAAAATTGTCTCATGTGATGTTCTTCCAGACTAACTCATCATTTAAGCTTAAGTTTCCGCGATATAATCGATAAGGTAACTGGCGTCAACGGAGGTGGCCCGATACGGACTTACATCCACAAAGTGAGTTTGTTCTTCTGCTCTTCTCATCCCGTCGGACACGGATATATGTACAATTCCACAGGTGTATCCTTGGACAGAGATCCAAAGCGCTCATCATGAGATGGTGGACAATAAGAATAGGTGAGCACTCTGTTTCCATTGGAAGAAACGGTGGCCGAGACTTGATTGTTAGCGGGAAGATCATCGTTGAAGTCGAGTAAGAACGCGAACAGTGTACTAGCCGAGATTGGAGCCTATCAGGAATTCCTCAAGTCTTCCGTTGACTGTGTATTTTTATGGATAAGATTCTGCCACGGCCTCAAGGCAGGCAGTGCGAGACGGAATCAACGGGCGGCTACTGCCAGTGATATTTTTTTTTCATTGAACGTGAAGGTGCTGTAGACATCGGAGCAGTCACCGGATGTCAACGCCTGCTTACCACAGACAGTGCGAGAATGATTGATGTGCAACGAGCCCCAGATCAAGCCGATGATAGGAACAACGGGGCCTCCCGTCATCAAAAAAATTTCAAGCTTCAAGGGTCAAGCCCAGTATGCGGTAGTGTGCCGTTTCATGTAACATTGTTCGCTGGTTTTACATTGCTATTGTCGTTACAAGACGCGGCGATTCCTCGGGACCTCGGTGTCGAGCTACGTTTCGCTGCCAAGGTAGTTTAGGATTTGAATGAGATTCAAAGAAGGGTATATTCAGTGGTCACTGTGACTCACTGTATGATACACTCAGTCCAAGCACCAGGCACGAATTTGGCCAGACAATTACTTTCAGATCACAGAAGGGGTGCTAGCGAAGGATGTTCCTAGAAGGGGAAGGTTAGTAATCAAACTTACCAAGTCAAACTTACCACTGGATAACACTGGATTTGACTGGATGTGACTCGGAAGCTGAAGCGCTGACATATGGATGAATGACGAATCCAAACGGTAATCATAAGTATACCTACACAGCATGTGTGCCGGGTGCTGCGGGGGAGGAGAATCCGACAAGTACTGGAAACAAAAAGACAAGGGTTCTTAATAAAAGGGTGCATGTGTCTTAGACTATTTTCCCGAAAGAGAGTTAGGATCCAGATCTGAAGAGGACCACCAGGGAGGGTCGGGGTACAGCATCGGAGGTAAGAAGCGTGTGAGAGCGGGGCGGCAAAGGCCGATCTACGTACACAGCGGATCTGTTGCAGGAACGATGCCGCAGCCTGTGCTAACCTTAGCGCGCTTGCCATTGCTAGCTTGGTAAAATGCTACCCTTACATGAGCGCCAATGAGCTTGCGAGCAAGCTTGGTTGTGATGTGCCTTCCCAAGCCATATTGCGTATCCGTGAGAGCACCCCCTTCCTTTATTCTCGATCGGGCCTGTGTCGGTCCCGGCAGCCCAGATCTCGAATCTTTCTTAATTCAATACAGCAAAAGGCGATGAGCCTGCTACCTATAAAGAGTCCCTCACAAATGCCAGCCATTCATTCAGAAAAGCTCCACCTCACCAGTACTCCTCCCGAGCCAAATAACTTCTTATCCTGACGCGTCATGAGCAGCCAATACAATTCCTCTAACACCTCGCAAGCTGCTTACGCTTCATCCAAGTCTTACTCGAGCAACACCAGCTCGCAGTCACCATCGAACCATTCAGACTCGCGTGGTCAATCACACCCGCAGTCGTCACAATACTCGTCGCAGCGCACCACCATTCGTGCTGGCGCTAGCACAGTCGTACCAGTCTTCTTCTGAGGTGCTGCACCCAGCTGACGCCACATGGCGCCCTATATCCTCCCCAACCACGCTCCCCATTCTTCGACAACCATAACACACTATCTTAATTCAACATTCAACATTCAGACTCCCCATACGCATGCGCTGGGACATATCCCCGCATAATCACAGTTTAATATGTGCAAAAGAGTATTTGCAGGGAAGGAAAGGAACGAGAGGAGGAAGATCATTCACATTTCAGTATCCTGGCCAAATCTAGGCTGTATCATACGGACCCATACTTTGATTCACCACAGATCTGTACTACTTTATGTATTTGGCATTTGGTTTGCTATCCGATTACAATAGCTAGTAACTAGTAATCACCGCGCGGTTAATGTCATTGTGTTCGTTGAACGGGACGTTGCATTGCGGTGGCGCAAGTGGGTTATCAAAAACACTAGGCTGCCCTAACATATGCGTCGGGAATTTCGGAATTTGTATTGTGCTGATTTGGTAGCATCAAAGGCCAGGATGCCCGGCTTAGCCATCTTGTCCAAGAATGATGACTCCCATGTAGCACACTTGCGGTGCATACATAGTGCAAAACTGATTGCCGATCAACAACCTGTGCTTTGCCAGGGATCCGACACATCAACGGCCTGAATCAAGTTTGGCTAAAGTGTTATATACTTACTGCGCATCCGACTTGTAGGCTATGCGGTGCTGACCGTGGAGGCACGCCGGGATGATCATTGATGCGTTATTGTGTTTGTTTCAAACTTTCTATTACTATCTTTTAACCTATTCGCCCGAGCGAGTATATGAAATTACACAGCCAACGCCATTTATTAGTCTTCCGTGCCAAGCAACAATGAGACTAACATGCGGATGAACAGATTCGCGCCAGAGCATGAGAGCGTATGGCGCCCAGAAATCCTGCGGCACGGCGCAGCTGGTCCGAAGAAAAATAGGGACCGACCTGGACAGTTCGGGTGGTGCACTCACACTATATTTCCACTCCTTGGTGTCCAGGAAAAAGAGTGTATATTCAACTACTTTTCCCAAGGGCCAGGCCCTGACAATCACAGTTTGCCACGTACGCCTGTCATCAATATACCTGTTTTCAAGCGTCCTTGGCCAATACCATCCCACCACTCCAGGATGCAGTCTACAACCTCGTCTTGGCGCTGAATATATATTGTTAGCAAAGCGACAACGATAAGAAATCAAGATTCACATTTGTAAAATTGTGATCGGCCTCCTCAATTAAATGGAGGCTGTGGGTTCCAGGCGTTCTTGCCCCAAGTGCTCGAGAGTAAATAATCGCGTCATATCTGATGTAATGGGATTTTCTCTCTCTGTCATCCGCTATATAATTAATTCGCAAAACACTCACGCAGGAACTGTCTTATCGGCGAGACCATGCATTGTCAGAACATCGATTTGAGCGGGAAATTTGTCCCAAACAATGGCTGTATTCCACTGAGAGAATTCCTCTAGATCTTCTGGATAGATCCTTTCCACAATTGCTTGTCGAGCAACTGTTACGGTCCGCTCGTAGTAACCTTTGGCGTCCCACTGTTCTTTGTAGGTCTCGGCAGCATCTAGAAATGAATATCAGATGACCGACCGTCTAGACATTCGAAGCCCTTGATCCTACCGTAAATTCGCTGATCACGCGCTTATTTTCAGTTATTTTGCGGCACGCCAGAGGTTATTTCTCTCACATGCATTCGGTAACGGCCTGACACATTGATCATGCCATGAGCACGTTGGCCTTCTTCAGACGTGCATAGCCAATACATCCCGGCCACAGAACCACGGGAATGGCCCACCACCACATCAATCTCGTACCCATACGCATTGCGGAGGTAAGAAACGACCGTCACAAGGTCCTCGACGTCTTTCGCAAATCCGCTTTGTTTCCGTTTGCCCCCACTTTCGTGATTGCCGCTGCTTTTCTATGAACGGGGATTAACGCCAAGACGAGGGGGTTGACGGACCGGAAATCAAATCTGAACGAGTCCATCGGAAAACGTAGTGCAAGACGCTTTTGGAATAAGTAGTCTTTATGCCTGAAGTGAGATAAGAAGAGAGAAGGAACGGAAATAGTAGGAACGTACCCCATGGTCCCATGGAGAATCTGAAAAGATACGATGCGTCAAGTAATTTTGTTAAGGTTAGAGGGATGATTGGCGTCATACCAGGGCGATCTTTGTGCCCTGTGTGGACTCTGTAGGTGTCAGTTGTTCCAAAATGCCAACCAGTTCGCAGTCTTCCTGAGAATGTGGTATACGGAGCTTCGTGGACTTCCTAGTGGACATTGTGGGTGTGAAGGAAGGGCAAGGATGACAGTGGCATCCAAGTCGCATCGGGACTGTCTTGTCCCGACTCCGATCAGAAACGTGATAACCAAAAAGGAAGGTAGTGTTCACCTAATTTAAAACGGCGCGCGCCAAAAGTTTGTACATACTTACAAGTAACATTTGAGTGACGAGGATGGACATTTCGAGAGTTGGCAGTATATGCCTAGGGCTAATGAGTATTGAAGTATTCGAACAAGCTCGCAAACAATCGTGCAACACCAGCAATACATATCTGCTATGACATACTATATAACCCGGGCCGGCAGCAACTAATCACGGTCGTCCTGGCTTTTTGCCAATGAGGGCCCCCTTCGCACTCTTGGCCGGGCCACTTTTTACGATCTTCGCTTTCTTCTTCTCTCCTACTTCAGCGCTCCGTTTTTGTTTCACCTCCTTCGGCGTGACCGACTTCTCGACAATCTCGACAGTCTCGTTTTGGGGTTTCTTCGTGCCCTTACTCTTAACTTTGCTGACCGGCACTTCTGGCACATGCTCCTCCAAATCCATGTCCTTGTCATTTGAATCAGAGTCTCCATCTGACTTGCTCTCCTTAGGTGCGTCCTTAGATTGCACCATGCCATCCCACCGTCCACCAGTCGCACCTCCGAGTTCGCATGTCCATATCGGTAAACTGATACTCGCATTCGTCTTGATGTGAAGACTTTGCACATTATCCCAGTTACCCTTTAGATTGTTCACGATGGCGGGGAGAGATATTTTGATGTTGTCGAGGATTTTTTCTGGCGTGTGCGATAGTAGTCCTATCTTAACAGACCTGTCAACCAGCGTTGTGTCAGGCTTGTGTTCAGGAGGCAGGCAAAGACAGACGCACGTGCATGTTCCTCTGTTCTGATGCATGTAGGTTGACTCGATGGCTCGTTCCAATTCACCCTTGAGGTCTTTTCGTGTCAAGCAGACCGGGATTGGCTGTCTGCAAGATAAATTCAGCCATGCAAGCGATAGAGGGGGTCTCGAGCAATCTTACTTTTTTGCATCAAACCACTTCTTTCCCAACAAGCCTGGCAGTAAAGGAATTACACGCTCATCTGCCAGGAACATTCCATTCTCTTTTAGCAACATTCGTCTGGCTTCATAGGACTTGAATTTTCCCTTGAGTTTTGTGATGCCGACGACCCTTGATATGAATTTGATTTTATGAGACTCGAGAAGGTCTTTGTACTCTCGCTGCGGGTCTTTGGTGATGAGACATACAGGCGTATCTCGTGGATCGATGAGAGCATGCTTGAGCGGGCTTGAAGATGTCACAATTGCACACCTATGGAGGAGAAGTAAAACTTACATTTTGAAAGGTTTGATCTTGTGTTCAGGGTGCATCCGCTTCACTGTGATTTGTAGCCACACATATTGCTCGCTGGATGCTAAAAGTTCGGTTTCCTCCTGCTCTTTTTGTTTTTTTGAAGCATATGCGTGCAGTGCATTTACGGCTCGTGTACACTGTTTCACGGAAATATGGGAGTCGATTAACTCAGTTTTTGCCATGGTGTGCGCCGTTGGAAGTTGCGGTCTGGCAGTTTTTGTCCCGCTATCTTTAGTCCCGCGGCTTAGTCAGCAGGTAGATCACCATCTTGCTATTAATATTCTTCCAAGTTTCGTACATGAAGCGCTCGAGTATCTATTGCTTCGCAAACTTCACTACTTTCTGGCACGCGTCCTTGAAAGCATTGGCGAGAACTTCGAAGTCTGAAATCTGATTTTTACTGGTAAGAACAAAGAAGATGTCCTCACGAACACAATACTAGTCTCACCTCGTTCCATACCTGCACACTACATCTTGTCCACCATTTTCCATTGTGGTGGTAATGAACGGCGTAAGCGTTCCACTCAATCAACAATGTATTTTTCAGCAGGTTGTTAATTTCATTCGAATATTTTATGTCGCCAGGAATCGGTAGTTCCACGTTGACCTAACCAGGGAACATGAAGTGAATATGGAAACAGAAACCTGCATTTACGCACCATGTTCAAAGTCAGGTCACCGGTAGGGTCCATGACACTGGTTCCTAGGAGACTTGCCAGATACTTTCCTCCTGCGATTGCAAGATTGTGAGTATATTCGTTTATCTTGTGCTCGCCGCCGAGCCACTGTCTGAAGTCCAAGGCTGGTCGCAAGTCAAAACAGTAATGCATGATGACAACTTCGCACCAACCTGCATTCACGCTCAGGAATGGAACATAATCTATGGTTCCTGTCCCTAGCAATCAATGAGACATGAGCGTTCGAAGTTATATGGTTCGGTTTGTCCAAGAGAACTGACATTCAAAAAGATTTACGAAACTTTGGGGGCCATTGTAATCTTCGTCTTGAGGTGAGTGATAACTGCGTGGGGTGGGTATACAAGATTTGATAATATGCTGGTTTCTAGCCCATCTCATTGGATGTCAATGCGACACTTCTGGAATGTTGGAACATACCGTTTTGGCACATAGAGGACTGCGCAGCTTCTCTTTGCAAAGAGCCATTTGTGGCAAGTCTGTTCAGCTCAGCTGGTCAAGAACAAGATACACGAGTCAGAACTGACGAGCTAACCGATACCCAAAAATCAGGCTTAACCTCCGACAAGTTGATATCCACTTCCTGGCCGATTGAATGCGCGGCATCGACCACTGACCAAACTCCTGCATCCCTGCAAATAGCCACCATTTCTTTCCAAGGAAGACGCACACCAGGGTTGGCCGCGATGGCGTCTACCACGGCAACAACTTTGCGAGTCTGTTGGAGGTCGCTCTTTTCCGAAGTTAGTCGGCGAATATGTTCTCGCCAGTTTTCCAGTATTTCCGCGTGTGTGGTAGGGAACTGAAGATTAAATGTGGATACTTGTGGATATGGTGGGATATCTCCGAGATACCTAATCGCTCGGGACACGGCATTATAAGTTGTATTCGCTGTTTTGTGGGGAAAGGGGATAACAAACCGTAACATAAGTGGGAGAACTTCAATGTGGTTATTCTTGACTTACTCCCAATGATGATATCCCCTTCATGCCACTCGAAGTTGCGGAGAATCGTGCTTATGCCATGTAATGTATTATTCACCAAAACGCACTCATCAGTATCTGCCCCTATCAGCCTGGCCACTCGAGTACGAGCCTCAATCCAGTGGTGAATGCACTCGATGCGCAAGAATTTGTCTGGGTTAGATTCGATGCGAGTGCTGAGTTTGTCGCATGCAACTCTAACTGGCATGGGTAATGAACCATACGAACCTTCAATGGATTGGTCTTAAACCAAGGTACGATATCAATATCGCCTGGTAGAACTCACCGTGGTTGAGGTTCACGTAAGATGGGTCAAACTCGAAGAGCTTGTGCATAGCATGCCCAAATAAAGGCGGAGCCTGTTTGTCTAGCTCTCCATCAGCTGTCGGTGTGCTCGGGGCGGACTCGGAGGACACTGAGGTCTTCGTGTCAGTCATGGTGTTCGTGGGCAGTAAGCAGCCACGATCAAAGTCTAGTGCCCAAAACCCACGGGTGATTCCAGGCGACCTACTAACGCCGTGGGAGCGCGATCGATGATCAATGTATTGCCACCGGCCATCCAGCCCGGTACACCCACCAGAACAGATATCACCACAAGCTAACCACGAGCCACGGAAATCTTGACGTAGCAGGTTGTTCAGCAGACTGTCACGTCCGGGATCGCGTGCTCATGCTAACAACGTGAACAGATTGTGTAGCATTCAGATTGATGCGGAAGTAACAAACAGAATAAAGCAGGAGCGTGCAGAACGGTGCCGTATTCGCATACAACCACGGAATCCAAGTAATAGGCGGAACAGTACGGCAGTGGTATGGCAAACAGCATGAGCGTAAGCACCATGATACCTAAGCGGTTGGGACCACTTCGGGACAGCGAGAAGACGAAGGCAACAATAACGGGACAAGCAGAGAAGTGATTGTCAGGCAGGAGGGTTGCATCCAAATTGGCTATGAATTCGACCACGTTGGCCTGGGCCTGTGATTGAGATGAGCACGACACTTAGTACGACAGAAAACAAAAACTTGCAGCATTGGCCAGCTTCGAGCGAGAGACATAGGGCTCCTTCTGTTGTGCCGTAAGGCTATTCCAGTACGCAGCGACCTCGGCAATAGCACCTTTCTTGTATTCCACCTGCCATTCAATACTACAGAGGTTGCGCGCGGCCGCCAAATCTGAAATAGGCCTGGAATAGTTGTTGGAGCTCTTTTCTTCTCGCCAGGCCAGGCGGGAACTCCTGTAGAAGCAGTGGACGCTGCCACGCTCCGCTCGATTACTAGTAGCGGGTAGAGGTCCTCGAACGATGCTGGGCGTTGGCTTTTAATTCAGAGTAAAATTTAAATTCCAAATAAGTTTAGAATGACACCCACATAATTCAGGTAGACCGCAGATACAAGACCAGCCTGGCATGTACTACTGACGTCAAGGCGAGTCAAGACTCAAAACCCTTCCCGTAGTCAGACTAACCATGTTGACAATGTTTTTGAACAAAACGACAAGCCATTTGAATAGCTTGTGGGGGGTGCATCTAGTCTCCCCTAGCCAGACCATATAGAAGGAAGACAGTCGTTCCTTCTTGATTGTGGCAGCCACTCATACAGTTCGGTTTCCACTTCTGCTCCTTTTGTTTGCGAGGCATATGCGTGTAACCCATGTACGGCTCGTGTACACTGCTTCACCGCAACATTAAAGGATAGATTTAGTGTGCGTCCTTGGAAGTTGCAGGCTGTGCAGCGACTGCAGTCTAAGTCTAACTTGAAGGCAGTCGTCCATGATTGCTCTGTGCCGCCGGCATCTCCTTTACGTAAAAATGTGTCAGCCTTCGACCAACTTCGACCCAACTTCGACCTCAACCGTTTGTTTCAAGATCCACAATTAATCTTCATAAATGTCCCATTTCACCGACGCCGCGATGTTGACTACATTATTCGAGCTAGAAAATTTACATCGAGGAGGTGTTCCCGATGAGTAATGCGAGTTTTGTCTCGTCTTTGAACGGGCAATGACCGTTTGCCAGCGGAACAACGAGCGCGAGGGGTACCTCGAATGCATGCGGAGCGCCCGGCAACAGTGCCGCAGCGCTCAACGGAAGAACGGACACAGGTGGTTCAGGTCATTACTGTGACCCATCTAGAGATGTTCTATCATCAAGTTCTAAGTATGCCTTGTGGCAGCTTATTCAAAGCTAGTACTGACGTCAAGGAGGTACCTCGGATGTGAGGGAAAACAACGAAGATGGAAAAATATATTCCTCGGAAAAGGAGACACCGGTGTAAGGCCCGACAACGCCTACTCAAGCCATTGGAATATGTTTGACAACTAAAAGATGGTGGAACAAGGAAGTTGGTTGCATGTAAAGTAGGTAAAGAGACTTGCGTTATCTAACATATGTAATGAAGGACGGATCGTTCGATCCCGCGGTTTGAAACTGTTTGGCTTTCATTAGTGAAACTGTACGTCCAATTCCGCCCTCTTTCTATCATAGTGCAGTCTCAGAAAATAAAACCATTTGATTGCTGTACTCTACATTGTGAGGATGGTGTATGATGTCCTTCTCCACGCTCTTGAGTACTATTCTTGGAGGGTCCATAAATCATAGTTATCATACAGCAAAGTTGTACATAGTATACGTATCGCACGCTACGACGCGGGCCATGTATATGGAGATCTTGTTGTCGGCATTAGCTCTGAGCGATTCTGAACTCTACGAGCATTGTATCGACAAGATCGTAAACCTGGGTGAGTGCTAGACCAGCAGCGGTCCTGTGAATTATCATGAGTCGATCGTCGCCAATGGATCAAGGTATACTAAAAAGAACTTGCCCAATAACCTTCATCTCGTCCAAAGTGCGTTCTTTGGAATTTAGAGCAAACCACATAGTCAGGTCTGTTTGGTAAGTTCTGTGACTGCCTGCCCCGAAGTTCGGTAACATGGGTTCGGGGGCCTTGGGATCATGAGTTCAGAAATACGCCAGGCTGCACTCTAAGACTCACGATGCTCAACCCATTAGTTCCTACGCCAGGTGTTTGCAATGTGTGGGAGATCACGCAATCGTCTAGTACAAGATAATGACTTTGCGGTAAGCACCGCAGGCAATCGCAGATGACTCACGAATTAGCACCCGGCTATTTGGTCCCATTGCCTTGCGGATATTACGGAGGATAGTCGTTGCCTCGGCGTCCGGCCAGTTGTGGATAATGTGCCTCAACTATATAGATTGAATTACTGGTGACGAATGGGAACAAAATTAGGCTCTTACATAGTAGACATCCTTCCCAACGACAGGTACGTCCTCCAGAAAATTAATCGGCATGAACTCCACGCGACCGTCGAGCAAGGCCTCGGGAGCACTCTTCTCCCATGCCTAATCAAATATCAACAACGTGCCCGCTGACATACCTATGTATACCAGATGTCTGAACTCACATTTTGTGCCTGTACCATAACTTCTGGGAGATCTTGATTGGTTATTCTGAGGTGAGGGAACATTTTCGCCAGAGGAGTGGAAAATGCTCCAATGCCAGATCCGACATCCACCACAGACGATACATCATCCCAATGATAGTCTTGCAACCTACGTCTCAGTCATGTCAACGATCAACAATTCGTGATAACTTACGGTGTAGAACTGTAGAAGCGCCCATCATATCGCTCTGGCCAAGCATGGCTCTGTGAAAATCCTATTCATAGGATTCTGTGAGCCGTCAGTCGAGGATAGATACTCCATACGCACAACGCGTCTCTCTTCCTATAAAATGTGCTGTGTCAAGGTAGCTAAGGGGGGTGATGACGAAAACTCACGTCATCCTTCATCACTTCAAAGTAATTACCTTTCATACCCTCCTTCTTGAAGGCAAATACCCGGGGCGCTTTGTCGACCTCATGCGATCTTGAAAATTCATCGTCGATCATAGTCTCATATACAACTCCAGCGAATTTCGAGATATCCTCGGTATGAAGTCGCGCATAACACCCAGTGTTGTTCGCTGACTGGAGTATGAGAGATAGTCGGTTGTTTGCGAAGACGTCTCGCTCCACTGTTTAGCGCGATACATGTTTTAGAGACAATCCTCAACCGACAGCGTGCACATTACCTTCTTTGAAGCAGCCCATGAGGGTCAAAGCTCGTAAGACACGTGCAACCTTGATCTTGTCGAGATTGACTGCATCAGCCAACTTATCTACGCTAAGTCCTTCCGGGTGTTGGTCCAGAACATCTGCAATACGCGCACGTAAGGCAACACCCGCGCACGCCCAGTTGTAATTGAAAACCAACTAAGACAATTAGCCACAGAACAGAGATTATTTGCGATCAGCACTTACATTCATCACCGTGTGTTGGGGGGGTGCTAGTATCGAGCTCAATTGATGGTATGCACCTTCGAGCAGCCTAATCGCCTTTTTGAGGGCAAGTGTATCCGTCGTCAGGTCGAGGGGGTGGAAGGTTGTTGCGTCGGCACTGGGGACCCCATGTCCTGTTTTCTTGTATTCTGAGATTGCTTGGCGTGCAGAGGAGTTGATGATGTCTAAAAGAGCTTCAAGCTTGGCCTCCGGCTCATTGAAGGCAGTCATCTTTCGGGGGTGATAATATGTAGAAACAATAGTTCTGCTGTCAGTCGTTCATATTTTATACCCTCAGCAAGGTAAATATAAATGTCGTGCTCAGACCGATGAGCGCATATAATTGTGATAGTCAGGATACACGCGCTGTTACGGTTCTATTCTTTGTGATGCCGAGCATAAGACGGCCTTTGTCTTTCGAGTATACGTAACACTGATCCTGACCATGATCGCGATCAGACGGACGAGTATCTCGTTACCCATTTGCTGTTTTGAACCGACAAGTTGTGTAAGTGTCGTGCTTAAACCGATGAGTCCATATAATTGTGATGGTTAGGATACACACATTGATTCTCAGAGATCATGCTCACGATAAGATGGACGAGTATCTGATCACCCATTTACTAGTCTCGAGCTGACAAGTTTTGAGTTGAACACAACACGCGGGTGGAGTCCTCCACGGAAGAACCTGACGGTGGTCCCGGAATGTTTTGTTAAAAACCACACGTTTCCACGGGTTTCCACGGGTTTACATGCCACGTGAGTCGGTATGTGTAAGACACGGCTGCGATTCCGAAGTATCCTGGCAGCCTACTAATGTTGTAGGGATCCGAAGAACTCGGGTCTGCCAACCAATATGGCAGTGCAGCCAGTTGTGGAGAATTTTACACATCGTGATCTGATTTTGAGTCATGATCATACTCTCAGGTGGAACTTGAGAACACAATATGACGAGAAGAAGCCGCTGGCTGTCATTTAGTCAGTGTAACCCTCATCACTGAAAACCAGCTGACTTATGACTAATCAACTCCACTCTTATTGGTCGCGTTCCAGCGCTTGAAGCAGGCGCTGAGCGCTGAGCACGCATCATACAGTTTAAAGTCATACATAGTATGTATCTCGCGCGATTCCATGGGCAGATTTGTGACTACCATATAGCGCTATATATCTACGACGCAGGTCATGCATAGAGATCTTGTTGTCAGCATTAGCTCTGAGCGATTCTGAACTCTATGAGCATTGTATCGACAAGATCGTAAACCTGGGTGAGTGCTAGACCAGCAGCGGTCCTGTGGATTATCATGAGTCAATCGTCGCCAATGGATCAAGGTATACTATAAAGAACTTGCCCAATAACCTTCAGCTCGTCCAAAGTGCGTTCTTTGGAATTTAGAGCAAACCACATAGTCAGGTCCGTTTGGTACGCTCTATGACTGCCTGCCCCGAAGTTCGGTAACATGGGTTCAGGGGCCTTGGGATCATGAGTTCAGAAATACGCCAGGCTGCACTCTAAGACTCACGATGCTCAACCCATTAGTTCCTGCGCCACTGGGTGTTTGCAATGTGTGGGAGATCGCGCAATCGTCTAGTACAAGATAATGACTTTGCGGTAAGCAGCACATTGAATTGCAGATGACTCACGAATTAGCACCCGGCTATTTTGCCCCATTGCCTTGCGAATGTTACGGAGGATAGTCGTTGCCTCGGTGTCTGGCCAGTTGTGGATCACGTGCCTCAACTATATAGATTGAATTAACTGGTGACGAATGGGAATAAAATTAGGCTCTTACATAGTAGACATCCTTCCCAACGACAGGTACTTCCTCCAGAAAATTAATCGATATAAACTCCACGCGGCCGTCGAGCAAGGCCTCAGGAGCACTCTTCTCCCATGCCTTGATCAAATATCAACAATGTGCCCGCTGACATACCTACGTGTACCAGATGTCTGAACTCACATTTTTTGCTTGTACCATAACTTCTGGGAGATCTTGATTGGTTATTCTGAGGTGAGGGAACATTTTCGCCAGGGGAGTGGAAAATGCTCCAATGCCAGATCCGACATCCACCACAGACGATACATCGTCCCAATGGTAGTCTTGGAGCCTACCTCTCAGTCATATTAATGATTAGAAATTCGTGATATCTTACGGTGCAGCACTGTAGAAGCGCCCAGGATATCGCTCTGGCCAAGCATGGCTCTCTGAAAATTCTAATCAAGGATTCTGTGAGCCGTCAGTCGAGGATAGATAACTCCATACGCACAACGCGTCTCTCTTCCTATAAAATGTGCTGTGTCAAGGTAGCTAAGGGGGTGTGATGACGAAAACTCACGTCATCCCTCATCACTTCGAAGTAATTACCCTTAATACCCTCCTTCCTGAAGGCAAATACCTGTGGCGATTTGTCGGCCTCATGCGATCTTGAAAATTCATCGTCAATCATAGTCTCATATACAACTCCAGCGAATTTCGAGATATCCTCGGTATGAAGTCGCGCATAACACCCAGTGTTGTTCGCCGACTGGAGTATAAGAGATAGCCGGTTGTTTGCGAAGACGTCTCGCTCCACTGTTTAGCGCGCTACGTGTTTTAGAGACAATCCTCAACCGACAGCGTGCACATTACCTTCTTTGAAGCAGCCCATGAGGGCCAAAGCCCGTAAGACACGTGCAACCTTGATCTTGTCGAGATTGACTGCATCCGCCAGCTTGTCTACGCTAAGTCCTTCCGGATGTTGGTCCAGAACATCTGCAATACGCGCACGCAAGGCAACGCCTGTGCACGCCCAGTTATAATTAAAAACAAACTAAGACAATTAGCCGCTGAACAGAGATCATTTGCGATCGGCACTTACATTCATCACCGTGTGTTGGGGGGGTGCTAGTATTGAGCTCAATTGATGGTATGCACCTTCGAGCAGCCTAATCGCCTTTTTGAGGGCAAGTGTATCCGTCGTCAGGTCGAGGGGGTGGAAGGTTGTTGCGTCGGCACTGGGGACCCCATGTCCTGTTTTCTTGTATTCTGCGATTGCTTGGCGTGCAGAGGAGTTGATGATGTCTAAAAGAGCTTCAAGCTTGGCCTCCGGCTCATTGAAGGCAGTCATCTTTCGCAGGTGATTACTATGTGGAAACAATAGGTTCCGCTGTTAGTCGTCGCTGTTAGTCGTTCAGATTTTGTGCTCTCAACCAGGCAAATATAAGCGTCGTGCTTAGACCGACTCGGATGAGCGCATGAAATTGAATCCCGGACCGACAAGCTCTGAAATTAAACACAACACGCTGGTCCACGCGTTTCCACGGGTTTACGCGTCACATGAGTCGGTATATGGAAGCCACGGCCGTAAAGTATCCTGGCAGCCTGTTAATGTTGCGGGGAGAACTCGGGTCTGCAAACCGATATAGCAGTGCAGGGTCATACTCTCAGGTGGAAATTAAGAACACCATATGACGAGAAGAAGTCGCTGCAGGCTGTCATTTGATCAGTGTTACCCTGCGGTCAACGTTGCCGTGACACGCATATTCAAAATAGAGACAAATAAACCCCTTTAACTGACTGTTAACCCTGTCCTTGCTAATCTCAATTATCTGGTACATACATAAGGACAAACTCTTGAATACTATAAAAATGGTAGGTTCTTACCAACGGGCCCTAGGCTAGGGAGCTAGGCAGATCAGCCAGAGATTATTCCCAGACTACATGTCAAATTCAAATTCCGAGTCTGAGTCGTCTTTCTTGGTTTGTGCCCGTATATTTTTTGGTGCCCGAGCATTCGTGCTTGTGGCAGCAGACCGCATGTGAAAAGATGTATCATCATCGTCTTCTTCTATAGAGTCGTCGCCATCGTGCGCTCGTCGCTCGCCGAGTGGCCCGCGGGGAAGATCTAGGGCACCACATAAAATCAGATGTGCCTCGAGTTCTGGACAGAAATGAATATGTGACGGACGCCATCATAAGATTGTTTGAGCTTGCCTTCAAGCTGTCTTTCGCGATCAGCGCCCCATGCAATAAGTTGATTCCGTATTTCCCCCTTGCGGTATATGATCAATAAGGGAATTCGAGAATCTGGGAGGTCTTCAATGCATTTGTTGCCCACAATCGACACGAACTTTGAGTGTGGATATCGACTTGCTAGAGTGTGTATATGTTCAGAAGTTCTGTCGCTCCGAAGAATTCTGGTGGTTTATTCAAATGAATACCTGAGGTGCCACGAACAGATGAGAACTGACCCGTCCTTGTATAAGAAGCAGATCACGCCCGTGCCTTTTTCTTCTTCGTCACCCTCTTCGTTGATCTTACTAGCCTCTGTGACCTCCCTGGTATAATCATCGCGTCCAATAGGATAGACTCTCCCAAAGCGGGCGCGTTTCTGCTGCAGTCGTTCTTGAGCTAATCGCTGCCTCCGATATGAATCAATATCGCGGTCAAGGTCATCGTCAGTGATCTCTTCGCCCAGTTCTTTTAGCTCTTCCGGAGTGAGATCATCAAGTACATCGTGAAGCTTTGGAGAACTCGGAGGTGAAGGAGTAGGGGGAGTAGTTTCTTTGGGAGGAATGATACCGTACTTGCGGAGGGCATCGTTGCTGGGCACGTATATAGGCAAGTGTAGATGAAGTAGAGAATATAAGCTCACAATTCCGTATCTTCGTTTGGATTGACGGCCATGGTAGAGAGACTAGCGTGAGTTCCGCAGGTGATGCATGGCAGATTTCGCGACTGCTGTATTTGGGTTTGTGTGCACTGTGCACTATATAAATCGGACATTCATCCTGAACGCTATACTTCATTGATCACGGTCAGTTCAATGAAAACATGAAGACGTTACTGGCCACTGGTACTGTTGCATTTGCCCTCGTAGCCGGTGCTGGTGCACACTGGAACTCCCAACCATACCAACTTACCCTTCGACGGGAACCAAATACTAGCTCATGTGAAATCGTGTCTTTCGGCGAGGCGCAGCTGCACAAGAGTCTCCCGCCAGCAACATCAGGGCACATCATCAGGCAGCAGAATGTTGTACCATCTGCTGGATCACTTGGGGCCAAGGAGATAATTCACTTTCTATCACACAGCACCAACGAATTGTGGCTTCGCGCACAGCTCGAGTGTTTGAATGACCTATCATCTGTTGGACAAAGTGCACGCAATGGCTTCCAGACCCAAGTGCCATTTGGAGATCAAGGGATATTGTATGGTACATTATTAGATGTTCCCATCCCGCCGTTAGAAGTCGTCAGTCTTTTGCAATCTGGGCAGTCAGACAACCGTATCGATCTTGCTTTCTTCTCCGACGGGTGTGCGTTTACATCTGGTTTTTCTGCATGTCACATCCTCAGTCCTCACTCGATGTACAGATACAATTCGTGAAAGAGACAAGTTTCTTGATGATGCAATGCGTCTAGTCACCGACTTGTCAGCAAATCAGACGTTTGCTACAGTCAGGCCTCTGTTGAACTTTTGGGCAGTATTCTCACCTAGTCAAGAGGTTAATGTTCTCCAAAATTTAGTATCAGGCTCTAAGCTGATCCATCGTTTTCCTAGAGCGGCGTGGGCGTCAATGGGAAAGCTAAGAGGTACTTATCATAGTCACGATCATTTACTTTATAAACGTTCCGCCTAGGACTCCATTTGGGTTATACCGTGATGGCACGGAGTTGAGGGGCTTATACGCCAATAATTCCGATGTTGCTCTAATGGCCTGTGCGTCTATCGGAAATAAATGTAACTATGCAATTCTCCTTGGTGCGTGTTTCGGATCAGGAATGCACGATTAAGCTATTTTTTTTACATCCTTACGAAAGGCAATGATCCATTATATGGTGGTAAGATATCCAGTATCTTTTACACACTATTTCACACTGACCACTTTCCTACGTCCAGGACTTGGCGGAGAATACACGTATGTTGCGACCCCGTGTTAACTTTTCGTCTTAAACATACTAACAAAGAGTGTGAAGGACAACCACTGCCTCCCTAGCAAATGGGGCATTGGTCCTTCGACACGAGATTGGTCACTCCATCATCGACGTAGGCGAAGAATATGACGGAGGATATGCTTATTTCGGTGTCAATGCCGCCCACAATCTCTCAGCCGTGACGTGGACACACTGGCTCGAGCACCAGGAAGATGATGACATATTCCGCGCCCAACGGTCCGTGATGCCGATGCAAGCATATCCGTGGACTCTGCTGAGTACAACCCAACCATGGTCGATTTCCTTCTTGTCATCAGGAAATTACGCACGTCATCTGATCAAATTCTCGCTGTCTGGCCTCCCAGATCGACGCGACTTGGATATTTTATTCGATGGGGTCGATTTACACTGGGCGCCCAGAAAAGATATCGGATTCGATAGATGGCACTATGATGTTTTTGAGGACACGTCATTGAGCGCTGGCTCGCATGAAATCTCGTTTGTCTTGAAGAACAGCGCTCTCGAAGGAAGCGCGCAGTTATGCAGCGTAGAGATTCTGGAATATGGGACAGAAGCTGAGTATGTTGTTGAACGCCTGTCTCGTTTATCTTAAAGATCTAACACCGAGAACAGATTCAATGCGACGTTTAATCACTATGGCATGTTCCCGACGTGAGTGGTTTATTTTCATGCCAAAGAGTTTAAGCCATAGACTGGTGCGCAGATTCAGTTTAGATAATGAGACGTCTTATCGCCCGACGAATGACGATTGCCTCATGCGCAGCGTCACCAAGCCCAACTTCTGCAAAGTGTGCTTGGAGGGCCTTTGGCTATCGCTACTCAAACGTATCGATCTCATCGAGGAATTCAGGATAACGTGCGAACGTGATCACCACAGATCCTTCAAGGTTGATCTGGTTCCACTTGCTGAGTTTAGAGAAAGCCCTGTCTCCAGCGAGGAAAGCTACAGGATCGCCTGGTCGAAGGACGGGAAAGTCCTTCCGCAGTTTGCTAATATGACACATATAGATGTGAGTGATGAGGTTGGGACGTATCGTGTGGACGTTCAGTTCTTGACGGAGGAAGTGCGTGTAGATAAGGATGGACTGCTTTCAGCTAGTAGATCATTCACTGTTACTGAGACTTGCGCTTGAGGTTGTTATGCATGACAAAAATACCACCTGACCCCGTGCCCAACGTCCCACAAGCAATGTCACACTTATCAATTGTTTGCACTAATTCTGGGACTTGCGACTTGCGACTTGCGATGCACAACAAGAATACCAAAGATGATGTATATGTAATAAACGAGTCTGACTACCCGGAGTACTAGAGCACTAGAATAGTTTGAGAGTGAATACCGGCCATGGATCCATAGTACACAAGGTAAACGAGCGGCATAAGAAGAGGGACAGATGTGTTCTGCGACAGGGCGATAGTATGGGTGGAGGATAAGAAGCGGAAAGTGAACGAGAGTCATGACACTCCAGTTGTCTTGAGTGGTAAGGTATGCGGGAAACGGAGGAACACCCAGTATGCAATGAAATCAGAACGGCGTGGCTAAGAGAGGAATGAAGATGACATATGTGCAAGTGTGGATGAGAAAGAGGAAAGTGAAAACATGGGACAATGAAGAGAACGAGCAAATGCTTTGAAATCGTCGCAATCACATAACAACACACTTGCAGCACCCAGCGCCTGCGTCTTCATCGTTGTGAGGTACTTGCTGTGGTGACTCGAGGTCGGTGGATGGTCGCGTAACATTGATGGTCGGAATGTCTGTGCGCCGGTATTGCGAGAACGGTGCGGGAGAATCAGGAGGACGTGCGGCCGCTTTCCGTCGGGCGGGACGGATGGGTCGCTCTGGTTCTTCAGTGAGGGGTGGTAGTGTTGGAAGTGGACTTTCAGGTATCGGTGCTGGTTCCTCCTGAATTGGACTTGGTAGATTTCCGAATTCATCCATGGGTATCTCCTCTCCCCGAGGCGCACGATACTTGGAGTAATCGTAACCAAAAGTGCCAGGAGCCTTATGCAGGTTCATCAGCAATGGGTCGGATACGAGATCGGAGAATACACTCACCGGAGCAACAGGATCCGGAGGTTTGGGACGAGGGCTGCCATCTGCTTGCTCGTATTGACCATCCAGACCTTTTTTCCGCGCCACAACCGGTAGAACCACCTGGAAAGCGATCAGCGAAACAATTAATATAGCTACTCTTATCTTATCACCTCGTCCCAGGTGCCCGACTTTTGAACTGGCTGGGTCCATGTAGGTATGGCGTCAACCATACCATCTCCTTCGGGAGTCGGATATGAGGCGATCGAAGCGCGACTGTCGTCCTTCCGTCGCACAGCGGAAGACGGCGTTTTTGCCTTCGACTTGGGTTTCTTCGGTGTTGAAGACTGGGACGGCGACACTGGTCTCTTCGTGCGGCGTTTGTTACTCGGTGGATGATCAGGCGACTGACTCTGTGATCGTGAAAATGACCGCCGGCGAGAACTTGCGATAGAATCAGGAGGAGATGGGATCAGAGTTTCGGAACTGCGTGTTGTTTCAATAGATGTGTTGGCTCTGAGGGGTTCCGAGGCTGTACGTGCGACGGGTATCCGAGTTGGTGGTATCTCGGTGTTAATATTGGGGTGTGCTTCGCTGCGGGTATTCTCTGCAGATAATCTGACTAGACCAGGCGTAGACGCGCTGAATGGATGAATGGTGACGTCCTCTGTACCGGCGTACGCGTTATAGATATCATCCGTATCAGTGTCAGGATCACCATCAATGTCCGTCGGTGGGCTCTCATCCAATACCATATCCGCTTCCTTTGCTCCCTGTTCATCCAAATACAAACTCTCTCTTTCCCCTGGGCCAGAAGCGCTATCAGCTCTCTTCCGTCTACGGCTGTACTCCAAAGCGGCAGAGAAGTCCCTCGGTGCAAAACGATGCGTGTTTGACTTCATGTCGTGTCCGAAGTTGGCGATGCGCAACATCTCCATGCGTTTACCGACCCGCAACTCCCCGACGCCACCGTTTCTATGTACGTCTCCTCTGTACCAATGTTCAAATGGACGCTCTTCTGATTCATTGGAAGGCCGCGGAGGGGCGAAGCCAGTGTCATGGTGAGACTGCTTGGAGAGAACAGAGGAGCTGATAGAACTTGCGCTAAATGGAGCAGGTTCGTTCATGATATTTGATCTCTGATGTCGAATAGTAGCATTTGACAAAGAGGGGTCAGTCTCGTCAACAATCCAGAGATCAGGAGACGTATCGGGAGTGGGCGTCTGATGGGAAAGGACGCCATTGCGACTTTCGGTACGGGTCGCGACACTCTGGGCGTGACTAGAGGTACTTGTGGTTCTCCCCCGCGCGACCATCGGTATTCGGGTGGGCTTCACGTCAGAGGTGCGGGGGGAAGTAGGGCAGGAAGAATCTGGGGTTGGGAGAGCGTGTCCGTTCGGGTAGCCGTTAGGTTGAGAAGAAGAATCGTACAAGTATGGTTGAGAGACTGTGCGAGCGCGTGTATATGGAGGATTGTGCGAGGAAGCGGCGCTGGGACGGGAAGCTTCTGAAGGACCTCTTGACTGTTGCAAGCTTGGCCTGGGTATAGCACTAAATTTCTTATGTTCTGGAGAATAAAGTGAATTTGGAGCCAGATCTCGCAGAGTGTGGCCAGAAATTGAAGGAGCGTTCGACCTTGGTGTGTCGTCCGCAGAAGAAAAAGATGCCACTGACAGGCGTTTAGCAAGGATACGACTTTCGCTTTCTAGTCCTGGAAAAAAAGGAAGAGAAGACGGGCTCGGTCAGAATCTGATACCTGAGCTTCTGGACAAGAACGTTATTATGTTATACGTACTTTTACGCAGAGTTGGTACGATTGTATCGTCCCACATTGGGAGAGCGGACTGCGCTGGTGCAGTCAGAGCCATTATTAAGTGAACAATTAAAAGAAAGAAGAAGAAGAAAAAGAAAGAAAGATAAAGTTGACCGTCGACGTCGTTAACAACGTTGAGGACTGCAATCGATCCAAGGCTGACACCGCGCGTTAACCGAACAAAAATAATTCACAAATAAATATTATTTCCATACTTGTCCGCTTGCTTCCATACTACTACTTCGACCTCGCACTAGCTCGGTTCGTTCAAGTTTTCAAACACCCGAACCCATTCTCACAGATAATCATTTTAGATGAGTGCAGCAGCAGTTCGCGTCGCGCAGGTAGTCCGTCCTTTCAGGAAACCTCCAAAAATTCGCAAATTCCTCAAACGCGACGAGAATGGTCTTCCAGTTCCGCACGTCAGGAATCTCATCGTCCGCGACACCCACCCATGTCGTTTCATGGACCACTACCATACGACTCTCCAAGACAACTTGATGTACATGACTTACAATCACGAGTCTGGCACTCCACCATCACCACGCCAAATCCGTCTCACTTACGACCCCAACGACCCATACACTAAAAACCGTTATAACCCTCCCGTCGGTGGTTCCCAGGCAGGCAAGAAGCCGGCTCCTCCGACTACTTCAGAGAATATCGTCCGTTTGGAAAAAATTGTCATTCATTCCATGCTCAAGGAAGCACTCACCAACCGGAGTAATTTACTTGGTCTCATCGCTGCATTCCGCGCAATGTCGGGAGACACCGAGGGCGGAGGAGGTCGTCCTTCGAGTGATGGAGTGCAGATCGTGAAAGGGAAAAAAAATGTTGGTGGGTGGATGCGCCCTGGACTTCCAGTGGGTGCAAAGGTCGAGTTGAAGGGACCCAAGATGTACGACTTCATGAGCACCTTGGCGGAATTTGTGCTTCCGAGAATTCGAGAGTTCCCGGGCATAGTTATGCCCCCCGCATCATCAACAATGAAGTCTCCGAGCGGTGTGGCTGGTGTTGTTTCGTTTGGCTTGCCGCCAGAGGCCATGGGCTACTTCCCCCAAATCGAGGTCAACTTGGACTCGTACCCCAAATCTTACGGTATGCACATACACTTTGTCACCAATGCAGTGGGCCTCGGTGCACAAAATCGTGCAAGGGCACTGGTCTCTGGTTTCCAAATACCCTTTGCTCGCAAGTAGATTACTTGTGCGTCTTCGTTAACTTGCTCTGTCGTCTATTAATTTGCTCACATTTTATGTTCAGATTACATTGTTAATCGGATTTGTTTGTTCTCTGCATGTCATTAGTGAGAGATATATGGTATGTGCAAACGAGAGTACTGTCTGTGGTAACGACGCAGAGCCAGCGATAAAGAACGGACAATAAATTAATAAAAAGCACACTGTCTGACCCAACAATATATAAATCATCTTTGTCCCCCATGAGATTGCCAAGATATATCACCCAACCTATGTCTGGATGACGAGAACGCCCTCTCTATCCCCGTCCTCGATGTCGGAGGAGGACCCGTGCTAAGACCCAGCACTGACGAGCTTGATCCCATAACCGCAGACGTTTCCGATGCTGTCCGCCTGGCTTTCTTGGGCGCTATGAGACTGCTTTTCGGAGTATCATACCCCTTGAGCAGGGACCTGTTGCCCGCTGGTCTAAGAGCTGGTGCTAGCGCCGGGAGGATCTCTCTCGCCAACTCGCGCACCAGGACAGCGCCATCATCCTTGCTAAGCTTCATGACGATGTCGTGCAAACCATAGCGCTCCACCAACATCGCCCGGTTAGGGTGCACGTCGCAAACGGTTCGGAGGATACGTAAGAGGTTGAGACGAACGACTGCGCGGCTGTGGCTGAGTCTGTCGATGATGCGCTTGAAGAATTGAGATTTGGCGAGGCCGATGGTGAGTGCGGTGGAGATACGACAGATTTTGAGGAGGGGGTCGAGGAGGTTCTCAAAGGAGTTTGCTTTTGCGGATACGAAGCACTTGAGCAACGCCTCAAGAGACTCGGATCTAATTAGCTCATCTTCAATCTTGGCGGTTTCATCTTGCAACCTGAGTTCACGTGAGTTGTAAGGCAGGGTGCAATTCAGAATTCTCGTTACCATGACAGGATTGCCTCCAAGGCGCTGACCTGGAAGTATGGGTCTTCTAGGAGCTTCAAATAAAGCGCAAGACCATTGTGCTGCCAAAGGAGGTATCTGCAGCTTTTCCCAGCGCTCGCCAAGTCGCACAGAATGGGCAGCGCGAACTGTTTGAGAGGTGAGCTCGTCTCGATTACTCGCTTTAAGCATGGAATAATGCCAGCTTGAGCTGCCTCCTCTTGTCGTGACTTGTTCAGCCGACAGAGGTTATAACAGGTCTGGAAAATGTGATTTGACACTTCCTGAAATACCATTTGATCTGAGTGACGTCCAAGTCGTGATCCCATATGCTTACCGTGCTGTGAGGGCCGGCCTTCTCTTCGTCCAGCAGCTTGATGAGTATCTCGATGACATTTGCATTTTGAAGCACCTCGAGCAAATTAGCATTCATGGACAAGTGCTTCACAGCCTTCAACATATGAACGAGGCATTCCATCTCCAGAAGCTCGCATGCGCGTAATAGACCTGCCATCATTTAGGTGCATCAAATCTGATGATTGACACGAAAATCTCACGTCTGATGATCTTCCGCGTCCCCATGGCGTTACGTACGTGAATGTCACTTTGCGTCACTTGGGAGAATACGAGAAGAATCTGTATGATCTTGTGCTTCATCTCGACTGCGTTGGGACTGGAATTGCCCATGACGTTGAGCAAAGCGGAGGAAAGGGGATCGAGGAGGCCTTCGCGAATGAACATACGACAGAAGTCATTCTTAGTCGTTGGAGTTTGCAATTCGAACACGCTTCCTATGCCATTGAGAGCATCGACGACGAGCTCAGTCTGGTCGGTGTAGTCCTCGTCCAAGAGGTCAACAAGAACTTTCAGGCCACGACATCTGTTAGGGGGTGAGGGCGCGCACACAAAAAGTGAGGTAAGCACGCACGAGATGAACATCTGCAAGGTCAATATAGATGTGTGACACAGCAATCGAATGAAGTTGGACGCCTCCACGCGACACTCAGAAGGGTATTTCTTTGAGGTAAAACCTGCAAAATGAGTCAATTCTTCATGATCAATGTCTCCGAGGCTACAACACCTACCCATCATGACCGGAATCCCTCCGATTAGGCAGAAGCTTTCTAAGAACCCAAGATCGCTCGTGACCAACTAGCCAACAACGTTCGGTCAATGCTCGCAAATTACTTCGCTGACTTACCAAGTTGATGATGTGAAGTAGCTTCATGAGGACATCTCTGGAGCACTTGCCTTCCAGTACCTCCAAAATTGCCAGCATACCATGTGAAGACACCAATTGCACGAGCATATCAGGGTTTTCTGTCATGATATTGATCTAAAAATGCGGCAATGCATCAGACTGTAAAAGCATAGAGTCAGATTGAACAGACCAGTTGGTCACAAGCATCACGCAGTTGGAAATCAGGCGCCGAGGGTGTCAGTTCATCGATGAGTTGGTTGACCATGTTGCACAACCGGGCATGTTTGTCACGTTGGAGATTAGTCTCGAGATCATCTTCAGCAAAACCCTCGTCGATCTGAGGATTTTTGGTCAGCCAGAATCATGGATGGCACACAATAACTCGCCTCTGCGAAAGGATCATCTTCGTCCGAATCGTCTCCGAGCTGCAGTGAAATCAATCGCCAAGATGTTTGAAATAAACTGTAGACCTTACCCATGACTTGTTCGACAACCTCGTGTTGAGTTGCAAGGTTTGCATTGGCTGTTCGAGAGCTGCGAAGCTAAAGTTTGAAATCATACATACATTAACCTAAAACTACTTACTAGTTCCGCCAGGCTTTCCAAAGATGTCATCGTAGTCCTCATCGTCGTCCTCAGCATACTTGCCAAATTCAGCATGGCTAGCCGCACGTCTCGCCTCTGCGGGACCAAATGAGCCAGAAGCACTTGAACCAGATCCAACAAAGGAAGATGAACGCGAATGTGATCGTATCGAACCTGTAGGTGGTAGACCCATGCCAGATATAGGACTGAGAGACGGGCGGGATGCTTTCCTCGACAGACTAGGAAGAGGTGCAGACATAGGACCAGGAGAACCAGAAAGGAGTCCGAGGACTTTGATATCGTCAGGATGGAAGAGTCCTCTGCGCACCGAATTCTTCATCTTTGACATTGTGAGAGTTCTCAGTCAGTAATTAGGAAAAAAAGGAATGCACTGACCTTGAAATCTGCCACTTTCTCTTGAAGCAAGAGCTCGTCCTCCTCAGTTGCAATATCGGAATAGTCTTCGACGATGGGTACAATATCGGCAGATGGTGCCCTTGCAAGTGGTATTGTCCCGGGGCCAGCTGGGCTACGATTTGGTCTGATGGTCTGCGCATTATCATCACCCTCCGGTTTGTCATCTTCGATGGACGTCTTCTCGAGGGCAGAGGCTACGTAACAACACAAGGTAAGACCACGACAATCCTTCAATCTCGCACAAACCTTGTAACTTGGTGAATGAGGGTCCATCCTCGAAGTCGTCGTCCCAGTTGTCTGTCTGCTCCTCTGGAGGCTGAAGGACAAAAGCTAGTGGCTCCCGGATCTTCTCCACTAGAGCGACGGGGGCAGATGGCTTTCCTGGGGCAGTATTGGGTCCTTTGAGAGCAGAGTTCCCAGAGGTCGAAGCCTGGAGACCAAGGACTGAATGCTGAAGGAGCGACACCGCAGGCTTATCTCGACTACCACGAGTTGGGGATGGTGGTTGACCTTCTGATACGGAGTTGCGACCATTTTTCTTCGTAGGTCGTGTAGGGGCTAATGGGGCATGAGCGGGGCATTGATCAGAACAATGATAAATCACATTTGAGGGCTTCATTCCACTCCTGTACCTTGAGGACAGCCTCGTCGTAGTTATAGTTGCTTGTGGGTCTCTTGCCTGCCGTGAATGATTGCGGGCCACCTTCTGGAGACCTCGATTCCTTTCCCGCAGCCGCATTCATCTGCTTCCTCGCAGATACCATCCAAGGATGACGAAGCAGCTTCTTAGCTGAGATTCGGAGGTTACAGTCCTTCTGGAAACAGTGAAGTAGAAAATCCTTGACAATCGGAGATGCGCCATCGGGGATGGGAGGACAGTCATCCTGAACAATGCGAAAGAGGGCGGGCATGGGGTCGAGGAAGTGATATGGAGGCTTGCCTTCCAAGAGTTCGATAACTACACAACCAACGCTCCTGAATAATATATCGGTATTTGCATTCATTCGCAAGCAGCTCGACTGTACTTACCAGATGTCTGAAGCAGTAGTTGCGCCAGATTGTTCAATGACCTCAGGTGCCACTGGTGCAGAATGCTGTTAAATCGTGGCGAGGACATATACCATAACTACTCACTCCAATAGGGACTGCCTACAACAGCATCATCATTAATGGCACCAGTTGTAGTAGAGCTAGCGACACCAAAGTCAGCAAGCTTTACACAGCCGTCCTTGTTAGTCAAAATATTTGCGCCCTTGATATCGCGATGGATGACACCTTGATCGTGAAGGTATACAAGCCCCTCTAGGACTTGACAGATATAGACCGCTACCAGGTTCTCTGGAAATTTACCGAAACGTTTGCAGATATTATGCAATGATCCATTTTCGCAGAACCTGACACGGTAAGTAAGCTCATTCAATTTCATCATTTGAGATGGGATGAGTACTGACTCAAGGATAATGTACAAGTACTCCCTGGTCTTGACGAAGCCCTTGTACTTGACGATATTAGGGTGCTAAGGAATGGATCGGGTAAACGATCGGAATGTAGGTTTCGGGAGCCACATACGTTCAAATTCTTGAGTAAGTCAATTTCGGACTAGAAGGAAGTCTTGAACGATGCACCCGAAGCCTTGAATAACGTAGTCCTGGACCCACCATTATCTGCCCAAGCTCTCCCTTTGGTATATTGCTGAGTTGTATCTCCTTCACGGCCACGGTCTCACCAGTGGCCCAGTTAAGTGCCCCTGCATGCATCAACGCTTGTATAGAATCCATTTCCGCAGAATTCCTCTTACTCACTGTATACTTGACCAAACGCGCCCTTTCCAAGAGAGTCCCCGAGTTGCTGCAAACATATTCAGCACAATGCCACAATGCTTGTCCGGTGCAAACAAACATAGTCATTGAGAAGCTTCGACGTGCTTGCGCGCTTTCCGGGACCGATTGAAGTCGACGAAGGAGTTGCCATAGCCTTGGATGGGATATGGTCGGTATCAAGGCGGGTATAGAAGGATGGCCTGTGGTGGATGGACCTGGCGTCCACCGAGTCCAGATGACTTTAAATGATCTTTGAAGTGTTTTAACCGGGAAAACAAAAAGAAAGCCCGCAAATGATTCTTTAAGTTTGAGTGTCGCGTCCTGCGCTGACGAGGAATACCCAACGAGCCCTTGAAGGCCACTGAGCAGAACTCAGTCCGATTTGGAAGCCTTCGTTCACATGTCACTGTCACTCTTTTGAGTGACTGGGTCCATTTAGGTACAATTGGTGCTCTCAACAGGTGTCCCCTAAGTAAAATAATACAACTCTATCGTAACGGACTAGGTAGAGAATCAATAGGATTTAAATTATATAATGTTGACAATATTTCGCTGGTCGGAAGTTGAGGCTAAAGGCCAGTCAGCATGTTCGCTACTAGTAACTAGACTAATAGGATTTATGATAGTTGGAGTATTGTTTTAGCAGAAAATATCGTGCTTAAACGAGGCTGAGTAGCGGAGAATCCGCCGGAGATTGATGAATTCGCTGCGAAAGGGATGGTTCGCACAGGGGGGACAATAGAACTTGCCGAGCCACATTGCGCACGGCTGCTCGCCTCAACGCGCCGTGGAGGAGACAGAATGTGATTGTAATCGCCTGGGCACGTAACCTAAAACCAGGATACATCATCTAGGTAGGTTGTCCATTATGCAGATCATCGAGGCGTTTCGATACATCCATGGCGGATCCGAAATTTTGATTCTCGGAACTTTCCACATGGACCAATGGTGGCCCATGGGCCTTGTAACAATGTTGGGAGGTACCAAAACTAGACGCTCTCAGCCGGGGCCCCTCTCCGGCCAGGTTCCCCCCTTGATGACGGTCGTCTCTGATCCGGCGGCTATTGGTGAGATAGATTTTCACTTCGATTGATTTCAAAAGAATCACAATTTGAGAGCGCACTAAAGCTTGTGTTGTGTAAGTCAACCTGTCCCAGTGTGCAAATGCTTCTATTGAGAGGGTGACCTATGAGCAGCGGCGTCCTGTTGAAATTGGTTACTAAGAATACAATCCACCAGTCAATACATACCTGTGTCTTGTCAAGACCCCCGTCTCAAAATCGTGTTTTCAACCTGCAACATGCAACATATTTCTTGACGCACACACCCGCAGTGCGGCAAGAGGTAATCACAGTCAGAGCTTGGCTTTGACTGAGCGTTTAAGTTGCCCCTCCCCACCCGAGTGGTTAGCTCAGTGACGGTCGTTCCGACGTCGCAATGTTCGAATCCCGATCGCGTCTCTAACTCATTTTCGGAGTTCCTACTTAGCCGATCTCTATGAGTCAAAGTCATTTTCTTCAGCCCATTCCAATACAGGAGGTTGCAATTGCAATTGCTGCTCAGAGCTAAAGCTGGTTAAACTGGATCAATGTCATGTACACATTGTGAGTGGCCGTGATAGTAACCTTCCTCGATTTAATCATAATAAAAATTAGACCGGTAGCGCCCTGGTTACCTGGTACCATCACTTTCTCCCGCTTCTTAGGTTATGTGACATTCCGCCGTGTGTGCCCCCAGTGGTATGAGCAGCCATGACGGCGATCTACATCATGAAGTCCGAGTGACGGGTCGGCTTCAGAATGAACCACCCACTTCCTTCCATTAGTTTGGCTCAGGGAGACCAGCCCCTTGCAACCCGTTCAACGGTGGTGTTCCTGGTCAGATCATGACTTGGATGCTCTCCCACGCGTACACTGAGTTGGTGTAGGTTTTAACACTTTTGACTGGCATAACCCTGCATGACCTCGGAAATTGCATCTCTTGGATACGGCGTAAGTAGCAATGTAGGTCTTTTTCTGCAGCGTGATTGCTACCTATCCAGCTCTTTTGCATGCGTTGCTAGCCTGGAAAATGCATGTGGGATTCTCCTGACGAGATTCCACAGTATATAAGCGCGATGAGCGATGGTAGGCAGATGGCCTATACTCTCCCCAGGCAACGCACCAATGGCACAATATTCGACTCACCTTACACTCCTTTTTGCATTTCTAGTCAGCCTAAGTGTGCAAGTTCAGGCACTCTCCCCGGAATATATCGCATGCCAATTGCAAAAGAGTGGGACAACCTCCCCGTTGAGCGGTTGCCCGTCAGGAACCCTGTACGTGTCGCTCACAGATAGCAGAGCAAATTTCAAAACTGTCCAAGCTGCTGTAAATTCACTGTGAGTAGCCCACATTTATATAATGTCTCCTGTCTTGATATTCCCCAGGCCACAGACGGGCAACGCTACAATTCTGATTGGAGAAGGAGAATACTTTGAAATGGTCAATGTTGCGCGGTCCGCACCTCTCACTCTTTTGGTAATCACTTTTCCAGGCGTGAAGTTCAATTGCTGAGGTTTTTTTTTGTGTAGGGTCAGCTTGATCCTTCCACTGCTTACGAGGCAGCGGGGAATGCTTCTCAGCGCAACCTTGTTCACATTTGGAATAATTTATATGTCAAGTCTGGGGTGACCGACGAGGAAACTGCAACTTTCACTGTTGCCCCTGCCTCTGGACAGAATTTCGGTAACACTGACTTCAGAGCATATAACATCGACTTCGAAAATCGTGCTGTAAGCATAGTTCTTATGTTTACACATCTGTACAATCTCACCCGATTCAGGCCAAATATTCCATTTCTCAAGCGCTCGTCACCTCCATCAGTTATGCAAATGCTTCCTTCTATGGCTGCGCCTTTGCTAGCTATCAGGATACGTGGTACACCGGCAGTGGTGCACACACATATGTCGTCGATAGTATAATATACGGTCAAACTGATTGTGAGCCATATTGTCTTGGATTATGTGGGTTGCAGCTGCTGACATTGTGGCTAGATCTTTTCGGATTTGGCATGGCGTAAGTGTGTATCAATCCATGTATAAACTCCCCGAGTAACTTTGAGAACAGATGGTTCCAAAACGTAATCTTGGCCAACCGAGCTTGTGGTGGTGGTATCACGGCCTGGCAAGGCACGAGTGGCACTAAGAATGGGGCATACATCGCCGATTCCAAAATCATCCGGGTCAGTTTTTGGTCTGATGCTCAAGTTTCTCTCTTCAATGAATATCCCATTTTCAATTTAGTCACCGGATGCAAATGCAACCACTGTGACTGATGCCAGCTGCTCCCTCGGTAAGCTAAGGAAACGGAACACGTGTTTTAAGTGCAATGCTAAGCTCGGAATGCCTCTAGGACGCCCATGGAATGCACTGGCAGTTGCTGTATACTTACGCACCTACATGGACGAGAGTATTCGACCTCTGGGTTTCACCCCCTGGTCTGGACAGTAAGTACCATTGCAGGGGGACGACACCAGTCGCTGATTTGTTTATGGCAGGGGGACCATTCCATCCACCACTTATTATGCGGAGTATAGTTCGTCTGGTAAGACTCGTGCTCTCATGCTGCCAGCGTCAGATCCTTACGCTACTCGCAGGCCCTGGAGCGAGCACGACGAAACGTGTAGCGCAAGACCATATCTTAAGTTCCGCACAGGCGGCGGCCTTCACAGTAGAGAAAGTATTTGTCGGTACACCAGCGTGGATCGACTTTAATTACGAGTATTGATAATTGAGAATGTCCTATTGTACTTGAAAAGACTCTGGCGACAGAAATCTGTCGCACTGATTCTGGCCAGTAGTTCATTTCACTTAACTCCTCGCATCTCACACACGCGGCAGCCACGCAGGTTGATGCCGATCGAAGCACACGGGAGCTTCCACCGCGTCCTTAACTGGTGTAACACATACTTAGCTGCACTACATAGTTAATAGCTGCCATCATCCTGAGAGGCCCGTCAACGTTCCTTTGTCACCTGTCGCCTCGCGGAGTGTAACTGATAATACAGCTACCTCTGGATCTCGTAGAATCGTCCGCTTTGTAAGAGGTTTGCCATCTCCGAACGCGACATTTAGTGGAAGTTGCCCAAGTGATCGGAGCCACTGCGCAACCGCTGCTAAATAGACGCGGACTTTCCCAGTAACTGCCTTACCTGTCCAGTGATATGTGAATTTGACTACAACGACGAACGTTGCTGAGCCTCGGGGCTCACAATGATCGTTTTTGTGATTACAGCTTGAATGCCGAATGCAAGGAAGTACCCGCCTACGACATGATCCAAGGCTTGCATAGCGAGTGCTCGAGGTTCTGGCTTGTCCGCAACGGGTTGCCCATTGAATTTAGTAAGAGCTTCAGCCTCCACCCAATTAAGCCCGTAGCAGTCTGCATGAGCGAGTCGAATGAGAGGTGTTATTGTAGTGATAAAAACTGAAAAGATATTACGCTGCGATTATTCTTCCAGGGACCCTCCCAGTCATGTGCGGTCAAATTGGTGCATATAATACCATGTCGCACTTTAGCAAGTTCCCGGGGTCCAAACCCTTTCTCCTGAAGGCCACCTTGTCGGTATGCTTGCAGGAATACGTTAGCATCCTTGACTAATTCCTTCAGGCAGTCGCGTTGAGTGGCTTCGGTGAGGTCAAGCTGCGTCGTACGTTTGCCACGAGATGTATCAATATCAAGTATGGGTAACTTGGGAAGCTTTGAGGACGTAATGAGGAACACATCAGCGCCGTACACTGTCGAATTTGTAGATCAATCATGCAACCCGGATCACTTTGACAAAGGAATGTTGTCGCATACCTGCGAGCGTTCGGCCGCACACCGGCCCTGAAAGTACCCGACACAGATTTAACACACCAATTCCCGAGGACCCGTTTAGGAGCGCTACCGATCTTGATGAGTTGAATTAGAAGTGTTCCTCTTAATGCAGGTGCATGCGGATGCTTATCCCACTCCTTGAATGACCTATGAGCAGAAACACACGTTTTCTGCTTTGCTGCATCTTCCAAATCTTCCGCATTTCACTGCAGTAACACAGCTTGAATGGCATCACAAGTGGGATCACACTGCGAAATATTGAGGATGCCTTCTGGGTGACTTCGGTGATCGTTGGCCACGAAAGATCTGCCCAAGTGCAGACGGACAAAACTGTCGTCCTTGGTTCTGTATATTCCCGCTAGGCGGTCCCACACAGACGCAGTGGGCATCTGACTATCTGCCGTGTATCAAGATTCACTGCTTGATTTTAGTAAGATAGAATCAAAGATCGATGGGATGGTAACCTAGAGATGTCCATAATAACGTGACGTGCATCGACACTGACATCTAGTGTATTTCCGGTCCTCAAAGAAGAACGTACGGAGCTGCTAGGCCTGCCAGTGAAAGGCCGATAGATATCCCAAGGGGCTTGCTCGCGATCGATCCACATCCGATGATTGTTTACTCACCTGGGCTGCGCTCCCTATCTTGAAGGAAGAATTAATTGCAGTGTCAAGGCAGCCACTGAGTTTCAAAAGGTGTGAAAGGATCTCGAGGCCAATCATTGACGAGCCAAAGAGAAGTGGTCTGATCGTATGAATGTGAAGTATCTGGCGTGTTGGACATGTTTCTGCGGCAAATAAGCGTGAACTGTGAACGAGAATATTAAGTGCGCATGTAGCAGTTGGAGATGATAGTATGGGTCTGAGATAGAATGAGTCTGTCCACCACAAAAATAATTGCGCAAGTGTGTCCAACGTCGCATTCATTGACAAACCTGGCCAGTAAGCTCAGAATGTTGGGGTCTCGACCAACACGATCTTTCCGGCTCTGCGATGTTTAGCATTGATGGCAGAATCCCATATAGATACTTGCTGTTACACAGTATGTAGTACTACACGATCAAACGCTAGTACTACACGGGTCATGACTAAAATCGGAGATTAAAATGTGTCGGGATATGCCGCGAGACCGAGAACTTCCGAAGAGGTGAATATTTTGGTGAACTGCACTGCGGGACTTTCGTTTACTGTCTTCTTCGGAATGGTCTCGAGAACACTGTCGGCGTCGGTAGCTCGTTCACTCAGGACTGCAGCGCGCAATCCTGTAAGTTTTTGATCTTTTCTAGGTCGTCTTACCTTGATTTTCATCCCCAACCAGCGGCCTTTGCGGTCATTTGCCACAGCTGTGAACATTCCATCTCCCATCACGCAAACCACAACTCTTTCCAATGGCCTAACTGTCGCAACAGAGTCTCATCCTCATGCTCAGACCGCAACAATTGGCGTCTGGATTGATGCCGGTTCGCGTGCCGAGACTGACAAAACTAATGGCACTGCCCACTTCCTCGAGCATATGGCCTTCAAGGGCACCAAGCGTCGCAACCAACACGCGTTGGAGCTCGAGGTCGAGAACCTTGGCGCACACCTAAATGCGTACACTTCTCGCGAGCAGACCGTGTACTATGCAAAGAGCTTCCGAAAGGATGTTCCGATCGCCGTTGATATCATTTCCGATATTCTACAGAATTCCAAATTGGAGACTACAGCTGTTGAGAGGGAACGTGATGTCATCCTTCGAGAGCAGCAGGAGGTCGACAAGCAGCTCGAAGAGGTTGTATTCGATCACCTTCATGCTGTTGCTTTCCAACGTGCGTGTTTCACTTTCATCACATGCTCGCTTTACCTCCGCACCCAAGACTCATGCGTCATCTTTTGTAGACCAACCGCTTGGTCGTACCATCCTTGGCCCCAAAGCCAACATCCTTTCCATCAAGCGCGACGACCTTGATTCCTACATCAAAACCAACTACACCGCCGATCGCATGGTTCTCGTTGGTGCTGGAGGTGTTGACCACCAGGAGCTGGTGAACCTTGCTGAAAAGCATTTCTCTTCGCTTCCCGTCTCACAGAACCCGATCCCTCTCGGCCGTCTTGCTCATGCCCGGTCAAACTTTGTCGGTTCAGACGTTCGTCTCCGTGATGACGCAATTCCTTGTGCACACGTCGCCATTGCCGTTGAGGGTGTCGGTTGGAGCTCACCTGACTACTTCCCCATGCAGGTCATGCAGAGCATCATGGGCAACTGGGATCGCTCTCTCGGCGCATCTCCTCTCCTCTCCTCTCGTCTTTCCCACGTTATCTCCTCGAACAACCTTGCTAACTCATTCATGTCCTTCTCGACGTCTTACTCCGACACCGGTCTCTGGGGTATTTACCTAGTATCCGAGAACCTCATGAACCTTGACGATATGGCACATTTCACTCTGAAGGAATGGTGCCGCATGTCTATGGCTCCGACTGATGTCGAGGTCGAGCGCGCCAAGAGCCAGCTCAAAGCCGGCCTGTTGCTCTCTCTTGACGGGACGACTGCTATTGCCGAGGATATTGGAAGGCAACTCGTCACTACTGGTCGCCGTCTCACCCCTCAGCAGATCGAGTCTGCCGTCGATGCTGTGACCACGGATGAGATCAAGCGCGTTGCACAGAAATACCTGTGGGACAAGGACGTAAGATTTTTTCTTATCGAATTGAAGCCGCACATGTTCACTTAATCACCCCTCTGTAGATCGCTATTGCAGCTCTTGGCCCGCTCGATGGTCTTCTTGATTACAACCGCATTCGCTCAGACATGTCGTCCATGATATATTAAAGGTCAGTTTTGTTTATCGTTTGCATGAGGTCATGTACTCACAAGTCGCAGGATGATCAGGTGTGATTGTTATTGGGACGCTAGCTAGACGATATGCTGTTCGCTGTTGTTCTTTCCGAGTAGATGGCGGAATAAATGACGTTTAATACCTTCATAATTTTCTGTCAGCAAATTGATTATGGTGACCTGTGCAGGTTGTCGACCAAATTTCCATCGTGAGTAATCACATTAACGGGTTGTTGCTCCTTTCTTCCGAATTTCGAGTCCTCCATCCAAGACTCGCCAGCATGGCACACAATAATGGAGGTATAGTAATGGTGCACAGCACCAGTCGCTGAATCCTTAGGGGGACATGCACGTACTAAGGGAGTTGGGGATATATATTCTTCTGAGATTATCCTCACGAGGCCTACGGGTAGACCCATTGTCATGAACAGGCTATCACACACAAGATCTCAGCAGGTTTCAACCGATACAGCGCCCTCACAAGCTTGACAAATAGATTTTGAATCATGAATTCATCAGTACCTGGGCTTCGAATGAGTCGGAGCAGATTGAACGTCTATGAATTCCGACTATGGTACTTGCAATGGCAAAGATACTAGTACTGTCGGTGTGATCCAGCACTGCAAACGGGTAGTGATTCCATCTCCCAGCCAAGCGATCAGTTGACGTTCCATCTGTTCGGAGAGTGACTGTCTTGTCATGATCATCCCAGATCTTGATAATATCTGAATCCAAGGGAAAAAGATATTCAGCAGTCAAAGGCTCGTATAATCTGTATCCACCAGTCACAATCATGGTCGTGTCCAGCGAGTAAACGACTGCGTGTATGTATTTCGTGCCGGTGCGATGATTGTCTCCAGCAGACATAATTCACCATATCTGTATGCATCTCCCGATGAGTTTGCATATGTTGATGTCTCACAACTTCAGTCCACTTCTATCTTCACTCCCGCCAAGCACTTCCTCTGTCCGGAGATATCGCTGCGGTCCGTACTTCACTTTCTCCGTCCCTTCAGTCATGTCCTATCTGTTCTCCATTAAGTTCCGTACCCGCAGCGAGCCGTCCTTTGAATAAATGATCATCTGCTGTCCACCTAGTAGCTGATGAATGTGGCTCTCGACCCATTTGGCAGATATTATTTGTTCGAAAGGGGTGTTGCGAGCTGGCCCTGCGTCACGAAGTGATATTTTGTTCCAGGCCAGGTTGCCAATATGCCTTGCTTCACACTGCCAGTGGCAAGGTAAGGTAGAAGTTAGGTGGCAATCTGCTGGAATTTCAGATATCCATCTGTTCGAAAAAAAATGTGGGTCTTCAGGTGGAGAAATATTCAGCGCATAAAAGGAAAATATTTTCCTACTGTCCCCTTCAGATCTAACATCACATCCTCTCAAGCAATGCGTCTCTCCTTTTTTTTCGCTGTTGTTGCTGCTTTGACAGTATCAATATCTGCCAGCGACGCTGAAAGTGACAAAAAATGTCCTTGGTATTGCGTATATGATTCAGACTGTTCGGCCTGCGATATTGGCACATGCGTGAGTTTGAGTAGTTTGCGTCCTGGATGTAACCGCATGACTTATCGGCGTGGAAGATATGGATTTTTTGCTACTAGCGTGGCAGTGAGTCGTGTCTCTGCTTTCACGTCGGTGCAGTATGGTTGATGGCATGACACGTGAAGCCTTGATCGGATGCTCGACCATTGGGAGTGGAACAAGGACTTTGATGGCGGCAGAGGCGAATTTGGGGTAATCAAGCAGTGGAATGATATCTGCTACAGGAGGTTGAGAAGTCATGTAGTGTCAGAGACCTTGTGAGCTAGCAGACTGTACAGAGCTGGTTATCTATGGGCTTGCTTGGTAAAAAAAAATGATTGGGAAAGGACGGGATGCTCACCGTAGATCTGGAAGTGCTATGGACAATTTGTCGAGCGGCTATACAATTTCATCAAGTGGCCTCGGTTCGACTTTGAAAGAGGGGATGCCCTGTGACCTAGTACTTACCTCAAATTGAAGCACTGGGGTGGGCCCAGGCTCAGATACCACACAGTGTCGCACTACTGGGAATCCATATGGTACACGAAGGCCTAGGGGCGGGACCAAGCGTTGGTAAGCTCCCGAAAGTCTATACTTATAAAAATGAGAGCTTGAAATTAGTTTGTTCCTCCTCCGCCGATTGCTTGGTGTTCATACGAAACAAACAAAAGTCTCGAAACTTAGCAAGAAAAAGCCCCTGCTTATTACTCATTGGTTTGATGCCTGATAGTACAACATATGAAGAGCCAGAAGTGAGTCCAGTATCCAGCGTGTTTTATCGTTGCACGATTAGTGCTTTAAGCTTGAGATTGTAGTAGTGATGGGAGATGTGGAGATGGCAGCCTGAGCCGGTGGTTGCAAAGATGACTGGGTTTGAGCCATGCCATATACATTGAGTTGCTGCATGACAGCGTTATTGGGAGGGTGCGAGCTTCCTGCATTAGTTTTTTGTGGATTAGCTTTTGTATCTCTTGCTGAAGCGTTTCTCTCCGTGATATCAAGTGGAGTACATTCGAGGAAGATAGGAAATACGCGCTTGCCCTTGGTGCATAAGGGAGGTCAACTACTGTCAAGCAACGTTCTTGCAGTTCGATATTTGCCCCACTTGATCTACCAGCAGCGGAGAGACGATTTCAAGCCTGGTGGGAAGGACGACCGGGGCCATAGGATGGCGCGTATTGGGCATCCTGCAATCACCAGGTTGTAGTATTAATCCAGGTCCCAACTTGAATCGAGCGATCACTTGACCCCATGATGTCCTTTGAGATGCCTTCGCCTTCTAGTCTCCCCTAGCCAGACCATATAGAAGGAAGACAGTCGTTCCTTCTTGATTACATTTTCACTATTTTTGAACCATTTCGAAGTTCGAACACGTGAGTCAAGACTTTCCGGAAGGAGTGTAGTCTCCCGTAGGACACAGTTACAAATAAATATATTAGTCCAAGTCAAAACACATTTACACCTCGCTTCCTGGATTATATTTGAGCAGCTGCAAGGCGATCAGGGTCTGTAGATCACCAAGTGACAGCGTGGACATACCCGTGTTATCAGGTCTCTAGCCTCGGGAGAGACGCGAGATGGTATTTTGAGGTCGACTTTAGCTATTCGACGGTAAGTGGCTTGAATTACAAATGTCAGCTGAAGAAAGGGCCAGTGTAACAAGGCTGCTTACCGTTAACGCTGTTCCGATCTCCAAAGGGAGGATTCCCAACCATGAACTCGTATGTTAGTACGCCCAGGGCCCAGTAATCTACCTTCTCATTGTGTTCCTTTCCCTCGACCATCTCAGGTGGCAGGTAATCAAGTGTCCCGCAGAGTGTCATGCGCCTATTTCCGGGTGCGTGTACGCTCCATCCAAAGTCGCCTATCTTCAGCTCACCATTAATTCCCAACAACAAATTCTCCGGCTTGATATCTCGATGAACGACGTGCTTGCCATGCAAGTATGTCAAAGCATCTGCCATCTGGTCGATATACCTCGAGCTGCGTTTCTCCGAAAAGCTACCATGCTTGGAGAGCTGCTTGTATAACTCGCCTTTGCCAGCGAATTCGAGCATGAGGAAGATGCGTTTCTCGTCATGGAAGTAATTGTTGCTCTTTTTTTCCGAATTTCGAGTGCTGCATCCAAGACTCCCCAGTATGGCACTCAACAACGGAGGTATAGTAACGGTGCACAGCACCAGTCGCTGACTCCTTAGGGGGACATGCACGTACTAAGGGAGTCGGGGATACATATTCTTCTGAGATTATCCTCACGAGGCCTACGGGTAGACCCATTGTCATGAACAGGCTATCACACACAAGATCTCAGCAGGTTTCCACCGATACAGCGCCCTCACAAGCTTGACAAATAGATTTTGAATCATGAATTCATCAGTACCTTGGCTTCGAATGAGTCAGAGCAGATTGAACGTCTATGAATTCCGACTATACTACTTGCAATGGCAAATATACTAGTATACTGTCGGTGTGATCCAGCACTGCGAACGGGCAGTTGTTCCATCTCCCAGTCAAGCGATCATTTGACAATCCCATTTGTTCGGAGAGTGGCAATAAGCTTGACTGTCTTGTCATCCCAGATCTTGATAATATGTAAATTCAAGGGGGAAAAGATATTCAGCAGTCGAGGGCTCGTATAATCTGTATCCACCAGTGACCAGTCACAATCATGGTCGTGTCCGGCGAGTAACGACTGCGTGTATGTATTTCGTGCCCGATCTTGATTGGTGCGATGATTGTCTCCAGCAGACATAATTCACCATATCTGTATGCCCTATCCATCTCCCCATGACTTTGTATATGTTGTCCGGAGACATCGCTGCGGTCCGTACTTCACTTTCTCCGTCCCTTCAGTCGTCTCCTATCTGTTTTCCATTAAGTTCCATGCCCGCAGCGAGCCGTCCCTTGAATAAATGATCATCTGCTATCCACTTAGCTGATGTATGCGGTTCTCGACCCATTTGGCAGATATTATTTGTTCGAAAGGGGTGTTGCGAGCTGGCATTGACCCCGCGTTACGAAGTGATATTTTGTTCCACGCCAGGTTGCCAATATACCTTGCTTCACACTGCCAGTGGCAAGGTAAGGTAGAAGTTAGGTGGCAATCTGCTGGAATTTCAGATATGCATCTGTTCGAAAGAGCATTTCAGGTAGATAGGCTTTTCCTACACCGGTGTGAACAACAATATTCAGCGCATAAAAGGAAAATATTTTCCTGCTGTCCCCTTCAGACCCAACATCACATCCTCTTTAAGCAATGCGTCTCTCCTTTGTTTTCGCTGTTGTTGCTGCTTTGATAGTATCAACATCTGCCAGCGACACTGAAAGTGACGGGTGTCCTTGGTTTTGCGTACATGATTCAACCTGTTCAGGCTGCTTTGGTGGGGAATGCGTGAGTATGAGTAGTTTGCGTCCTGGATGTAACCGCGTGACTTATCGGCGTGAAAGATCTTCTTTGTTTGTTACTAGCGTGGCAGTGAGTCATGTCTCTGCTTTCACGTCGGTGCAGTATGGTTGATGGCATAACACGTGAAGCCTTGATCGGATGCTCGACCATTGGGAGTGGAGCAAGGACTTTGATGGCGGCAGAGGCGAAGTTTGGGGTAATCAAGCAGTGGAACGATATCTGTTACTGGAGGTTGAGAAGTCCTGTAGTGTTAGAGCCCTTGTGAGCTAGCAGACTGTACAGAGCTGGTTCTCTATGGGCTTTCTTAGTAAAAAAAATGATTGGGAAAGGACAGGATGCTCACCGTAGATCTGAAGGTTCTATGGACAAATTGTCAAGCGGCTATACAATTTCATCAAGTGGTCTCGGTTCGACTTTGAAAGAGGGGATGCCCTGCAGTGACCTAGTACTTACCTCAAATTGAAGCACTGGGGTGCTGTGCGAACTGGGTGGGCCCAGGCGCAGATACCACACAGTGTCGCACTACTGGGAATCCATATAGTACACGAAGGCCTAGGGGCGGTATCCAGCGTGTTTTATCGTTGCACGATTAGTGCTTTAAGCTTGAAGTCGTAGTAGTGATGGGAGATGTGGAGATGGCAGCCTGAGCCGGTGGTTGCAAAGATGACTGGGTTTGAGCCATGCCATATACATTGAATTGCTGCATGACGGCGTTATTGGGAAGGTGCGAGCTTCCTGCATTAGTTTTTTTTGGATTAGCTTTTGTATCTCTTGCTGAATCATTTCTCTCCGTGATATCAGGTGGAGTACATTCGAGAAAGGAAGATAGGAAATACGCGCTTGCCCTTGGTGCACAAGGGAGGTCAACTACTGTCGAGCGACGTTCTTTCAGTTCGATATTTGCACCACTTGATCTACCAGCAGCGGAGACACGATTTCAAGCCCAGTGGGAAGGACGACCGGGGTCATAGGATGGCGCGTGTTGGGCATCCTGCAATCTCCAGGTTGTAGTATTAATCCATGTCCCAATCGAGCGATCACTTGACCCCGGGATGTCCTTTGTCTTCGCCTTCGGCGTCTCCACCAGTGACAACTTCATGGTCATCTCTGGCGAGTAGACGACTGCGCTCACGAATTCGTGCCCTGTCTCGAATATTGGTGCGAGGATGATCTTTCCGTTCTCTACATCCCATTGCCTTGCAGTCCCATCGAAGGATCCGCTCAAGACTCGACGTCGCGACGAGTCGACGACCATCTTAACTCTAGCAGGCACCACACGAAATTGGTATGCCCCGTCCATTTCGTGATAATTTTGCCTGTGAGTCGAGACCACACTGCAGCGGAGCTACGCCGTGTCGACGTTTGTTTTTAATCGCAATTAATGTTCTTCACGACCCGCGTACGTCACAACTTCCAATGGCTCGCATAGTCTCACCCTCTGGTGCGCCGTACTTGACCTTCGCACGGATTCATTTGCGCACGGTCAACTGTACACTACTCTATCCAGAGTTCGATGTCGTTAGTCTCCCGTAGGACACAGTTACAAATAAATATATTAGTCCAAGTCAAAACACAGTGTCCAATGGCAAACCATTGGCACAGACTAGCACACTAAAGATCAACAAATATTTACACCTCGCTTCCGCCTCTGGACGTCCCTTTGGGCCGATGTCTCAATATCCATGGGTGTCGTGAGACATCAGTTAATGCGATACGCTCTTCAGGATTATATTTGAGCAGCTGCAAGGCGATCAGGGTCTGTAGATCACCAAGTGACAGCGTGGACATACCCGTGTTATCAGGTCTCTAGCCTCGGGAGAGACGTGTGATGGTATTTTGAGGTCGACTTTAGCTATTCGACGGTAAGTGGCTTGAATTACAAATGTCAGCTGAAGAAAGGGCAAGTATAACAAGGCTGCTTACCGTTAACGCTGTTCCGGTCTTCAAAGGGAGGATTCCCAACCATGAACTCGTATGTTAGTACGCCCAGGGCCCAGTAATCTACCTTCTCATTGTGTTCCTTTCCCTCGACCATCTCAGGTGGCAGGTAATCAAGTGTCCCGCAGAGTGTCATGCGCCTATTTCCGGGTGCGTGTACGCTCCATCCAAAGTCGCCTATCTTCAGTTCACCATTGATTCCCAACAACAAATTCTCCGGCTTGATATCTCGATGAATGACGTGCTTGCCATGCAAGTATGTCAAAGCATCTGCCATCTGGTCGATATACCTCGAGCTGCGCTTCTCTGAAAAGCTACCATGCTTGGAGAGCTGCTTGTATAACTCGCCTTTGCCAGCGAATTCGAGCATGAGGAAGATGCGTTTCTCGTCATGGAAGTAACCGTACAAGCGAAGCACGTTGGGGTGCCGAAGGTTTTGTTGAATTTCTATCTCACGTCGGATCTGCTTCTCGACGCGAGAAGCGATGATTTCGGATTTGTACAGGCATTTGAGGGCGAGGATATATTGTGGCTCGCATTTAGTGCGGACCATGTACACGCGCCCGAATTTTCCCTTTCCTAGAGGGCGACCTATATCAAATGAGGGGAGACTCCATTCTCGAGTGGGACGTGTTCTGAGGGAGATGTTGATGATAAGATGCCACCAACATTATTCTCACTCACCCCGATACACTAGAATCGAGGGCAAGCGCTTCGGCTGCCTCTCCAAAGACCTTTTCACCCCTCTTCTCGTTGTCTAACTCGAAGCCACCATCATACTTGCCGATGTCAAGTGGGGGTTGCGGTTCTGAGGCAGTTATTGCTCTACTAGTTCGAGCTGGAGCATTTGCGTTTGTTTGGTTGCGGAGAGCAGACGGTTGAGTGGGTTTTGCTGTAGGAGGATGGGGTGCAGCGTATTTTGTAAGGAGTTTGGCAACGTTTGTTTGGGAGGGCTGCTTGGCATGGCCGGGACGCGAAGATTGCTGGTGCTTCTTCGAGGAGATTTCGAGGGCAGCGATTTGTTTGGTGACCGCGCCTATTGATGCCATGTTTCCGGAAAACCAGTTGGCTTTACAGCGAGAGGCTTCGGGTGTTGAAGGGATGCTACGAAACGCGGGGCCGTGCAATTATGTAGTTGGTTCGACTTTTCGAGCCCCGCTCACGCGTTCGATCACGTGATCTATCATTGATGTGCATGGTGCCCAAATGGTGCCAGCCTTAAAGTTAGTCTCCCCTAGCCAGACCATATAGAAGGAAGACAGTCGTTCCTTCTTGATGATCCGTAAAGTGGAAAAATCTATCAAGTCCTTTTGATTCTTTACATTGTATCGTACGATATCCTTTTATAACGCTATGTTCTAATACAAAAATCAGTCAAATAGAGAGAACTGCAGTCCATCACAAAGCTCCTTGCATCAGCCGTGAAAATCATTATTTGTGCGCACGGCTCCTCTCCTAGAACGCAAATGACACTCCCGTACATGACGGGGGTGGCTATCTTTCATAAGTATCCTTCCGCACTCAGGCCACAAGCACTCCACTTTGACGCGGTCTCCGTCTACAAAGATACGACGATGAGAGCTCATGTCAGACATAGCTGATACTTCCATGGAAGTACCTGCGTTGGTTCCTGGACCTATGCCGACAATGTCAAGAGACATGGGAGCAACTCCGACAGGAGGAACAACGGGCGTCAAGGGAGATGCGAAATGTCCAAAGTGTGCATTGCGCAAGGAGGGATAAGCCAACCGCAGGTAATTCCTGAGAATCAAAATTGCCTCGTCAACGGTCAGATGTTGACCGTGTGACGCCTGAAGACGAACGAGGTAGGCCTCAACAGAGGATGCCATCCGTATGTCGACCGTAGGAGGAGCAATTTGATTCAAGACGAAGCTTTCCCATGACCTGGGAGACGGTCAATTACTGGAGCCTTACAGGAGACAGGACTCACTGATGCTCCGTGAAATCAATAGATGGAGACAACCCTACGGGCGAGGTCAAATCTACTGGCGAGACAGCTGGTCTAACGCCATCGATGCTGTTGATCGCGTAAGTAATGTGGGAGTTAGAGGGTATCAGTCGAGTCAAAGCCGAGCGCTACTCACAACGCCTGGTTTTCGTTCATGTGGAAATCCCATGAACCAATGAAATTGTCCTTATTGGTATGAATCTGACAGCCCTCAAGGATTGCTGTCAGCTCTTCCAATGTGCGACATTGTGAATTCATGAAGGGTGGCTAATTTGAACAGGGGGATACGGTGTTTGAAGCAAATTTATAGAGTACCGTTGAAAATATAGGCGGCAAACCGGCAACAAACGCAACAATCAAAGACCGATCTACAGCAACATACCTTAAGCAAAGTATTTATCAGTGGTCGTAGAACATGAGGACATCATTCGCTGAGTTCTATGTAGCAGTGCCAGTCTGTACGCGGTCTGATACACGTTGTGAGTGGTTACAACTCGCGGCAGCGCATAGTTGACGCCTAGACACTATATCAGGCATTTACGGGGAGTCATCCTCGATATTCCCGGACAGAGACGACCGCAGTATAACGAAGGAATTTGAAATTCTGGAATAAGTTGGAAGGATTTTGGCCAGCGTGGCCATGAGCACATCATTCAGTGTGTGTTCTCAAAGTGCAGACCCGCAAGGCGACGCTGAAGTTGATCAAATGAGAAATTGAGGACCATCTTCCTGTGTTACTTTGGTGAGTGGCTTAAGCGATCAAAGACGCTTGTAAAATTCCGAATCTGGCAGTGCAGAACTTATTACAAATCAGCTTGAATGTGCCAACATTACATAATTGAACTTTACAAATTTGTCCGCGCTTGCAGGACCGAGGAAGGTCCAGCTGACTCTTCGTACAGGGACGAGAATTTGAATAGATGGTTCAACGTAACACTGATATCTGCGCGATCTCCAATCAGTGGATATAGCCCGTGCAGTGACTGGCGGTGCATAGTATCAAGTACGAGCAGAACTTACCGAAAATAAATAATATGACGAACCTGCCGCTCGCCTCCTCAGAGTGAATTATCTCAACCACACAATATCAGATAGTACGAGAACATGAGATTCTCGACATTCATCCTATGTGTAAGAACCCGGGGTGTTGGAATATGCGATTGAGGTCGCTGAGGACTTACAGTACTATGCAAGTGGCCATGGTCAGTACTGGTGTCCCTAGCCTGTGCACTGCAAATCTCATGGACTCGCTATTTTGATCTCTCACGTGACAAATAATTTTGCTGCGTTGGTCTCGACTCTCGACTCTTGACAAATCTTTCTCCAACGCGCAGCTGCCAGGTACGCGACACTGAAACAGATTTCGGTGCTGTAACACATGGCAAGCACGAACACCGTGGCTGGGCCATCTACCTCTATGATCTTGCCTAACACGTTTTCTGATTACGCGACCTCCGTGCAATCGGCTGCACTGGCTACAACTGGTCTTGCTGCTACTACACTACCACAAGACATAGAATTCCATCGTTCTATACATGTGTCATTTGCTGCAGAGCTTGACTCGCTTTCCACACGAGTCCTCCGGCTTACCAACCGGCTTGTGCGACTTGCAGGCACTGTGGGTAGCGGTACTACGGGGCGTGGCACACTGGATGACGAGGAGGACGTCTTGGATGGTTTCAAATCTCTGATCGTTGACCCGGTGGATAGACTTCTCGAAAGGACGGACATGTGTTTAGATGATTATTTGGGGCGTAAGAAAGAGCCTGCTATCGCTGTTCCCGCTCTACCGAATCAGAGTAACAATTCATCAAAGGTGCATCCAGTAATATTTGTGATTTATAACCACTAAGTACTACGTATTCATTGTCTCATAGAAAACCCCAGCCCAGAGAGGACGCCTCGACCCTGCGCTTCAGCATGCTTCTCATTTACCAAAGCCTCAACTGCTGTTCAATACAAAAGTGGACAACCATAATGATTCGCCGTACATCCCGGCCCGTACTCTTGAACACAAGTGGTGTGCCCGTGTCCCGCTTGGATACATATTCCATGACCAAGACGAGAGTGGGAGCATGGACGAGGAAGAAAAACAAAAGCTGTTCGTTCTTTTTTGATTTTGCGACGACTGCTGTCTCAATTCTTGCAGATCGGCGCACCCCTACTATTATGAGCTCACCCATCCAGCGTTCCCTACACATCTCTTCCATCCGACCCCTATCACCATTCTACCTGCTTCTCTCACAGGGACCGACGTCTCGAAGCACACATACGTCTCGACTCCATCTGCTCTCTCGGCGATGGCTACAAAACTCAAAGCAGCAAAAGAAATTGCTGTTGACCTTGAACACCACTCATACCGTACATACAGAGGGTTTCTTTGCTTGATGCAAATCAGCACACGTGAGGAGGATTTCATAATCGACTTACTGGTACCAAGTGTGCGGGATTCAATAAGCAACGCACTTGGTGAAATTTTTGCAGATCCAGAGATTGTCAAGGTACGCTTGGATATTTCGCAGGTGGCGCTTTTGTGCTCGATTAATTCTTACAACAACTTTCAGGTCTTCCATGGCGCAGAGAGTGATATTGTGTGGCTTCAACAAGACTTCAATGTTTTTGTAGTTGGACTGTTCGACACATATCATGCCTCAAAGGCGCTAGACTTTCAGAAGCATGGCCTTGCAAATTTACTAGAGGCATTCTGCGACTTCATACCTGATAAGCGGTATCAGCTTGCCGATTGGCGCATTCGGTGCGTCGAAATTATTTTTGTCTCCTCTTCTTTCCTTGCCCCTCCAAATCGCAGGACAGATCTTACATGGGGTGACGCCCTTGGGTTTGATGCCTACGTGTTCCTAATAGGATCGATTGAAACTATTTCAGCCAGCCTATTCCTGTCACATTGTCACATTTGCTTCACTTCTCTCTTCCCTCGTTTTGTCTTGAAAGTATTGTAGGGACGCAACGTTGGTTCTGTAGAACCAATTCGCTTCCGCACTATGTGTGAGCTCCGCGCAAAAGGAGTTCTTGTGCCGCGCTTAGACTGTTTCTGTATATATTATCAACTTTGCTTCACCTCCACCTTTCCTCTGGAGGATATGTCAACTAACTTTCAATTTGTGAAGTCCATTGCCAGAGGAGATGCTCACGTATGCACGCTCTGATACTCACTTCCTGCTATATATCTATGATCGACTTCGACTCTCCCTTATCGAGCGTGCGCAGACGATGACTGCTCCAGAAGCATCTCTGTCGACCACAATATCTACTATAATCAAGGGCAGCATATCTGACAAGCCGGCGCACGTGCTACTGAACGACGTGTTGGCGCGTTCGACTCGCACGGCATTAAGGTTATATGACCGCGAGGCATACGATGCAGAGCTCGGCGTTGGTACAGGTGGTTGGGATACACTTGCGCGGAAATGGAACAAGAGTGCATTGGCCAACAGTGCTAGCGAGATTAATGGTGTACGAGGTGGTGTAACTGGAGAGGTGTATAGGGCATTGCATCGGTGGCGGGAGAATATAGCAAGGGAGGAGGATGAAAGTACGAGGTAAACATTGCCTTCATATCTAGGGACCACGGTGATGTGGTTCTATGAAGTTGTCGGGCCCTCTCTTTGCTCTTATGAAGACTGACCTGACACACAGATATGTTCTGCCAAATCACCAACTTTTCACCGTAGCCGAGCGGTCACCTTCCAATGCTGCCCAGCTCCTTGCGCTCTTCTCACACGCCAGCGTTCCGCCTGTCTTACGACGAAGAGCAGGCGAACTTGCAGAGGTCATCAAGTCCACTGTGGAACGAGTGACATCTTCAGGTGTTGTTGTTGAGGCCCCCATGGTTACTACAGACGTCAAAATAGTCAACTCGGCTGTCTCGAATGAAGTTGTTGATGAAGTAACTGCAAATTCCAGACTGTGGGGGTCTGTGAAAGTTTCGTCTCCCTCAGTTGTTCAGCGCGCATCATCCTCGTCTCTTTTCGGCCCGCGGACCGCAGCGGCCGACGAAGGAAGTTCATACTCGGCTTCGCGAAGTTCATTATTCGGCTCCTCATTAACTTCTCACACGACGCCTCAAGTAAGTCCGTTCACCTGCATACTTTTATGATGCGATCATCCTTTTCAGAGTTCAGCACCAATTATATCGGCCAATAGGAAGAAATTTCATGACCTCGTGACACGGATACACCGGACCCTCGTCATTGCACCCAACCAACCACAGGCAAGCCAATCCCTGCATTCGCACATTTCTTATCTCCATCTCATTATTTAGATTATCAAAGTCGGTTCTCAGACAATCTTCCAATCCAGCACCTCCTCGGGCTCTATCACAACACAACCAGCGACGCCCGTCTCTACCCTGGCTTCAGCAGAAGCGCCTGACGAAACCACTATCCTTGGACAAGTAGAAATCCCGTTCATTCCTCCCGATCAGCGACACCGTCTTGCCCCTGTTTCAGATGATACCATTGTAGTCGTGGGTCAGGCCAGGCAGAAGAAGCGCAAACGGATCAAGTCCACTGTTTTGGGCAAACCTCAAACTGGAGACCAGGACGACACGGGCGAGGACGAGGCATTCGATTATGCGACAGTGCCGAACCTGCTCGATGATGTGCCACCAGCCCCTGAGGAGCTCGACACGAGGAAGAAAAAGAAGCAGAAAGCAAAGGGTACGTGATCGGTTATTTTCTCGATCTCTTTGGTTGCAATCCTCCAGCATCCCACAATCTTCTTTGGCCGCCATGTCGCTTTATCATCATCTGTCCCCTTTTTCCTTCGGCCGAAATGTTGTATGCTTATGCTTACCTGACTGATGACAGGTACTGGAGTCGTAGAGTACGGCAATTTTCGCGCACCACCGCGGGATATGCGCGAGGTTAAGAGTGGTAACAAAACTCATACATTTAGATGACAATTCATCAGAATAACGTTGTATCTGTGCTTTCACATCCTGGCAGGTGTTGTTTATATGCTATGTCGCTCCTATGTGCGATCTCGACAACATCACTTTGCTCCCGTGTGAGTGGACACCATGCTGAGGTTTTCGGACAGAGATTGTCGTTGTGCTATTGGACTCGGCTTGCAACTTGAAACATACAGACCAATACCACGAGGCAAACGCAAAATGCTGACGCTTGAGTATGGCAGACGGACTAAATCGGCAGTATCTTTCGAAATCTGGAACAGACTTGCCTGGAGTTCTGTCGTAACAATTTCCGGCTGTGGATAGCCAGGCCAGGATTACCTTCACGCCAAGGTGCGTACACGTATTCGGTGCATTTTTCGGTAGCCGTCTCGTCACGGTGACCGGCATTGTGATATTCTTTTGGAGAGCGCAAGATGACCTCGTGAGTGACCCCTTTGACTGTATAAGAAGCGATACGTCTTGCGTCGGAGGCTTCAACTTCTTCTGCTTCGTCTTTTTAATGCGCAACTCATGACTACTCTAACCATTGAAAAAGCGACTTCTGTGTCCGAACCCAAATATCAACCCCATAACTCTGATGTCAAGCCATCACCTGACACCAAAGATACAATCGATATAGAACATGTTCCAGTTAACGACGACCCCCGTCAATGGAGTCTTGCCAAAAAAGTTCGTTCAAATCATGATGTGCTCTCAACTGACCAGGTTAACGCTGTATCACCAGACCGTAACATTGTGCATTGTGTCACTAGCTACAATGGTGTCTGCGTTAGCATCTAACATTCAAAATCGTTCGTCGCATGTCTTTGCCTATTGAATGGTTTTGATTTGAAATTGTCTCACAGCCTCGAACTCTCTGATAGAGAAAGATCTACATGCCACAAGTAGTCAGATTAGCTGGTCATTAGCGGCTTTCATACTCATACAAGGCAACTTTCCTCTGATATGGAGCGCCATGGCTGAAATTACAGGCCGCAAGGTTGGTCGCCTTTCTTGATCTACGTAAGAATGCGAATCTTGATCATCGTAGATTGTCTATCTGCTGTCTTCGGCTTTATTTGTGGTAGGAAGTGTTATCATAGCACTTTCAAAGACCATCGGGGTAATGATCGCTATGCGAGTACTTCAAGCAGCGGGGTGAGCTTTATCTAAGACGCTCGAGCACGGATTGATGTCTTGCAGATCAAGCGCTTTCTTGGCTATTTCGGCCGCGACCCTGGCCGATATTTACGAGACTCACGAACGCGGGACCATGATGGGCGTCTTCTATGCTGCACCCCTTTTAGGACCCGCACTCGGCCCTATAATCGGCGGGTCTTTATCACAAGGCTTCAACTGGCGTGCAAGTTTTTTTTTCCTGCTGATCTGTGGAGCAATCATCTTCCTTTCCTTCCTCATCCTGTTCAAGGACACATATCGACGTGACCGAAGTCTCACTTATTGCTCTGCCCTGCAACGACGTCTTGCCTCCCGAGAACCCGTCCGGCGTTCCAGCGAGTCTACCATCGCAGGATCTGAGTCCAGTAAGAACAAAACACATGACAAGGACCTCGAGAAGCAGTTCCAACTCCCGATTATCCCTGAGGAGACTCCAGCGGTGATTTCTACACCAGAGCTTGACGATATCAGGCTATCAATAAAGGACATCAACCCCTTTCCACCATACTTCCAAATTTTGTCTCGAAAGAACAATGTTCTAATTCTCACTGCTAATGGTGAGTGAGGGCTGGCTTCCCGTATTACATGTCGCTAATGACTTCGCTAGGACTTGTCTTTGGTTTCAACTACTGTCTTTCATACACATGCGAACGCACTCTTGCCAATGCGTATGGTTATGATGCGCTGAGTGTTGGCATGGTATTGCTTTGCCTGGGCGCTGGTGAGATCCTCGCCATCTGGACAGACGGTGGTAGAGACTAATTTCCTATAAAGGGAGCGTCGCTGGGAGTGTAATTGGTGGGCGTTGGTCTGATCGGGTAGTTGGGAAGATGAAGGAAGCGAACAAGGGAAAGTGGTACGCAGAAGTAAACCTTTCTGATACCCTTGCACTGGAACCCTCTTGATTAACTTCTTTACGAAGATGCGATTAGAGAGCTCGAAACTGGCGATGCTGTGGCTACCCCCGTCTGTCATTGGTTATGGTTGGGTGTGCGATAAGCATCTCAATGTCGCTGTTATTTGCGTCATGCTTGTCTTTGTTGGATTCTCATCCATGTGTGTGGAATTGTTATTCACGGTCGTGGTTGCTCTGACATCTTCCAGATGGATGTACGCAAGTACGTTATCATACCTTGTTGATGCCAACCCTGGTCGCTCGTGCGCGGCGGTAGCCACGAATAGCTCGTTCCGAGGAACACTGGCTTTTATTTCAGCCATGACTGCTGTACCGCTTCAAGTAGGTTTCCTGTGTTATCTGCTATATCTCACAGATTTTGACGCTAGCTCGCTCTCGCTGCAGAACGCTTGGGGAGATGGCATATTATTCACGGCGTGGGCTTGCGTCTTGGCTATTGCAGAGTTACTGATTATAATAGTGGTGTACAAGGGAGAATCGTGGCGCAATGAGAATGAGGAGAAAGAGCGTAAAATGCTAAGTAAATGAATATTCGAATTTCTAACACATTCATATTGTTAGACAGGTATGGAGCATGCAGGGCAGGTCTATCTATCTGGTTATATAGCGATAGAATAAAGTATATATGTGCATCTGAAATGAAATGATCTCTCTGCGTGACACGTGATCGTTACAGTTGAACGCGCTGGTAAGTTGCTAGTGAACTAACTGGTCGCGTGACAGCCAAGGCTCTAACGCTGCAAGAACGAGAAAATTGCATACTTGGGGCTTGTTGCGCCTCGAGATATATCTTTTCAACTCCAACTCGACACAAGTTACGAGCATCACACTGTCCGCGATGATTAGAATGCAAACTGTCGTGGCTCGTACACCAAGTGCGCTTCTTACTTCTCTTGATCGGTTTCATTTGCAGTCCAAAGCGACAGCTGGTACGCTCCTGTTTGCCCTTGCTGCGCCTTCGGAAACTCTGTCTGTGATAACCTCACATTTAAAATCACGTTTTCCTCGCCACATTGGATGTCTATCGTCACCACTACCGGCGTACCGTTCGCACATCATGTGTGCTGTTGCTTTGCTAGACGGAATTACATTCCGGTCGACGATTGCTGGTCGCGCCGATCCTCAGGTTGGTCGATGGCATGCCGCAAGGCGCTCAAGTACACGACAACTACCTGCAGCACAGTCGAACTTTTTCGAGGAATTTCACGGAGATTTGGGCCGAATTAACTGGGACGACATATGGGATAAGAGCGCCACGTCTTCTCAGGAGATGATGCCTGTGGAGCTGAGAATGGCGAGGTGGGCCTGAGATTGCCCTGTTTCCATGATATCTTGGCTATATGCATACTCCAGGCCTGAAGATGTGTCTTCGATACTATATTTCTCGGACAAAGCCCCGGAAGGCATTGCGAAGGCACTGAAGGCCACTTTTCCGCATTCACATGAGGCGGGTACATCATATATCTCAGATAGTAAGATATGAATCCTATTTCCCCTTCAGCTAGGCTTTTTGGCGGCATCGACTCCTTTCATCACAGGTCGACCGGTGACGCTTTTCTACGACGGCGAGATATATTCAGATGGAGCAATCGGAATTGCCCTTCAGCCTTCTATGGGTCATACTTCGCTAACGGTCGAGTTTCCTGGTCTGGTCGATCTGACTCCGGATCTGCGAATAACTAGGTAGCATCCCTCCCTCCCTCACCCGTCGTATGCTGAGTGGTCTGAGCTCTGAGGGAAATCTCATATTCACGATTGATAATGGAAACCCTACACGTCTCCTCCTTGCTGCAATGAACAAGCATGGTTTTGACAGTCGTGACGTCCTGCTCAAGGACGATGAATTTTATGTTGGCGTTATGAGTAATGGCAAGGTACGAAGTCCCCGCTCATAGTTGATCAAATGCACATACTTATGAACGAAGGTAGAACGATTACACCGTATAATATCGGGTGACCCTTCACGCGGCACCATTGCCCTCGGGACAACTAGTGCACCACCGCAGGGTTCCATCATGAGAGTGGGTCTTTTATCATCTGAATGAATGTACCTAACATTCTGACAGATGTTATATTTGCCACGGAGAGATGAAGCGGCCTTAAACTTGGAGCCAACGCATAGAAACGCGTCCATTTCGCTCATTGCAACACCTGACTCCATTGGTGGCGAGCCTCCATCCTCAGTCCTCGAAAATGACGTCCTGGTGGTTGACGGGAATTTTATTGCTGGGTCTGAGAATGGGTTTGTGTTGAGAAGGGACGCCAAGGAGGAAAGCTGGCCCTGCACGCTGCCTGGTGGGCGGGCCCGCCTGTGTTGGGTATGAAACAAGCTGCAGCCGATGTCGAGTCTTTCTTCTGGCACATTAAACCAACCAAGTTGCGAAAGTTCTATTCAGCCGCACGCCACTGGTTTGATCCATCTATTTCAGGTCTCCATATTAACTCTCATGTCGTTTCTATTTGTCCCGTCATTGTCTGCGGTACTTCACCTTTCATGATAGTTGCAAACTAGCATTAGACTTGATGTATTGGATGGGGCTGATTGGGCGACCCGTGAGAAACGGACATTGCCGGGTTTCAGATGGACATGCGAACAAGAGGGAAAACGGCAAATTCCGGATTTCACTGACTCAATGTGGTTTTTATTTGTCATTGTATTGAATCCACATTTGGGATGCCTTGCAAAGCAAGGTGATACCTGAGTTCCCGTTTTGGCCGGATATACCGTGTTGTTGTTCGTGCTTTCCTCAGCCCGACAAACTCTTTCCAACGCACAGACCACCACCGTCAATGTCACACAGCGTCAACGACATCGTCGCCACCACTAACGATGATCCCCCGCCGTTCAGTGGGCAAGAGAACGATCCCGAGGGGAATGCTGATGACTTCGAGGTATTTCCTGAAGATAAGGAGAACGCGGTGGAGTCGATCCAACAAGGGGATGCTGCAGGCGAGATTGAAATAACGCGGTCTTCTGTTTCCTCTAGCGTCTCTTCAAGTCAAGATGCTGAGCCTGATGCTGGCGAGACACATGATACGGCTCTTGGTCTTCCTCCAGCCTGTCGCCCTTCAGATTCTGATAGTGGCGAATCGGAAAAGGGTTTGAAGCGCAAGCTAGCTGACCGTGGCACAAGTCAGGGGCCGGAGAACCTGGTGCCTTTACCCTCTGCCGAGCCTGCCAAGCGTCCTAGAGATGATACCGACAAAGATGATAACCCTCGCGAATCCAAGAGACCGTCGCCTCCTCCCGAACAGAAACCCGTGGCAGCAGAGACATCCGCACCTAAATTCGTCTGTCACTTTTTATTATTCGCAGGCTTTTACTAAAATTTCTTATCAGGGAGGGTTTATGGCCTACGCTGCCGCAGCATCTCCGTTTGCTGCTGTCAAAGGTCAAAATATCTTTTCAGGAGCTAGTTCCAGCACGTCCAAAAAACCATCTGTTTCGCCATCACCATCACCTTCCCCCCTGCCAACGAACAATGCCCCTACGCCTTCTCCGTTTGCGAGCTTCGCCCAGTGGTCTGGACAGCAGACGCCAGCTAGTACAGCCATCAAGCGTACGGGTTTCGAGGCATTCATGGGTCCCACTTCTACTTTCGCAACAGCAGGTGTTTCTCCCTTCCCTTCTAGACCCAAGTCACCATTACGTGCTAAGAGCGCACTCGGAAGGAGCAGGTCACCCCCGAGACGTATTCCTCTCAGCATGAGCAGTGCATTTTCGTCATATGCCAGTGGTGGCATGCAAGCTTTATTTGCTGCGCCTCATCCTAAACGCGCGAGGGCAGATTCACCCAACGGAGGATCGTCACGCAGTTCACTTGAACGGACAAGCAGCACTAGAGTGAATGTACTGGATTCAACGTGGAATGGAAGTGCTGATGAGAGCGGAAGCGGAGAGGAAGATGATGATGAGGAGCAGGATAGTGAGAGACCACCTTCAACATTTGGTGAGAGACTGCGTGCAGGTAGGGATGACGAAGAGGACGAACCTGAGGAGGAGAAAGAGAAAGAGAAGCTTCAAGAACAGGACGGTGCGATGTTTCAATTCCTTGGTGTGCAGATGCCTAAATTTGTGGCAGTTGTAACTGGCGAAGAGGATGAAGAGACGATACACCACGTGCGCGCCAAGCTCTATGCCCTATGCCCCCAGAACCAGTGGAAGGAGCGTGGCACTGGCCTCCTCAAACTCAATGTCCGACGGTCAGACGGTGGAGGTGCTCGTCTTTGTGCGCAAGTTACGTCATCTTCGGAGCTCGTCTCACTAACATTGGGTATCAGTGATGCGCAAGGAAGCGGTCTACACAGTTATACTGAATGTTACACTGTTCTCCGGAATGAAATGCTTTATCGCACAGGATCCGCGATATATTCGGTTGAGCGTAATCGAAGATGGGGTCACGACACATTACAACCTCAGAGTCAGTTGTTTTCATTTGCGTTGTTTTCACAACATCTATAGTGACCCTCTCGCAGGTTTCAAACGCGAAGATTGCACAAGATTTGCTAGAGGAGATCAAGTCGAATATTCCAGCTTGACATCCAGAGTACCCTTATGTTACTTTACTGCTCATCATGATCATGCCTTGCTACATTTAACATTAATGTTGTCTTTATGTACAACCACAGGACGCTCGCTGCTCCCTATATCGCATGTCCACCGGTGGCAAGGAGCCTCAAAATCACTCATCCCATGGTCCTAAATGTTGCGCCTCGGAGTTCACGGGACGAACATCGTGTCTGACGGTAGCGCCTTTGGAGAACTAATCTTGGACGTGATGCATACCTTCCATTGTACGTTGACCGACGTTTGTTCAGCCTTAAATAGGCATTCAGTGTTCAATGAAGTGATCTATCATTTAGACCACATCAATGACATGCAGTAAGGAACGACTCGAAGGTAGAGTACGAATTGCGAGCTTGTGTTACAAGTTGCACCAGCCCCGCAAATCTTTTCCATCTCTATGAGTCTCAGCGAAACTCGCTCAATGACCTGGTAAAACATGTTAGATGATCATTGTGGGCTGAATTGATAAATCTCGCGCTCACGGTTCAAGGTCCAGTGCAAAAACTGAATTGAACTTTACCAGCATGAAATTGTCCTGCGACACCCGTAACGGCGCTTCTTGTGTACCATGATAGCGGCTACTGGTAGTCACGTGTCGAACCCGGAAGTCACACTTATTACGACTTAGCTGGTGCAAATCCCAGACAACCGTGAGTGTCGTCTTCTTCCAGACTGCCAGTACCGTTAGCTGTGCGACTGCTAAGCGCTCAGTGTTTCGTAGGTATTGATTGTTCTCAATCTTACAGGTGTTTCCGCATCTGGAATTCCAGCGCACAATGTTGGCGACATGACGCTAGAGCCTGGATTATATTTTATCATAGAACGCTCTACCTCGGACAAGCGATCTGTCTTCACCACGAGAACAGCAACGATTAAGGTGCCGAATACTTTTCTTCAGCCATCAGAACAGGATGACGGATTTTATTCAGGAATCTTGCTTCTTCGCGAATTTCCGTTCTTGTTCAAAGACGCGCGATGCTTGCCAGCATCAAAGAACGTTTTACGATCTGGGGACATCTGCGTTTGGTGTCACTGAGGGTGGGGTATCCATCAAACGCCTATAGACGGCTGGGATGGAAATGCACTCGGTCCACGAGCTCGAGATTGCCTTGCAGTTCAAAACTTTACCGTAATCACTTTTTGTTTGATGTGAATTTTACGATGACGTCACAAGTAACGTCAAGGTACGAAGCACCCGAACAAACAGTGCACACCGTCACATCAATGCATCACGAGCGAGGGTAAGTAAACCGACTTCCATCGTATCGCCTTCGGATGACCCGTGAAGATAGCACTGGGAGCAATAAGTGCGCCACCACAGGACTCCATCGTGAGAGCAGGCTCCTGTCATCCGGACGCACCTAACATCCCGACCGTAAAGGATATCCTTGGACTTGGATCCAACGCACGGAAACGCGACCGTTCGGATGCGCACTGTCCTGCTCATTGATGGATATTTCGTTACTGGGCCTGATGATGGATTTACATTGAGAAGGACTGCCGAGGAGGAAAGTTGGCCCTGTACCACGCTGCCTGGCAGTGGGCAGGCTCTCCTGCTATTGGCGGCGCAGCCATCAAATATCGAGATGTCGGTTCAACTTTTTAGTTTTTGGTGACCGTGTGATTTACGGATCGTTCTATAGAGGGATTCTAGCCACGAGCCACTTGCAATTGTGCTGCCTCGAGGCATCTTGTCTCGTCATGGATTTCTTGTTTCAGGTGAACCATCACTGCTTACATCAACAAGCCGTGCAACAATATTAATGTATAATGCCTTGTTCCTCTAGCAACGTACAGCAGGTGCTCCAGTGCAAAACCATCAAGCAAGGGACGGGAAATTCCACATTCCTGTACGTATGTGCGGACGTTCCAAAAGGAGGTTAATCAGTGATCACACTACTAGACATCCCTGCCAGACGAGCACGCCATACAGTCACGGAAAAACGACATAAAAGAAAATCTCTTTAGCCATTACCGCCATTGGTTGTCCACTTCAGTACAATCTTCAGCGCAAGCAGAACACTGCAGGCACGAGTTTGTGGGGCACGCATGAATCTTAAACGTGTCCGTCACATCTTGTCCTTTTTCGATTCGAATTATTGTTCATTGGGGTGTACTACCCTATGTCCGGCATTATTATGTAGTCTTCTTGTCCCTTTTGAAGTGCTAAATCGCCTCTAGGGACGGCAGTATAGGGCGTGTTTCAGACCACACGATTCCGTTCAACACAGCGGTACAGACACCTATTTGCAAGAATCCGTCCGATCAGTGAAATACATTTTCAGTTGGGTGTTGTTAGAACCAGCCAAGTTGAACGTTCTGCTTTCATGTACTTATAATAATTTGCTGAAATGGATTTCAGTTACAACGGACCAAATGCCTCTAAATACTGAATTTCTTCGCTCAGAGCATTTTGAGCAAGGGTATCCTGCAAACTGATAGCATCATTTCAGTGGATGCTGTGTCGGGTGGACATTGCATCACCGAATTTTCCACACCATGCTGTCATATGGCCTGTTTACCAGCAGTCGGGCTAATATGTCTAGACGAATCACAAATAGAAGCCATCAGATGATATCACGAAGCAACTGTGTACCCAAGTTGGGCGTTAACATTGAGCTTCGGTCCTGTGGTAAATATTGATATCAACCAGGCCCGTCAGTAGTATTGTAACCGGTGTACAGCTTACTCTGTCCCTTGTAAAATTACCAAAAAGGCTCAATGCACAATGGTGGCCTATGGTGGCCCAGTCCATCCTAAACCACTTAACCCCATTTAGCGATCGTCGATGGATCGCTGAAAGTAAAAGTTCAAGCTGAGCAATTTGCTTCGAGGAAGCCAGCCCTGAGCGCTGAGTTAAAGTTGAGATGTTTCAGCTGGTCTAGTCCACATGTACATCAAGTCATTGATCGTTACTCGTAAGATCAACGCATCTTTCTAACTCATCTGATTCGGTTCCTGGCACTGCAAAGACCGGTACCGAAGACCCTTTCCCCACTGTGACTGCCTCCTCAGTGTGAGCCATGTAAATTATTCAAATGGTCCTACAAAATCCCTCCCAAGGACTCTGCCGTCAGTGAAGAAATTTTTTCGATGGCCCTGTGAGAATCTCGGTGGTGGCCCAAATGTAACCCTGTAATGTACACCACTTCCTTACCATGATGATCATTAATGACTCTTTGTTTGTAAGGACAGGATCCTGGCCTAACTGAGCCCAACTACTAAGTAACATACATACAAATCAGGCGGCCATGTTAGTAACAGCCTGGCTGATTGCTACCAAAATGGAAAGGCAGTGAAATAGTTGAAATGGTAACTCACTCCCTCTGATTTGATCAGTACATGCTAATCTCAGGACAAGAATGCATAGCTGAAGGAGATTCGCAATGGTGTCACAATTAACGAGGCCTCACCCACTTCCCAGGGCGTGCAACCCTTTAAGGTCAAGTCTCAGTACGGTATCGTCTCTTCTCAACACTCCATGCGGTCCTACCGTCACACTGCATCTAAATCTAACATTCGCCGGTAAACGAGGGGGAATTAGGATACACAAGCATAACAAGGCACCGTCATCTTGCACTATGTGAAACCCAGTAAAATGATGACCTACTTGTTTATTCACCATAGCACGTCAATCCTCTCCGAGATCCACGCCCGATTTTAAGTTTGGCGGTGGCAGGCACATGTCGTACTGCTGTTCATGCTACCCTTTTATCCGGAGGCGTGGTTGGCGCGTGTCTGTACCATAATCAGTTCGGAGCTGTGGCAACGTGGAAAAGCCAATCACTTCTTAGTTTTCCTTTAACGTTATCCCGACTTTCTCACTAGGTATGCCATGACAATCTTCACACTGATAGGGCGCAGCGCCGCCGTGGCTTACGCATCGAACAGTTGGCAAGCTGAGATTTGATTTTGTTTTCGGATCATAAACGGTTCAGGGTAAATATATTTTATGTTTCTGACCGCCTGTTGAAACTTCCAGTATATCTTATATACTCAAAGTATAAAGAACCGCGCATTCGAAAACGACATAATTAACTACCCACATTCTTATTAATGGAACCTCATACTCCGTTGACAGCGGCCTTGCTGATGACTGGGCGCAGACGAGCACTACCTATTGACTCCTACGGGGAACCATTCACCGAGCTCACGGACTCCAATATTCCAAGCCAAGGCTCCTTGAATGGCCTCGACATGAATCATTCCACATTTTCAACAAGGTATGGCTCGTTGTTTCGGTCTTTCTACAGGACAAATAATAACTTCCACTCCAACCGTGTAGCCTCAGCTATGATAACAACTATCGCCCCCTAGATTTGTTGGAGCCAAGTCAAACTCATGGCACAACTCAGTAAGCTATATTTTTTTTCACCGGAAAAATCGGCTAAGAACATGAACAGTCTGTCTAAGATCCATTCTCATCATGACTGCGGGATTACGGATGCTTCATCACTGGATGAAACGGCTCTCTTTGTTGCAAACTATCTCCACCAGATGCGCCTGACATTTGGGACGGGCATGACCGTTGACCAAGCAATTCGAATATGTAGTGGGCAGTGGGACACCCCAGGTCACCCATCATCATTTATCCTATACGTATATCGCTCACACTATATCTCATCGCAGACCCCGATCCTATGCACGGTCAGATGGGAATAGATGAATTTGGTTCGAATATCAGTTCACCTTCGACGAGTCACACAGGTTCCCAATCTAGCAGATCAGCGACTCGCCAGTCTAGTCCCAGCGAGAGGGCGTCTTTCAGATCCAGTGCTGTTATGCAGACTGACCACGAGATATTCCGAGACAATGACAGGATAAAGGTCAGATGTCTCGAAGGCCCTTGCAACGGCAATGTATTGATGAAGGACAATTATGCCCGCCACGTGCGTGAACATCATTTTGGTTGTAAGAGGAAGGTGGGAGGGAGCTCTAGACGAGGTGTTCGTCTCGGAACGAAATGACTCGGATGGACATACCGCACGACCATGGTTGCGGCAGCAATGGAAGATTGGCTGATGTGGAACTACGGTACGGACCATGCTAGCCTGATCAAGGGCATGTTACATTTGTTTTATTAAACAAGGCGTATTTCCTGTGGATGTGATAGCCCACCAATTTATTTTTTGCTGTGCCCAATGCACACAGCTTCGCAGATGGCTGGGCATGATTTCTCAGTGTCCAGAAAAGGGTACTGTGGCGGAAATAACCGAATCGGACACGACTTGGGGATGCGTTGAACTTACTCATCACTGCCGTCTACCACCACTTCGTCGCCGTCTTCGCCGTCGCCGAGACACTGCAGACAACGAGCTCTGTATCAAACAATCTTCTACTGTACCTTAGTCTTATCCTTTGTTTTGTGCTTGTTCGCCTAAAAGTAAACAACGCTGCCATCCAACTTGGCTTTCTCGCTTTTCTTCTGAAGCTAGCTATATTCCGCCACAATTTCCTACTCTCATTCCTTTAAATTCTCTCTGAAGTCGAACCAGTACAATGGGCCAAACACCCTCCAGGATCCAGATCCGTCGCAATGGCATTGTACAAGCGAGATCTAACCCGCCATCCTTCGAATCGCAGTCATTGTCCGAACCCTCAACTTCCATTCCCACTCCTTCATCGTCATCTTTGTCAGAGCCTCAAATTGCGGGCACCGCAGAAACGAAACGTACTCGTCGTGCATCCCTGTCGCACCGCATTCTTTCATCGCTTGCTCCCAGGACTTCAACTCCACGCACCCAAACAGACAGTTCGGCTACTCAGGCCTCGCAGCGCAAAAAATGGCGGCTTTCGCGACGTGTCTCTCCATCTCCGGCAGCCAATGTTATCGCTGTTCGTGAGGTTGCAGAACCTCAAGACGAACAGAACGGATCGCAAGGCCCTCCTGCGGATGTAGAGAGCGGTAAGGGCAAGGCAAGAGAAGATGAAGCTGTGGACGACTTCCCGTCAGCCCCAGAAGCGTCAACATCCCCCAGTCCACCATTAGAAGATATGATATCGACCACTTCGGATGGAGGATTGGTTGAACCGGCATCTGATATTTTGGTTCAACCCATTCCCTCAATTTCTCGTCATTGCTCGGAGGAAGATGAAGATGAAGTGGTCATCGCTCCAACTACCGAGTTGATTGACCCATCTTCTCAAGTACACATCCCAACCGTAAATCAGAGCGAAGACCCGCCGTTCATACCTCCGATTGCACCCGCTGGACCCCAGCCTCACGTAGGCATAACTGCACAGCCCTTAGGTCGCCAATTTCCACCTGCGGGAACACTTGTTGTTGTGCAAGGTGTTGTGCACACCACTGACGTGTCCCGCGCTTCGGAGGCAAATACCGCCAACAACAATAATTCAAACAATTCAAATTCCATGAATGATGGCAATCTGGCGCCACCAGGAATTGGCAGGTCATCCTCTGTTTCACGCCAAAGATCGTCGTCTACCCCCGGAGATCGCTTGCGCAATCGCTTGTCTGGAATCCTACCGCGCCCCTCCAGCATGCTGCCGTCTGTACCGCTCATGTCAGAAGACGGTACGGCTGTTGACCGCACTGCTGCTGACTATCCACAACAATTACCCGTTGACACGCAGTCAAGTACGGCTTCTCTTCCCGCGGGGACGGGCTCTAACACAGGGGCTGGTCCACCAACCTCTGAAACATCTAGTGCCAACTCCGGCTCACTTTCGCCGAGTAGCATTGATGTATTGGGAACGTTACTCAGGTGTGCATTCAATTTACTCCATGGCAATGCTCCACCCCATCGTACCATTGGACTGATTCATGCGTATTACAATACTGACTTGTTCTCCATCGCAGTGTTGCAGCAGCAGCAACAGCTGCTTCCCTCCTCACAGGCACTTCCGAGCCTATTTTCTCTTCTGGACTGGCGCCCTTATCTCAATCACCAAATCAGCCCCCTCAAAGTATGTCCGATAGACCTCTATCGCCAACACCCACAGGTGATGCTGGGCGAATGCGTCATGTCTGGAGCAGTTTACGTGATCGCCTTGGCCTTCGCACACCTGGAATGGGAACGCCCGGCGCTGATGAGGGCACAGGTAGACCCAGTCCCCGTGATGCACGGGAGCTCCTGCTTACGGAGATGGCTCGGGCTTTCAATCTGGGCCTTGGTCTAGGAAGACCACCTGTTGTTCCTGGTGTAGCCAACGCCAGCGGGCCCGCAGCGCCCGTAGTTGAAGCAACTTCCGCCAATGGAGGTGGGACCAGCGACGTTCCCATTATGCCACCGCCTGGCAGCTTTGAGCGTTTCCTCATCGATCTCCAATCAGATCTAAGGGTCGCGCTTGCGCAAGATAGTGTCCCTATTGACACTGACGGCGAGGGCAATGATGAAGGTGTGGGTGATGAAAATGACCATGAAGGCGAACACCATGAGACTGAAGACGTGCCGGATGGCACGAGCGACAACGAGTCTTACGACACCGCCGCATCCGACATCGATGATAACATGCCTGAACTTCAAAGCGTTTCTGATGAGGCGTCTACTATCTCGGACGCCCACACTGCCCGCGAGAGCCCAGGCACAGCCGATGACAATCTAGGACGTAGCGGTGATCCAGATTTGGAAATTGACAACGCCCTAGTTCATGATGCCACAGCAACCTTGCCTCGCATTGCCCACGCTGACACCCTTTCTGGAGAGGCGGGTACAGGCATAGGGTCTCAAGATGCTTCATCTGGTTTGTCAGGGTCTCCAGCAGAACCTTCCTTATCATCTCCATCATCTGGTCCCCCAGGTGTGACTTCTTTCACTGATTCCTCAACTGCTGCACAAGAGCCTGTTCAGACAGACATGCCATTTCGCATACCGCGTATTTCCCCTGGTTCTACGTCGCGCACTGAGCACACACCTATCAACTGGTGGCGATTGTACCGTTTTCCTGCTATCAGCGCGCCAGCGAGTCGCAGTACACAGGCGCACACGATTGTACAGCAAGGATCTGCCCCACAACAACAATCACACGCAGACGGTGAAGGGGTACAAAATGCAGGTGCTGCACCAGCGGTTTCGTCTTCTCTTCCTTCTACTCCCTCAGAGATGTCGGACACTACACACGCAACGCCAGACGCCGACTCGACCGCCGGAGTACCGCCGAGTAACGGAAATGAACAACGCAATGTCGTTATTCCTGTCATCGTTGTGGGGTTGCAATCAGTGCACGCGGAACGTCAATCGCCTATGCCGCCACATCCTCCTCACCACCTCCATCCTCACCTTCATCATCAGCCACCCGATTTCGCAGACGAGCGCACCACTGAAGGAGATATGATGGACTTAGACTTTGGCAGTGAATCTGGGATGCCTCTACCAACCTCAGCCCCTATTGCTCCATCAGAACTCTCGCCCGAGGATCGACAATCTCGCGGCCGCTCTTGGCAGTCCCGTGCAGCAGATGCTATCAGGAATTTACGTCCTGGTCGCAGGGCCGCTGTGGCAAGACAGGCAGCGTTAGAGCCCCCTGGCTCTAGAACGTTCCTCATTTACGTCATTGGTGGTGAGTTCACCCTTTTTGCCCTATTTTCAGATAATGGATATTGATATTTATTTCAAGGCTATTATCCACCCGATCACCAAATCATCACAGGCGGGAACTTGGATTCGTTCGAAGCATTGTGGTACGTACGCGGTACGAGTGTGATATAGTGTCATGCTCACTTTCATGCAGGGAGCTAGCCGAGTTACTCGGCCAAGTGAAACCACCTACTGTCTCTAAAGAAGATATTGACAAGTCCGGGCTTGAAGTCATTAAGGCAAATTCACTTGAGGAGTATGCAAATGAAGGACGTGTCGCTACCAACTGCGTCGACCGGGTATGCAACCCTGCTTTTCTCATGTTTTTCGAGCTTATTTTGCATATAGTGTCTCATATGTCTCGATGACTATGTGCCAGACGACGACCTACGTATCTTAAGCTGTAAACATGCATTCCACCAAGGTTGTGTAGATAAGTGGTTGCAGACTGGAAGGAACAACTGCCCTGCCTGTCGTTCAAAGGTACGTTTACTTGGCGGCAAGCGATCAGTTTTTGACATCTATTTCAGGGCGTCGACGAGACTAGCCCCTCCACTGAACCATCCGCTTCGAGTTCAACCATAACACCCCAGCCAGCAGCTGCGTGATGACATGCATCCTTAATTAAGCAGTATTTTCCCTTGCATCATCTTCCCCTCATCTCGATTGTAACAAACCTTCACATCTGATCCGTCTTGCGATTCGTGTAGCAATTTCATCACTTCATCGCTGTTGTTCTTTCTTCAGCTTATTATAATGCTGCTGAGTATCATCGTCCATACGATTTCACCCGTTGTCATTTGTACTGTACGACACATAGAAAATATCTTTTATCACTGAGAAGATCGTATTATCCTGTGTGTTATCATCAGTACTTGGCATACAGCTCATGGTGCAGGTGAGTGCGGGGAACATTCAAGCTGCTGCTACGCACGCTTTCCAGTGATGCCGGCGTCTTTGAGCTTGGCGAGAAGCTCGTCCACATTTGCCACCTGGATATAATTGTCAGCACTGGGATATGCTATGGAAAAAGGAGTCACCTTGCCACCACCAACGCGCTTTGAGGGTTCTGTGACTTTGATGGTCTCTAGTCTAGGCGTGAGGTCAATTCCAAGTTCCACAGCTGTCAACTTCTCCACAGGTTTCTTCTTGGCTTTCATGATGTTCGGCAACGAGGCATACCGCGGTTCTGGAATAGGCGGAAATTAACTGAGAGTGATGAAATATTGGGCATGAAACGCACCATTAAGCCTAGTTTTGAGAGTATTCGTCAGCCACTGAGACCTTCGTGAATACACGCAAATGGACTTGCCGAAGATCCGTTGTTATTATAACAGGAAGCTTGCACCTGAGCTCCTCAAGGCCCCCATCTATCTCACGAGTGACGTTCGCAACCTTCTGCTCTGGGTCCACCACGACCTTGCTTGCAAATGTTGCCTGTGACCAGCCCATGAGGCCAGCGAGCATTTGTCCAGTTTGTCCAGCATCATCGTCAATAGCTTGCTTCCCCAGGATCACTATGTCCACACCCTCCTTCTGTCGTTCGATGAGAGCCTTCAAAGTCTTCGCGACACCGAGAGGTTCTGGGGCCGGAGCAGATTCCGGGATTTCAACGTGGACAGCAGAGTCGGCACCCATGGCGAGTGCGGTACGGAGTGTCTCTGCGGACTTGGGTGGACCGATTGTGACGACCTTGATAGATTTTACTGCATCCTTCAGGCGTTCTCGTATCCGAACGGCTTCCTCCACAGCTATAACACATGGTCAGATGACCGTGCCCACCGAATGCTGACGGCAAACGTACCAATCTCATCAAATGGATTCTGCAATTGCTAATGTCAGCCGGACTGGTTTATGAATTGTAGACTTGACATACCATGGAATGTTTAACATTGAGATCGATGCCTGTCTGCTCAGGATTCACGCGAATCTTCACGGCATAGTCTACCGCCCTTCCAAACGCATTGTGAGAGCTGGAAGGACATTTTTTGTTTCACTTGATGCGTACCTCTTTATAGGGACCAATATGTTGAGCAACCGCGCGGCAGAAGGCCTCATCTTCTACTTGAACTCGAAGCTTGCTGAAAAGTAAAGTTGCTCGTGTTATCGGGACTCGGATTCGGAAATGAAGACAACTGATATATTTACGTAATCACTGCTGTTCTTGGCCTTCAAGTTACTTTAACGACTGCAGAGTGCTTTTCGTATCTGCGTGGTTGGTTGCCATCTGCAATCAATTCCTCGTTCACACAGGTAATTGCAGGTGTGCTGGCCAATATGCTCATCCACTTTTTGACGCAGGACTTATACCCAAAGTCGTGACTGACTCAGTCGGACTTCCTCACCGAAGTCGGATCAAGTTTCCTCGAGCTCAATCTCTTGGGAGCTCTTGGGACATATTACGAAGGTCAGGGTATGTCACATCATGTCGTGAGACTCATACTTAGTAAGTTGATAACAGAATGTACATGTAATAAGGCTTGTGTGGACGGATAACAGGGTCAACTTGGATGGTTGACTAGGGCCAGCTCTTCCTATTATTAGCTCGACTTCACCTCCCACTAACCGGGCCCCGACATTCGGTAGCAAGCAGACACTCTGGATGATTACGATTCCAAACGGTAACCTTGATAACTTGTTCGGCCCCGGGGGCCTTCCTCAGGGTGGCTATCTGATAGTCAGAATGAAGACAAAGTTCTACAGTAGCCATGCTACTCGATCGGCCACTTTGTCCGACACCCTATAGTTGTTCCATTCAGTAGGATATTTTGATCATCGGCATTGGAAAACCATGTGCGCTTTTTGTCACCCGCTTCATCGCTGAACCATTTATAAAACCATACCCTGTCATACGACCTTGAGTTTCAGCTCCCGCATCTGACAGCCTTTACGCCCATGGCAGAAACCCAAAGTACAACTTTGTCGCCTACTGACGTCCAGAGTGTGGAAATCCAGGATACAGACACCCAGACGCACATCTCCAGTTCAAATGTCTCAAATGACCCTATTAAGCTTGACATAGAACATGCAGTAGTTGAAGATGACCCTCGAATGTGGCCAAACGCCAAGAAGGTACATCCTTCCATTTCAATTGTGTAACTAGAGTTTGATCAAACATATACAGAACGCTATATTGATCATCATATCTGGAGCATCGATGATTGCGGGTTTGTGCGCGAATATACAAAATCGTAAATTGTTTCCTTGATGCTATCGTGACCAATGTCGGTTGAACAGCCAGTGGACAGCCGCCAATGCTCAAATTGAGCAGCAACTACGTACCAGCAGCGGGGACATCAGCCTGAGTTTGTCTCTTTTCATTCTCATTCAAGGCAATTTTCCTGTTATTTGGAGCGCAATTAGCGAGATAAAAGGCCGCAAGGTTCGGGTTTCTGTGTCTTGAGGGTGTCATTTATTAACATTGCCGAGCTCAGCTGGTGTACCTTTTCTCCGTAGCATTGTTTACACTCGGATCTGCAATCGTAGCCGTATCCAAAACCATTGGTTTGGTGATCGGCATGCGTATTCTGCAAGGCGCAGGGTAGGGCAGTTCCTCAATCCCTCAATCCCTTGCTCACATGGAGTAGTTCAAGCGCGGTTATCGCTATCGGAGCTGCCACTCTGGCCGACATATACGAACCACATCAACGAGGAACAATGATGGGTGTCTTCTATTCTGCACCTCTCCTCGGTCCCTCATTGGGGCCAATCATTGGTGGCGCACTCACACAGGGCCTCGGGTGGCGGGCGGTTTTCTGGTTCCTAGTCATCTGGGGAGGTATAATTTTCTCGGCATTCCTTTTCTTGTTCAAGGACACCTTCCGGAAGGAGAGGAGTGTGACATACCAGAATGTATTGAAGAGGAGGCTCCGAGAGCAACAGTTGTCAGAAGCGATGGACGAGTCGCGAAAGATTTCAGAGAAGGAATCACAAGTGAATGGAGAAAACCAGACGAGTTCGAAGGACATTGAAGCACACCCTACAGTCATACCAGCATCAGCCATCAGAGAAGTAAAGCTCTCCATTTCTGATGTCAACCCTTTCCCTCCGTACCTATCGATTATCAGCCGCAAGAACAACTTTGCTATCTTGATAGCATCAGGTGAATGCCTCCGTTACTGAGAGTTGTTTAAAACTAAATTTATGTCCTCTTGCGTTAGGTTTAATTTTTGCATTCAGCTTTAGCATTGCATATACATGCGCAAGAACATTGTCGATGTATTATAATTACGATGCTCTGAAGACCGGCCTTGTTTTGCTTGCCTATGGTGTTGGTAAGTAAATCGCAAGCAAACTGCGAGCACCTGCCTGACGCATCCATCCTAGGCTGTGTAGCCGGCAGCATATTGGGTGGACGTTGGTCCGATCGGACACTTGCTCGGTTAAAGGCCGCGAATGGAGGAATTAGCTTTCCAGAGGTGACCCACTATCTTCAGTTCAGCCTCCATCTCCCCGTTTGACGCGAATTTGTGCAGATGCGCCTCGAGAGTACGAAAGTCGCCATGGTGTGGCTACCTCTTTCCGTGATCGGATACGCCTGGGTGTGCCAAGAACGGGTCAACGTCGCCGCTGTGTGTGTGATGCTGTTTCTCGCTGGATTTTTATCCATGTACGTTTACTTTGTTTTACACTGTCTTTTGCACTCATCTGCGATAGATGGATCTACACGAGCACATTGGCATATATTGTCGATGCAAACACTGGTCGCTCATCAACGGCAGTAGCGACCAACAGTTCTTTCCGTGGTCTGTTTGCTTTTGTCGCTGCCGAGATTGCTGTTCCTCTACAAGTGAGTCGATGTCATCATAGCTCACAGAATATTGGATCTGAGGTTGGTTAGGATAGCATTGGCGACGGTGGTTTGTATACTCTCTGGGCTGGACTGATGGTCGTGACTGAATGCATTATTTTACTGGTGCTGTACAAAGGTAGGAAGTGGAGAGAAGCCAGTGCTGAGCGGGAGAAGCAGAATGCCAAGTAAACGATCATCATGGCTTCCGATCGATCATAGATGAAGGATAGATAATACTAGATTGCCAGAAGCATGTACAGTATCAGTACAGAATCGCGAGGCTTATTCGCCGTCGATCGATGAAGTGTGAGATCACACTAAGACTGACTACGCGGAGTTGCTGAAAATGGAGACTTCACAGCTTGGGATCCGGTCCAGTTGCATCATATGTGCTATCATTTCTATGTCCAGGACTGTCTCCACACGGATCGAACATGCTTCAAGTTGTCCTCGGGCTCGCACTAACGTCAAACACTTCCAGCCGCAGGGCTATTCCAAAGCTCACGAAATTGATAGATGATTGCTCATAATCGATCGACGTTTTAACTTCTAATATTAACGTCGCTAAACTAATTTGGGTCATGATATCATGAATTCTAGTACTATGTGCGCACATGGACCATGGTATAGGGTTAGTCCCCCACCATAGAGGAGAGTCACGAAGAACGGGATGAGACAACAAAAGATACAATGAAACCCGGAAACCAGTAAATCCATTACAGAGGTAATGAAGACTGTCATCGATGAGGAACGACATCCCAAGGCGAGTGTTACAAATGAAAGAGAATTTGAAGGCGGGGATGGAGAATACTGTGGATTTGCAGGCGGAGGATAAGAGCCCCAGACTTCAAGCTTCAAGGATCAGTAGTCCAGCAGCCGAGGATGGTGGATGGATTGTTCGTCCTGGGTAGAAGGAATGTAATATTACAAATATGAAACGTTAAAGCCATATATATAAGTACAGCAGGAATATTATCGCCTGCTGTACTTATATGGCTTTAACGTTTCGCCCCAGATGCGATATAAAGTACATAGATTGATTCCATATTCGTGACACTGCTATGACAAGTGCCGGAGATGCAGATATCAGAGTCGTGATGAGATGCGATGCGGTAGCTATTCCAATCAAATAATATCAAAATTGGGCATTTGTTTGTTAAACGTCGCCCGCTAGGTATTGCTTAAGCACAGGACGTTGCAAGTTGAGACTTCTTCAATGCAGGATGAATTCCCCAAGCCGGTCGAGTTTCCGCCTTTTTCTCGCGAAAGCGTCCGGTGCTAAAGTTTGATTGTCAATGTGGGTCTCCCTGAATATCGCAACAGGTTCACATACGTGGCATCAAGTCAAAATCATATGTCGCATCTGGTTGTTGTGCTGCTGAGACATCAGCAAGCGCTTCAGGCTTGCTGGAGGTTGTCCAAGCAGCTGGAATCTTAGGAGGGGGTGGTAATTCTTGGAGGCCTAGTTGGGCACGGGGATCGACTTCCCCGCCACATATCACCATACGAGTATACACGGCTCTTGAGTGCTCTGCATTCTCGTATGGTGATATGTGGCGTGATACAACAAAAGAGCGACTAATACTTACCGTCATGAGGAAATGCACCCTTGCGGCGTTTGATAAATAGCAGCACTTTGAAGTACGCCGACTTGAACGGCAGGAGAACCTCTGAACAAGCAACGAACAGGTATGGTTCCGCGCCTAAACATTTAAGAGTGCCGAGCGCCACCTTGATCACCGAGAGTATTAGTATTGAATGAGCTTGCGATGATTGAAAATATGTGTATCTACCTCAGTGAGTCCGATGATCTGCACGGAAACATCGTCAGTTGACTATAAAAGAACATCGATCATTAACAGTAAAGACAAGTACCTTTCGTCCGTAGAGTTCGAAGGGGAATGAATGAAAAGACGTTTGTTCTTCGTTGTGAGATTTGAACACGTGAAGTAAGTTTTGCTGGATGTTCTGGAGGGATTTTCTAAGAGGGACTTGAGAGCAGAGTGGGGAAAACCGGTCTATTGCTGCTAATTCTAGTGTAAGAAACAAGCTTAAGGCTATATACGTCTAAGGGTGGCTCAAAGGCTTGATGAGAGGGTGCGCATGAGGAAAACACGACAAAGGAAAAGAGAAGTGCCTCGAGGCGTGACTATGTGAAAATGTGAAATCAAAGGAAAAAGGGACGTCAGAGGACATGTTGTCCTTACACGATTGCTCGAATTTCAAGATGTCATTTATAGCGTGTAGAAATTGTTCTTTAGAGCAACTCGAAAGCTGGTCAACGAGTTTAAAGACGACTCGTCGACTATCGAGGGCAGGGGGGATGATGTTCTCCATGAGTACTCATGGAGAACATCATCCCTACTGTACAAAGTAGATACAAGTGGAGGGAAAGATGGAAAGAGGTGTAAAGAGAAGAAATACCCCCCACACGGAATATGTGGTATTTTTTGTGGCACTCAAGGTGCGTCCACAATTGTGACCATATATGTACTAATTAGATGAACAATATAAAATTAAAACAGCGGCGGGAGACTCCGAGAACAGTGGGCCTTCCACGGGCTGCCTTGGGCAGTCTTTCACTTCAGCACATCACATTTGCTTGAAGCAGTCACCCCGTTCGTGCCCTCCGGTGAAGCACCATCATGATGGTGCTTGCTATCTAACAAGTGATCCGCTCGCCTGCGGACGACGGTCTCATCACCTGCAATTGCGGTAATCATGCGAGCATCCCCGACTCTCCAGAGGAGGGATTTTACGGTCATGATCGGTCGTTCGTTCTATTAAACTCGTACAGTCCGTGTGTCTTTTTCGGATGTCGGACTGGGAAATGCCATTTTGGTTGGTTTGCGGAATCGGCATGTCTTGAAAGACATCGTGATCTTAGATTGGGTGGAGCATCTCAGATTGGTGGATTGAAACTTTGTTACACTGCCGCTTACTTGTTGCGTATTCTCGTCTTTGTCCAGCTTCCTTCGTTGCAGTTAGACTGTGACCATTTTCACTTACAGCGTGCTTTGCAGCCTCTTTCTCATAATGAGATTCGAGAGTATTTGTCGCGTCTGAATATATTTCCGTCGGCAGGAGAAAAAGGTCGAAATAAACATTCTTCCTTTCTCGCGTGGGCCGAATTCGAGCTCTGCCAACCTGATGAGTTGCTCGTTTCACTTTCTTCTTTATGTGACGAGCAGGACTTGTCTACTCCTCCTCGTTTGATTCTAATCAACAAATTTCTTGATAGGCTCTTTGTAGAGAGAGTGTGGTTCGTGCTCTGATAGTCTGATCAGACTCTGTTCTGATAGTTGCTGATCCTTTGCAGGCACATCGTTTCACTTTCTTCTTTATGTGACGAGGGGGACTTGTCTACTCCTCCTCGTTTGATTCTAAACAACAGATTTCTTGATAGGCTCGATGGTCTGAGACTGCCTGTTCTGATAGTTGCTGATCCTTTGTATCCGTGGTGGGTTTCCTGCGTTCCGCAGCATCTGATCTGTTGATTTTCAGACTCAGTCGCCTTTCAATTTCGCGTCTCCGTGAGCTACTGACAAAATTCCATCCCGATTGTCGTCCTTTGGTGTTAGGAGGTGTTAGGTCAGTTGAAAAGGCCTTATGCAAAAGCAGTGCGATTTGGATTTTTTCCGCTGTATTGTGGATTTTGTTCCCTATATTCACTCTGAGTTCTCGTGTTTTCGGGACAAAAAAAAGGCAGACAAGAATTTCAGAAAGGGTACGTATGATGAGTCGTTATCTGTATTCAATAATGAGAGAAAATACAAACAAGGGGAGGGTTTCGGAGAGCCACGGAGATTCTCGGGACAAAATCGACAACGAAGGAGAGTCGGGGACTGGCGCCCGCGCCCTTACGATTAATATTGACATGATCGGGCGGCGCAGTTCCACCACCGAAAGTGAGAACGGAGACAGTAAGATTGCTGCAACCGTCCTCTATCTCTATAGAGGCACAATGCCAACAATACCGTGGAAGGAGCAGCAGGACGCCATGACGAAGGAAGTTGAACTGGGAGGGATCACAACGCACCAGGGCATGAAAGGGGCACAATTGGAGCGCCAAGCCTGACTGGGGTACACGCGTGAGTCAGAGTGGAAAATCTCGAGTGGAGCGCGCACATGGAGGTGACGCGAATTGGTTCCGCGGGATCAAACGCCTGGTCCTTACATATGGTAGACTTACATATGGTAGAAGTCAGGATGTATCTGGGCACAGTTTGATGCATTTAACAAAAAATTTCAAGTTTAGGAACGAATAGATACAATAAAGAAGCGAGCGAAAACTTTCATGCCCTGTGGTCTGCATCTTTCACCAAGGCATGCACAGGACGGGGTGATGAAAGAAACCTAGTACATGAGGTTTCCGACTGCAGACGGAGTTCCGTCGTTGTTGTAGAGGCACGACCCGGTTCCCACAAGAGTGACACCAGAAGGGTTGTTCGCTTGGAAGAGCGCTGGCGAAGTTGCTAAGAAGGGGAAGTAAAGCTGGACGTATGACGCCCCGTCAAGGAACGCGAACGCTTGTTGGAAGAAGGTCACCCTACACGATACATAAAAGCGCATTAGCAGGGTGATCAACAAGGTACTGCGTCGTAGCTTACTGAGCTGCTTGACCACCTGCAGGGTTCTGAAGAGCAAACTCTGTGATGACGAGTTGATAATTCTGGATATTCGCTGTTGTGAGATATAGATACCGCGTACGCACGCGAAACTTACTGGGAATTGACTGTGGGCTAATTGTACATAGCTCTGGAATGCCGCAAAGGTCTGTCTGCATTTCAAAATTCGAATGAGGTTACGAGATGCACCAAACAAGCTCCAATTGCTACATACCCATACCAGTGCTGAAAGATAAAAACTCAACGTCAAATAGAACAAGCTCACGTACAGCTACGCACCAAGTTGATGTAGTCGAAGTAGCACCGTCCTGCACAAGCGCTGATCATTTGAGAGACCCAGCTAAGACCCTGTCCAGACGTTGTGCTGGAGGTAACAGCAGGGAGAGCCTTCTTAATTGCCTACAAGCACAGATAAATATGACATAAGTCTCGAGTTGATGCGATAAGACCTTACCAAAGGGTTTATGTATTGAATGTACCAGGAAGCGGCCTGGCTCGGGGTAATGCCGTTGATATCAGGCTCATTCAGCGTAAACACGGCTAGGATGAGACGGATCAATCTAAAGTCCATCCAGTAACGAGTGGTGACTAACTAGCCCAGCCTTGTGATGCTTGACGCGACGCAAGATCTGCAATAGGACTGGATGAACAGTCAAGGCAGCGCTGCATCCCGATGAATCCGAGACCACCATTTCCATTAGTAGAAGGCGGAGCATATGTTTCATAATCGTAGCTATTTACTGTTAGTGAGACTGCGAACGTGGGTGTTCATCTGGCATACATTGCGACAACTTCTCCATCTCCGTTGTTGAAAACACCGGGATCGCTGGGAAAAGACGGGTTAGTGAACCTTATGAAGCATGAAATGTGATCCTACAGTGATCCATCGACTGTTCGGTTATGGTGAACACAGTGGTTACACTCATAATTTGAGATGAAACTCACAGTAAGTCCAGCATAGGCCCCGCTTTCCAGCCAGAACTGTGGTCACGAAGAGCGCTACAACTGTGAGTCTGGCAGAGGTCAACATGGTCAAAAATATGTCAAGAAGTGAGAACTTGTGTTTGGGAGGGCATACCGAGCGATACTATTTATACTTTCAAAGTGGCGGCCAGCATCCTCAGGGAAAGACTGAGGTGGCGGGGCAGAGGCTGTATCAGCGCCTCTGCTTTGTAACAAGGAGCCCATCAGCATACCAGCGCTGCGATTGATACGCATCTGCATTGGGCATATGTGTCATGTGGCCTGCTTGAAAAATGATACCAACGAGGCACGATGGTCCTAGTGTATGCTCTCCATACAAACTTTAATGATCACTGGGCTCAGACAGGAATAGCGCGGTGATGCTCACTCATCTGTCTCTATATTTGAAAGACGAGGTCGGGGAAATGTGACCGTGGCGGTAGCAACAGGACCATGCGAGGGTGGGCTCTAGAGGAGGTATGGAGACATGGACTCAGTAGGCTAGTACAGTCACTAGCAGGATGTTCACGCTACCTATTGTAAACTTGCGTAATAGGCAAGACATTATTCCATTCCACGTCTTGTTACCAGGTCCTGAATTGACATAACAATAAGTACATCATGATGGACGAATGGTGTGGATTGATCCCTATGGATAAACGCCATCATCAGCTGCGCAAAATATGGTGGAATGTGGACAGACACTTACTGAGCAACAGAGTCATGAGGTAACTGCAAGGCTGGTTACTTCGGCATGAGCTCCATTGAGCTTTTGATGGCGTGAACGAGAAATTTGATGAGCGCGGGCGGCGCGGAACATTCGGTATCTGAACGTCGCAGAGTTCTTCAGTGCTGGGCCAGAGTTGTCCATAGCACCTCGAGATTAAGATCTACACCCCATAGCGTAGTGGACCAAAGCAACTTGAAGTGACAGAGGTCGAGCGCGCGATGGCTAGAGTAATTCTTGTGAGTAGCTGCATCCGGAGGTTGTGTTCTCATGCGCGCGAGCGAGGTCAAGCTTAGCTTGAAACACGTGCTACTGGCACAGACCCGTTCGAATAGCACCATGACGTACGTAAACTTATGCTCACTGTGTGTGACGATGACTAGTACCGAATAATTGCGACAACCACAATGATCACTGAACACTACTGCTCAATCATTGCATTCTCAACACAGGATGCCTAGTTCACATGCATCCTGCAGTCACGTCGCACGTCCGACAAAGCGCCGACTTGGAGGTAAGTATGTTCTACCAATTCCTTTGAGCATTCAAATGTTTTTTTATGCAGGTTCGTGATGTGGATGTGGCATCGATGAGTCTGTTTGGTGCGAATGCACAGTGCGGCAAATCAGGATGCCAGGCTGCTGACAGGAATACTGAGCTCAGTGTACTCAGTCACCGATGACGTCGACGACATACTATGTCTTTTTTTTCGACCTGTGATTGGTCCCCCGCCGCAATGTCGAAAAATGATAAAAAGCGGTCGCCAGCCAGGACGAACTGCAGTATCCCTCTTCCTTCTTTCTCTCCCCATCGCTATCAGAATTACAATACGTTCTTTACATCCACATATCTAGCATCATGGTCCAACTAGCCCCTCGATTCGCCGCCCTACTCGCCTTTTGTTTCCTTGCATCCGCTACTCCCCTCTTTTCCTCTACTATCACTCCGTACGCGTCTGTCAGCGCAGGCTTGGTCCAGCCTACTCCGAGTCAGGGCCCCAACGGGGCTCACGCCAATCACACCAATAGGGATGTCTCTGTCGTTTTCTACAACAATACCCTACTCGTCAACAACCCTACTCAGGGCTATAATGGGAATGGGACTCACTCCAACCGCACCGCTAGGGCTGTCGCTGTCACCAACAAACACCCCGTATACATCGTTGAACCCCATTCCCACGAACAGGCTCAGGGACAAGATCCGGTATATCTTCCCAATGTTATCCAAATCGTCATGTTGCTAAATTGATGGTGCAGATTACCCCCGGCGTGCAGAACACCCCCAGCCTGCAACATGACGTTGTCGTGGACAAGAACGCCCAAGTACAGTCCAGTCAGAGCCCAGTATGTCGTCGCGCCTGACAAGTGCCATCTTTTCGCTGACTTGGCTTCACAGACGCAGTCCCATAGCAAAGCTGCTAGTGCCAAGCCTACTCAAAGCAAGGCCAAGAGGACCGATGATGGTCAGTACCACCCGAATCCCACATACGACAACGGCCAGTACCACCCGAACCCCACGTTTAACAATGGGCAGTACACTCCCACTCCCACTGTCTCTCCCACAAACACAGGTGCGACCACTACCAGCCCCAGCCCCACTTCCACCGCGACGTATGACGACGGATTGTACCATCCCAATACAGCCTACGATGATGGCCAGTATCATCCCAATACAGCCTACGATGATGGTCAATACCATCCCAATGCTGCTCTCAACCCTGTAAACGCTGCTGTCGCGAACCCCGTCCCCACTGCGGCTCCCGGCGGACTCTCGCCTTTGGTGGATACCATACTCAATTCAGTACCCGGCAATGGAAATGCAACCACCTCCCAAACGGACTCCACCGCCCCCGCAACCACCCATTCGTCAACTCCAGCGACGATTGCCTCCTCTACATCTGCAACGGGGACGGCCACTGCTTCCTCTGCAACCACTACCACGACAGCAGGCGACCCTACCGAGACTGCAGTCCGCACCGTAGCCGGCACTGGCAAACGCATGGACGATGGCCAGTACCACCCTGATTCGAAGCTTGACGACGGCCGGTACCATCCCAATCCTATGTTCAACGACGGTAAGTATCACGCCAGCTCCACTGGAGGCAAACGTTCGGACGATGGCCAGTACCACCCTGATCCAAAGTTGAACGACGGTCAGTACCATCCCGATCCCAAGATCGACGACGGCAAGTACCATCCGGGGAAGCACAATGAGAGGAGGGGGTTGACGCATCAGGACAAGGTGCGCACTGCCAGGAAAAGAGCTGTGCAATACTAGGCATTAGGAAGTTGTAGGCGCTCCTTATCAGACTTTTGATGCAAATGCCACTCTTTCACATAAAATCTTACGTTCTCTTTCACTCAACTATGTGCGATAAGGACTATGTAACGGGCTTTAAAAATTTAAACGCCAGACTCCTCGAAGCCTGAGTGAGTCGGCCACGTGTCGTCAACTTTGAGCATGATGACGACCGCCGAAGAAATTAGACTGTCTTCCTTCCTCTTCATTCTATTGGGTCTGCCTGCGAATGTACGTGATGGATACGTTGCTTGCTCAGTAAATTGCGAGGTCTGCCATCTGCGCACAAGTGGCTTCACCAAGTTCACCTTCGAAGTTCGCTAGGACCGTGGGCACTGGGTTTTCGAGCTTATCAATGCCACGGACAAGTCGAAGCAACGAAGACTTAACAATATCAAAGACGTAGTCCAGACTGGTTACGAGTCTAGTTCTATGGTATAAAGCATAATAAAGGTCGTCGTACCTGCGGGCGCGTTCATGAATTGACTTTACTTGTATTTGAGCCTATCTAGAGGATTTTTACACTCGATGTATCATCTTTCTTATAAGTCTTAGCTTCTTGCGATCGCGGCCGTGTCACAGATCCTCAAGTTGCCCTATAGCTAGTGGTAAACAATAGGCCACGCGTTCAGATTCTCCAAGACTTCCGACCGATAAGTACTACCACCCCAAATTTAAACGAGCACCTGGCAGTAAAGTCACCTTGACCTTTTGACCCTCGTTCTATCACGATAATTCCTGGTAAAGCCTGGTGAGTAGCAGATCCTACCAAACACGTTGCTCCACTTGAATACTAATTAATAACCACCCAACGTCACCAGTCGTGTTTTGCGCCAGAAATGCACGCCTGCCTGCAGATCTCAGAGATTTTGAAAGTCATTTTTGCGGATGTGACACAGGTTACGGGTAGCGGCGGCGTCCGACCATTGTATGTCACTCTGTACCACCTGGCGTTGACGTGTCGAGCTTTCCAAGAGCTGGCACTGGACGCCCTATGGGCGCACATACAAACGCCAGACGTGCTTGTCATGTGCTTGCCTCAGGACGCTCGTTCTCAGCCCGTAAAATTGACCAGGAGGGATCGCGTCATGTCGGGAATGTTCCGATACAGTGTGGTGGGTTTGGTGTTCTTCTCTGTTGAATGAAACTCACGGTATATCAATTTTAGAGGCTTCTCAGACCCTTGGCCGATGATGATTGGGCTTCTTTTCAAAAGTATGCGCCCCGCGTGCGCTCACTCACCTTTGAAGAAGATGATACTATGAGACTTCGTAGGCTGCACGATAACGCCGCGCTTGCTCTCCTCGACTCTCATGCTTCGCCATCCCTACCGTTTCCTTTGCTCCGCGAGTTGTATTGGTATGACAAGCGTGATGTGCTCCTACCTTGTCTGCAGCGCTGCATTTCTGCAACCCTTACTCGACTAGTCATTCATTCGAAGCTTTGGCCGTCAGCAATGGTCGATCTTGTGGCAGGCCTGGGCAAGGCCTGCCCTAAGATCAAAGAGTTTCGTTGTTCGATGCCGCCCGCTAGTGCATGCGCCATGCTTTCTGATCTCGTCGCTTGTTGGGATGATTTGGAGATCTTAGAGACGGGGGCAGTCAATGCACAGGCATTGCGGTATCTTGCATCCCTAAAACCGCTAAGGGAGCTGAAGATGCTCGTGCCAGAGGGCCACAGCCTGGACCCGACATCGACGTCCAGCGTCATATTTTCGTTGGAGAAGTTCAGCATAACTGCCGCAAGGATCGAGTTGCTTCTCGCTTTTTTGGCGCCCTTGCAGATTTCAGCGAAGAGCGTGCAGCTGAATATCGACACAGCTCCAAACGCAGTTGATCTCGACCATCTACTTTCCTCCCTTCCAGAGCATTTCACACCCAGTGTTTTAGAATCATTGGGTGTTAGGGTGGATCGCCCTGTCCATTTCGACGATCACGCCCTATTCGAACTAACTGCTTCCGCCTTCCGGAAGATACGAGTCTTCACAGGGCTCACTAATCTAGATCTCAGTTCAATGCATATCTCAATCACCGACGACGAAGTTCTAGACCTCGTTTCTGCTTGGCCACAAATGGAACATCTCTACCTTGCCACGGACTGGGACTGGGGAGTTACCCGTTTGGGGGTGACGTTTCGCGGGCTTGCAGGTATTCTTGAGCGCTGCCCAAATCTGCGTTCCCTAGGGGTCAACCTAGACACCTTGACCCCTCACGACTCACCTGTCTACGTCGACAACCAATACACTGGCATCACCAGGGAGAAAGTCGCTGGCTTAGATGTTGGGTATGCGGAATGCAATGATGTCGCGGCCATTGGCAATCTGCTAGCTGGGATGTGTCCTAACTTGAGCTACATCTCGCGCGCGCGTCCCGTAGATCTTGATTACGAAGATCCTTCCAATCATAATGAATGGTTCGAAGGGGAAGAAAAATGGAAAGAGGTCCAAGAATGCATCACTCAGAGGAGAACGGAGCAACTGGAGTAGAACAATGGTGAGTGCACTTTATAGCCGCGTAGTTGTGCTCTCATATCTCATCCCCCAGTGTAGGACAATGATATACAGCGGTTTGTGTCGGTGCTATATACTCAAGCGAACGAGTGTTTTGTTTCTTGTACAAGACTGCCAGTGATTCTGTTTAATCAATCGAGTGTTTGCTGCAATTGTTGACATCATCATGATACTGGCGTGAACAACTTGCACGCAATGGGTTTATCACAGACTCCAAACCAGTCGGCGGTGTGTAGAGAAGCCTTAATCCTAGTTAGCCACACTGTACAAATACAACCATACAAAGTTTTTCCGACATAATTCCCACTTTTTGTACGGAATATGTGTTTATACACCAGCATTTCGCTTGGGTGCTGAATTGAACTTGGAGTCAAACCTTTCAGCTATGAAGTATTTATACATAGGCTTTTTCTCGCTCCCGCTAAGGAAGGATTTTATGGAACGCTCACATGCTGAAGGTTTCTTTGATCAACAATACTGGTCCAGCAGACCAGACTACAAAGAAACCAGTTTCATTTCCGTCACTCCCCTTGAAGTCCTATGGGGTAAAGGAGTCGGACCGCAGCTCGCTTAGTAGCCTTCGAATTCCGGGCATCGGATAATAGTGATACTACTTGAACCGCTGAGCGCTTGCGCTCGAGTATTCTCGTTAGATTGGTAGTACTAGTCAGTAGCCAATACTTTGTCGTGCAAGATAAGAATGTGCATGCAGTGAAACATGTACCTGAGTCATGACCCAAGCTGACCTGATTAGGAACGCATACGCCTAGAATTTCTCTAGTGCGCTCAACGCCCACCTATTTGCTTTGTTCTCGTGATATACGAAGCCCTCGTCTACGTATACCCCTTTCCATTTGGCGACAGAATCAGACCCACGCCTTTTACCTCATCAAGAGATTCTGTGATCGCGAATACGGGGAAGTGCCAAAATTGACACTCCAATTACAATAAATGGGCCAGCAAATTTCATCAGATGATGGCGCTCGTACGCGAGTTTTGTACAAAGAAACGCACAGTCAACTGTCTGGCTCTGTCCCCCTGCCAGAATCCATGTTCAACTCTGCTCACCCGAGCGAGCCTAGTACTTCATCAACTGGCTCTCAGGCTCATACCGCGAGCCAGACAGTCGGCAAACAATCATCAACTGAGCCTCGCAAATTTCGGGAAGTCATTAGCGAGTTCACTGCTCCCTTGAAACTGAGTTTAGTGCTCGAGAACAAGGGTAATGTTGCTCGCGATCATCTTGCATCAGAACGAACCTATCTTGCCTATGTTCGCACCAGTCTCGCATGCGCAAGTGCAGGAGTAGGTGAGACTGTGGCTTGTCTATCTCAGCCTATAACAACCACTTACGGCATATGTTAATTCACAGCCCTTGTACAGCTGTTCACGCTTTCCAGTTCCACAAACGCAAATACCACTCAAGAAGGGATTGATCCAGAGCGTTTTGCTCGACCACTTGGTGCCACGGTGGTGCTGTTGGGTTTGTTCATCCTAGTTTATGGTGAGTCCCACAATTGTGCTGGTTCCTCATTCATTCTCATAAGCCTTAGGCCTTGTTCGCTACTTCATGACCCAGGCGGCCCTCGTGCGAGGTTTCTTCCCGGTTGCACGCAACTCCATTGCTGCCATGGCATTTGCCCTTGGAGCCGTCGTTGCAATCGTTTTTGGGGTGTTAGTTGCTGGAACTTGATGATAGAGTCCTTCTATGTCATGTCCACACCTCTCGCGCACGAATTCTACCACTCGAAGGATAGCGCATCCTGGCACTGGCAGAACTCGAGGAATTCGCCGCTCCACCTTGTTCTGCCGCCCAGGTATGGAAAGCCTGGCTGGTTGAGAAGAATGCAATCTTCGCTTGGTGCTGGTTGTAGGTTAATTGAACTTTACGTCGTTATCTGATGATATACCTGGAAGTTGGGACTAGTTTGTGCGCAGCCTGACAGTGAAGCAAGCCGTTAAAGGAAATTTATATTTTTCATGACCTGGCTCCGCGAAGCTCGGTGATGTCATCCGGATTTGAGTTTGGCACGCTAGACTGAACCCCATGGCCATGGGCCAGTGGGGCGCATGGGTCCGTTCCACCTGTGCCCGCCTCACTTGATTCTTCGACCCGCAGCATTAGATATTTCTGAACATAACCTGACCCGCATTGTATCATTCCACCGATGCCAAAATCAGTCTATTCCTCAATCACTGACATCATCACTCTCCTCCTAAATACCCCAATTGTCCCTCCACTACCCAAACAAACAAAGGATGTCGCACTCACCGAGTTGCCTCACTCGACTCCTCGACGACGTGCGGAAGAACTGGAGCTAGAGAGATCTCGTAGCGTAGGCTTGGCGGCTGGGGACATAAGTCTACAGGTAGGTAATTTAGGATGGCTCTTTTTCTGAACTAACTAACAGCCTGGACAGAGAATGTCAGGCGAAAGCCCACGTACAAGCACTCAGAGTCGTAGAAGCAGTGATCAATCTTCAAGAGACGACGTGCCTACTGGGATGGTAGCGCCAGTTGTGCATCAGTTGTCGAGGCGGTCGTCGTATATACAGGCAAGTATTACCTCGAGTTATATATGCTCAAATCCCTCAGTTTTGACCTTGCATACTCAGGAGGAATTAGAAATCGACTTGCATCTAGCGCTGGATGCTGAGCGCGCAATGAGGCAGGCAGAAACGTAGTTTCTCGGTTTGCAGGTTGTAATACTTTATGTTGGTTTGTATAATTGTCAAGGGTTCAGCAGCTGTATCGTACAGTTGGCAGCTGGCCTTATAGACACAATTCATCGTATTGGCAAGTTTCTATGCACTGGCCGCCTTTCAACATTTTTGATGCGCGGATCGTCTCCTGTAATACAAATACGCTATCGCCGAAATCCTATCATTGTCAATGCAGAGCTTCAGGTTTGAAGAATGTAACGCGTATCACTTCCTGGACACCCTCAAGAGTACCAACATCGTTGTGAGAACCAGTGGAAGTTTTGAGGAGAGTGATTCGTTCCCCAAAACCCTCAAACTGATCCATCAACCCGAAGTTGGGGATGACGGTACGGGTCAGTAATGTCTCTCGTATTTCCCTTCGCGTGACCAGTTGAGCATGGTACTCGTTCCACTGCTGTACTGACCACGACTCTTGGCTTGCTGATGGGGAGTTGACAGGAGGGAGATAGGGTTCCAGGAGTGCATCAAATAGAGCGTCGGAGTGGGTGTGTGAAATATCCCAATCATCCTCCGCGTGCAGGATCAATATCGGTACCTTGACTTTCTGAACGCAAGTTGGTGGGGTACTAAATAACCAAAGGACAGGATATTTACATACCGATATCACCGACAACGTGTCAAACTTGTGGACGAGAAAACTCTTATAGATATCTTCGAATGTGCAAAGTCAGCAATATGTCCGCACTTTATGACTGCTGCCAGACTCACCGGCTGCTCGAGGTATCATGTTAATGGGCAACATGACAGGAAATAGGCCGAAAATGTTGTAGGTATCTAGCAGAGTATGGAGCGAGGAGAAAGGAGACATAAGGACAGTCCCTTTGAACTTGACGCCATCTTCGGAGAGGCTGGCAGAAAGTCTGGACGCCACTGCAGTACCCAAGCTGTGCCCGACTATAAGGACATCCTGCGGTGAAGCACCTTGCGCAATTAGCCAATCCCATGCAGCTCTTGCATCTATCGACAAGCCGTCCTCTGTAGGTGTGCCGGAACTATCCCCGAATCCACGATAATCTATTGCTAGGACATTTGCATTCAGGCGTGAGGTAAACCCAGAATATAGGTGAATGCGCATGCTTAGAGCCCGCGTTGCAGCGTTGCCGTGGAAGAAGAGTACAGTCGGTCGCTGGGCCAAGGCCTCTGGAATGTGCAATTCCGCAGCAGATGGAGGCGGGGGAAAGGGCAAGTCGTGATATATTGAATCTGAGAGCATGAACCATGCACCAATAGTGTGATTGTCTACGGTCTGAATCTTGATATTCGCCGTTTTTCCAGCTAACATATCCACGATCAATCTAATAGGAAAGAAATGGACGCGATGGGGTAAACGTACGTGCAAGACCATGCATTTCCGGTGCGTCAAAGCGCGCATTCCAAGGTAGCTTCAAGGCATTCATGTACAGTATGCTTAATTACGCCTCGAGTTCTACATGCGCAGTCGTAAGGGATGATTGATTGGACTTACTGAGACTGAACCCAGGGCAATGCTAGAAGCATGACTGCTCCCAGGTAGAGAAACCCGAGAACCGCAAAAACCTTTCTAAGCCGTGTAAACAAACCATCGTTATCTGGTTGGGTTGACATAAAGCCCTGTGGTGGTGTCGCGATGTGTTGAAGGTATGAGGCTTACCTAATACGCCCTCCTTAAACCAAATTCATTAGAGCGGAGATAAGCATAAGCTTTCCACCGTATTCATTGGAGATAAATTGGAGCCTATGCGTCGGATATCCTTCTATGTATGCTTCCACGTCCACCCTTGTGCGCTGCTTCGCTCTATCATCTTCTGTCCAGACTCTTCCGACTCGCCGAGGACGTTTTTTTTTTCGTTTACTCATCGGTCTGTGGATTCCTCAACGAAATTTGGGGTGCCTTTTAAAATCTTCGAAGTGGTTGGACTGGCAATTGTCCCGAAAAACTTTCTTCACCCTGAAATCTGCACACACTCATATTTAATTATGGAAACATACAGGGATATCAGCGAACCCTAGCGCAGGATCCAGTGATGTGTGACCCAGTGATGTGTGACCTGTTACCACTCCGAAATTGTTCGGCTCATCAAACCAGGTACCAACCAGCTCTCGTACATTGATGCCGATGGACCCCCGAAACCACTTGAGAAGGCATAACTTCCATTTTGGGCTATTTGGTTCTAATCGTCGTAGATACACATACAAATAACTTATTCTTTGCCCACCGCCGCCGCATCATGTCGCTGGTCATCGTTTCAGTCAGCGGGCACATCCTTCCAACACCAAAAATCCATTACGGAAACCCTGCCAGTAGACCTCACTGGGTGTGCCCTCCCAAAAATCCACTACGGCAACCCTGCTTCCAGTAGACTTCACTGGGTGCTTCCCCAAAAATCCTATCTCTACTAACACATCACGCCATCAAACAATTTAGCGACGTTCATGCCGGCGTATGTGCTCCGCTATGGAAACCCTGCTTCCAGTAGCCCTCACTAGGTGTGTCCCCAAAGTCCTATCTCTACTCACATATCACGCCATCAAACAATTTAGCGACGTTCACGCCGGCGTATGTGCTCTCTATTTCTAATGAGCTCTACTAACATATATCACACCATCAAACAATTTAGTGACGTTCACGCCGGTGTATGTGCTCTCGTTCATCACGCAGCGTGCACATCGTCAGGAACGTTCATGTGAGTGTTATTAGTATTAATATTTCTGCAACAAAGTAAATAATTTCAATAGATACATTGTCGAGGCGCATGCTTGCACGAAGCGCTGGTGCTCATGTTGCCCAACAGCGTGCATCAAGTCATGTCGCTGGACCATCTCGCGCGAATATCCCGCGGCCGTCCAAACATCAACAAAACTTACTTGTCGGCTTTTCGATGGGTATGGGAGTAAGCCATTATGACAGTATTGGGTTGTTGGAGATATGCGACGGTTGTGGAAAAATGTTTGCCAGACGCGCATTGGACAAACGTTTTGGAAAGTCATTAAGTCTTGTTCTTATATACCTTTGATATAATGTTTCCGAATGTATATTTGTTCGGTTTCGCATCAGTGGCAGAGGTCTTGTGGGGTGTACGGAATCAGGATTTGCTCGTACCTTGTTTTCGCCACGGCTTGGCAGCCGAACGGTGGCGGAGTGGTAACAGGGCACCGCACACTCCGCAGGATCTTACAACATCTTACAACCCGAGGCCCCGTCCGCCACACGACGACCACTTTGTGATGCATCGTCGCATCCCAACACCGCGTGGACACGGACGGTGGCTATTATTCTACTGCGCAAGCTTCTTCGTCCCCTCATGGTCTCACTCGCTACTCGCTATCCATGCATTCCGGCTATGAGTCAGTTCCCATGTTCTCTTCTATGATCACACCAGTCACATTGTTGATTCCTTACATGGATACCTTCTACAATCTCAAAATAACTCCAGGTGATGGGTACCGGTGTCTATTAGTGTCTACTATGTCAAGGCAAGCAAACGCCGCAACTAGTTCATTGTACTTATGGGGTTGAAATTGGTTTTCCAGATATCGGTCCTACTGATCATCCACTTCTTTCTTTGGATCCGCGGTTTGATACAACTGTAGGTGCTCTTACAATCCACTTCACAGGAGGGCCAACAGAGGCGGCTGGTCCAGGTCTCGGTAACATTGCCGGATTATGTCACTATGAATCGATTGCATACGCAACACGCGCTGCTTAATACGTGGTGTCTCATACTAGTACTCCGTTGGCTCCCGAGGGAAATTTGAAGCGGACGTAAGAATTTAACCTCTTTCTATTGAAGAAAAATGCTCAGCTGGGAGATTATCTGTAGCAGGGAATGTGCAAAGAATCAAATTTTCAAACTCATACTCCTAGACAAAATGTCCGATTTACCTACACGCAGTGGTATATATCGTGCATGGAAGTGTACGAATGGTCAAACAGGAATCGCGACACCTTCACGACGACCATTCAGACGAATTTGATGATCAGGCATGTGGTCTTACGCACTCGTCACTGTCTTAATTGCTGCAAGGTCCACGCGTGATTTATCCCGCACTTTGGCATGTCATCGTGATAATGTTCTCCATTTTTGCAGGAAATAGAGGTCATAGATATCCTCAAAGTCAAACTGTTCATACCTGCGAGAGCAGCCGACGCTTAATTCCGGAGTGTTTTGTCAAAATCCTGAGTGATGGACTTCATGTTCTTGAACTCATCCTCTTGAAGAAAGAACGCGAATTTGGGATCAGCGCTCGGCTCTTTCCATGCAGAGTCCGACTTAGGAGGTAACAGGGTTGGAGGCAGGGTCACTGAGACCACGTTTAGAGGACCGAATCTGAGATGATGAGATCCTGTGTTTGGTTTCGCCGCG